GACCAAGGGACAGACAATAAGTCTCCCACCAACGACAACTTGAAGCCCTTGCCCCCTCTACCTCCGCCAACAAAGCAAGGCTCGAAGCGCCTCCAGCCTCATGTGGTATCCCCAACGCCTGCTGAGTTTCTACTTGTGACCGGAACGGAGGAAACAGAACCAGGCGTTGGAATGTTCGTTGACATGGACGGTGAAGTTGTTCGGGGTACAATTAACTTCCACAGATTCCCAAAGTCGGTTGTGATCGATACAAACGAGCATGATGAAATGTTCCAGACCAGCGAAGATACTAGAGAGGAGTTTGTTCTCGCTGTAATCGAAGACGAAGACGAAGACGAAGACGCTGGAAAGTCTCGAACAAGACTCGAAATCCAACGTTGGGACGATGACCCAGGGGAGATTGAGCGGTCCAAGAGCTGGTTAGAGATACCATCTTCTGGAGAGACACAATCCGTTCAAGTTGGCCTCCGGCACACTCTCAGCCCTAGTCATCTTGAGCTCAATGAAGTCGGGCAGCTCTTGCGGATGGTCCGCCTCAAAAACTCCACGCTCCCTCCACATGTATCGGTCACCGATTCAAGAACCCAGGCATCTATCGAGCACTCTCAAAAGGAGAAAGAGCTGTTCGATCCGCAAGAATTGACCGACTCGGATGGATCCAAGAAGAGCGAAGGACCAGCAGGCCAGGGCTGGGAGGCTCAACGCGACGCAGAAGAAGCAAAATTTGCGCATGGACTGGGCAAAGTCCAAAGCAGTCTTGTCATGTGGTCTGGATCTCAAATATGGCGCGTGCTGCAGAATCCATTGATAGTCCAGTTGGAGAACACATTGCAGAGAGCCCAGGAGACGGAAGAGGGCGAGCACACGGTGCTGCGTAGGGATGCCATTGTGGATCTGCTGCTCTCCATCCAGGATACCGAGCCAAAGACCGAGGCTGAATTTATTGGGTTGAGCTATGTGAAACAAAAGGCCAGCCTTATGCTTTATGGAGACCTTCTTTCCATGCGCCCAGACGACCGCAATGCCGCAGCAATCGATGGCACCGAAAAAGCGCTACTGGCAGGTAACCTCGACCCACGTTTGGCATTGCTCTTTGTTCCTCTGCTGCGGTGTGAGGTTTTGCAGGGGCCTCAGGGTATTTGGCTACATGCTGGGCTGGCAAGCATGGCGGAAAAATATATCGAACAGGTCGGAAAGATAGGCGTGGAATCCTCTGGATTGGATGCTTCTCGCAGTCCTGTTCTCAACATGCTGAAACGGTTCCTTCTCTCCTGGCAGCAAAAGCGGGGATATGGCAGTATCACCGACGAGACATATGTTTTGGATAGCACCGATGCCGCGCTGTTGCACCTGACCTTGGAACAAGATGCGTATCTGACGCCAGATCAGCGGACAGCGTCACCAATTCGCCCTGAGTTGAATAGGCTGGTCGATAATTGGAAAGGCAATTTCGACCGAGCAGTGATGCTCCTGGAAACATACAAGCGGCTCTATGTGCTAAGCCGTTTGTATCAAAGCCAAAAGATGTCTCGAAATGTCCTCAAAACCTGGCGACGAATCGTTGATGGGGAGACTGACGCTGGTGGAGAGGTTTCCGCGCATGGCGTAGAGACCCAGATGCGCAGGTACTTGGTCAAGATTAAGGACGTGCATCTGGTTGAAGAATATGGCTCTTGGCTAGCTGAGAGAAACCCCAATCTGGGCATCCAGGTATTTGCAGACAATGCCAGCCGCGTTAGACTGGAACCGGCGGATGTTGTTGCTTTACTCAAGGAGCGAGCTCCAAACGCGGTCCAGGTCTACCTAGAGCACCTGGTATTTGCAAAGAATGTGAGGCGTTCTGTTGTCCTAGTCCATGATTATCTAGCTAACCTGAGTACAGTACACGCAATATGCCGATGACTTGATCTCATACTACTTGGATACGGTACTCTCCGTGCTCGAGTCATCCCCCGAAGCACGAGCTTCTTTGGCCGAGTCCTACTCAACCTATCGAGCCCTGCGCCCCCCTAAACCGACATACCTAAACTTCATAACCGAGAACACCCCCGCAGAGGCCTGGTGGCAGTCCCGACTCCGGTTACTTCAGCTGCTGGGTGGAATCTCCAGCTCCCAATTCTCATCGCAACCCCTCCCAACAGGGATCAGCTACTCAATCCCCAACGTCCTCACCCGCATCGAACCATTCCAGAACGAGCTAGTCTCGGAATGCATTATCCTCGACGGTCTACAGGGCCACCACGGGCCAGCTCTCCGTCTCCTCACACATGGGCTAGGCGACTACGACTCTGCAATCCGCTACTGTCTCTTCGGTGGCCCGCGCAGTTCCTCTTCTTCAACAGGTAGCCCAGCAGAACTGGCAGATTATACGCTACAGTCAACTCTCTTCCGCCACCTGCTCGACGAGTTCCTGCACATTGAGGACTTGTCAGACCGTATCGAGCGCACAAGCGATCTCCTCGCACGCTTCGCGGCTTGGTTCGATGTCCGCGAAGTGCTCGATCTTGTTCCCGAGGACTGGAGCGTTGATATTCTGGGCGGTTTCTTCGTGCACGTTTTCCGCACCCTTGTGTCACAGAATCGCGAGACCCGCATCGAGCGTGCCCTTAGCGCAGGTCTGAATCTACGCATTGGTGCCGAATATATCGATGGCATGGAGAAGGTTGGGCCTTGGGTCGAGGAGACTGAGGGTGTAAGAAGGTTGAAGGACGCACAGCCGCGGCGGGTTTCCTTGCCAACTTATGACCCTATTGATGATGCTTCTGATGACTCCGCCGAGTTTGGAGATACGGTGGGGCCTACATCTGGGGAAGTGGGCCAGTAGATCGATGATCAGGGGGAGTGTACAGGATAATATGTGGATATGTGATGTTGGCTTTTGAATCTATGATACCTACGCAGTTTGTATTTTGCTATACCTTTCGTGTTGACTTTGTTATTTTTTTTTTTTTTTTTTGGTTATTTCCTAGTTTGGTTTTGGCGCTATGTATCATGAGCCGATCCCCAAATTCATCTTCCCCTTCCGTGAAAAGAAAAAGACGAAAGACAGAACTGCACAACAGTAGGAGTCCTATGCACATTCCAAGTCGACAGAAAAGAAAAAAAGCGAAACCATCATATTGCGTTCGTTCCCTTCGTAGCTACTGATGAGCGTATGTTCCGGCGCACGCCGAAAGCCAGTGGGACATTAAGGTGCGTAGTGTTTTGAAGCTCCAACAAGACCCAGGATGTCGATTTCCGGAAATGACATCCAGACCCGGAATGAAACCCGGAAAGAAGATAATACGTCAGAGAGGTTTTTTGTTTACTCTTCTGCTTGCAAGAAAGGGTTGGGGATCTCCTCGCTGCCGTCCGCCGGGGAGATCAGTACGATCAAAGTGCCACGGGCGACGATCAGACCCATTGAGCGGGTGGTAGTGTTACCCTCCTCATCTGTGGAGGTTAGTCTATAAGCAGAGACATTAAGACTGGATTCAAGTAAGAAACTTAGAACTCACCACGCATGGTCTCCTTAACGTTGTCGAGGACCAGGTTCATCAGCTGATCGTAACCCTTGAGGGTACCGGTGACTGTTAAGAGTTAGCATATATAGTTCATAGATGGGGATGAGAAGTCAAAGATCAAAAACAAAAGAATAAAGTATATAAAAAGAGATCTATGAGAAGAAAAGAGAAAAGATCAATCCAACATACCCTCACGACCACCATTGAACTTCACTTGGACCTCCTTGTCCATGTACTTGCTGAGATCCAAGATGTTTTCCTTCTTGGGCTTCTCCTGTGCACCGCCACCACCGCCACTTTTCTGCTGGCCCTGGCCGCCGCGGCCTCCACGACCGCGACCACCTCGGAATGAGCCTCGTTCAGACATAGCCTGTGTGTAATTGAGGGATTGGGAAAATTGAAGGAAGATAATTAGACGAGGGAGGTGAGATATTAGATGTATGAACACCCGTGGACAGACTTGGTATCTTGTATCTCTGTGGGGGAATAGCGGAAGGTACAAGCAAGGTTGGCGCGTGTATGAGGGATTTTTAGTGGTTGGCCTTAGGCAGTTTGGAAGTCCGCCTTGGTATGAAGATTACTCATTACAGCTGTATTATTGCATTTGACAGCTATGAGGGATCCCGCTCGGAGGTAATTTACAAGTAGATTACGAGTATCTTCATCGATCTGAACAGGCCATTTGGTCTTCTCAATTACTTACATATCTTTCCGTTCTTTTCAATTCTTTTCAGGTAATTTAATCCTAGGCCAGATCGTTATCATGATTTCCTCCGAGCTCTCGGGAAACAAAATGATATGTTTCAGCCCGCTTGCCTAGGCATCAGCGAAACAAAGAAATCCACAAGCCTCAAAAGGCTTGATTTTGTTAATCGATAGATATGAAGCATGTAGAATGATCTGCGACTCTTATTTTGTGGACTCGTGCATATACCAGGCTCTGTAGGCAAGGACTGTTGTACTGTTAACCAGCGTATCGTAAGCCAGCGGAACCCTTCGGCGGGACTCCGCTGAGGGATCTAAATGACCGAGTACTTTACTGGAAGGGTTTCATATGTCCAAGTTGCAATCGGAATTTCTACTGTAACACTATTTATTAATTACAAAAAGAAAACAAAAGGAGATCGAAAAGATCGAAAACAAAAAGGACAAAAACAAAAAGACCAAAAAAACAACAATCGAATTCTTCAGGTCCCGGGGCCTCCCAACGGAAACACAGATCACGTTTTTCCTCTCCACTCCCCGTGCGCTGTTCCGTCCCCTCTGTAGGCGCCCTACGCTTTTCTCTTTTCTGCACCTTCATGGATGTAGCTTGAGTCTTATAAAAGGAGCCTGCCGGTTTCTCTCCGCGCAAGTCCGGTTCACCTCCGCGCATCCATACTCCGCTCTGACTCCGCGACTTCCTCTCAATTTCCTCCCAATCTCTTTCTATCCTGATATCCGATATTCTCAACTACTCCAGGGTGTACATAGGATCTCATCCTACTCCCTCCCACAATGGAACCCCACGCCCAAACGTCGGAGTTGTCTCATAAACGGCCTCGGTCTCCCACTGCCGATCACGGCATGTCGTCGAAAGTGCCAAAGACGCATTCAAACCATCTGCAAATAAACTACCTCGCACGGCAATATCCTGACAACCTACCGCTCGTCTCCGTCGATGATACTATGCCCGCGATTATTCATCTGCTCGGCGAGTACGACGGCGTTCTACACCGCCACGAGAGCATCGCTGGAAACCTGGGCGCATGCCCGCTTGGTCCAATCTTGATCAAGCGCTTCGAGCGCCTGTTCGATGGACCGCCACAAGTATTGAAATCCCATGGCAAAGATGGACCTACCGTGACCTGGCTCGATGTGGTTGAATTCGCGAAGAATAAGCCTGAGCAGTTCAATCTCGAGAAGTCGCGCAACGGCGTGCGAGTCTGCCAGTTCTATACCAAGCAGTGTCGCGTGGAAATCAGCGAGGAGGACTTCGTTTTGATTGCTTCCGGCATGCCGCAGAAGATGATCCCACCCCAGCCTATCATCGAGGACGAGGAAAAGGAGCTGGGCGCGCTGGAGATTCTGGAGAAGAACTTGCATCATATAATTCAGATGGCCGATCAAGGTAAGGAATCACTATTTACATATATCAACTTGGGACATGCTCACTGATGATCCTTGTGTTTAGTCTCTGCCCGCGCGAGACAGCTGAACCATCGATTGAAGAATCGCCGCAATGCTATTGTCACCCGCCGAGAGAATGATGCTTCTCTACATGCGCAATCCCGAAATGTCGCCGAAATATGGCGCGATGCCAACGGTAATGGCCCAGGAAACGGCCATGGATCATCTCACCCTTCTCCGTCTGGTTTCGTCGCTGTCAACTCTCATCGTTCCGAGGGCGAGCACACCGAGGAGAATCCTCTATCATCCCAGTTCATGTTCTCACACACCAATACCGATAATGTCACCATGATCAACGGACAATCGATCAAAGGTGCTTCCCCAACCACCCGTGCAGACTTGATGAAGAGATTTTTCACAACGGCCGACCATCATGCCCGTGGCTATGACGACGCAACAGCCCCAGTCAATCCTCAACCACCCCCTCGGCCTCGTGCCTCCGACCCAGCAGACTACAGTCTCTACAACCCCACGACAGCAACCCCGGTCGCCATCCCCAGCACCCCATCGTCCCTCCTCCCGCCACCAAAATCAAACCACCAAGAAAAAGATGATGGAGGCCCCTTCAAGCTAGAAATGATAGCCCGCATGGAAGAGCTCCAGCGCGGCGAGCGCGTAATCCCCCCTGCGACCGCTGCCGCCGCCTCCACATGGACTGCCTCAAGAACCTCACCGCCTGCGTTGGTTGCACGAAGAAACACGCCAAGTGCTCCTGGCGCGACGTCAAAGAAGACGAAGTCACCGCCATGCGGGCGGGAATCACAACCTCGGCGGTATCCCATGAGCGCCTCGACAACGACCGCTCCCGAGCAAACCTTACCCCACCGCAATTCGGTATGGGTCCACTTCCCCCGATCTCCGCTGAGCGGGAGCGTCCCCGAGAACCACCCTTTGAGCCCGAGCACCACACCTACTACTATCAACCTCAAAACCGACGCGAGTCGGCCCCCTCCGCCCCGAACCTGGCCCCCGGATCTGCGGTTCCGATGGAGCTCCCTTCAAATGATAACTCCCCGCGACGGGCAATGAGTGAGACGGAGAATAATGGCCGCCCTCCTATCCCTACTGGTCGTGCCTTATCCCGCATCGAGGATGAGGATCCCGATGCCAATCAGCGACTCAGACAGGCTATTTTGGATACGGTGGATCATCACACACGAGTCGCTGCGGCTGTTCAGGAGAAGGAGCGTGGTGCGGAGCGTGCTGGGGAACATCTCGTGGTTATTCCTGCTCCGGGCCCGGCTCCAGCTTCTGGTACTTATGACCGAGAACGAGAACGTGAGCGAGAGGCTGATCGTGATCGTGATCGAAGTATGGTACATGCGTAAAGCATTAGGTTTTATTTTGTGTATAGTTTTTGGTTTTTACATAGGGTTGGCGTGGGAGTACTGTTAGATATCCCTCTTAGCGTATTTATCTTTTTTTTTATTTAACCATCTATCATTTTTCTAATGCCTATGTAAATATTTCCTTGTAAATATTTCCATATGAGGAATATATATGTGGGGCCGGATATATACTACCCCGAAGATATCCGTCGAATCGGTACTTGTCTTCTTCAACCCTCACAACTACCGTCTCTATAAATCCGATTCGACCAGTGGGGGTTCTGGCGGGGTGTTTCCATTCAGGAATTTCTGATTGATTGAAATGAAAAGAACAACACCCCGCCATTCCCCATAACATATAACATATATATGACCCCCGGGTTCTATAGCTCTAAACTATTTACCATCTACCATTGCTCTATATATAACCCACCATGGACCCCTCCAAAGTCAAAATCCCCCCAATGAAAGACCAAACTGTCGACAACATCACCGACAATGTAATCACAATCAACAGTCTCTGTGAAGACGAACGCATGAAATATATCCTCGAAAGATTAGTAACCCACCTCCACGACTTCGCCCGTGAAACCCGTCTCAGCAGCGAAGAATGGATGACCGGTCTCCGCTTCCTAACAGAAGTCGGTCAGACCTGCACAGAAGTCAGACAGGAATACATCCTACTCTCCGACGTCCTGGGTCTATCCATCCTCGTTGACTCAATCGATCACCCCAAACCCAAGGGATCCACAGAGGGAACGGTCCTGGGTCCTTTCCACACGCATGATGCCGAGGAGATGACCGCCGGGGATTCTATGTCGCATGATCCCAAAGGAGAGCCTTTGCTTGTTGTTTGTACGTTGCGTGATTTGAATGGGAAGCCTGTGTCGGATGTTAAGATCGATATCTGGGAGACGGACTCGACGGGACATTATGATGTTCAGTATGCCGGTAGGGAGGGCCCTGATGGGAGGTGTATCATGCGCTCGGATAACGAGGGTGTGTTTTGGTTCAAGGCTATCACGCCTGTGCCGTATCCCATTCCTCATGATGGCCCTGTTGGGAAGTTGTTGAAGAAATTGCATCGTCATCCGTATCGTCCTTCGCATATGCACTTTATGTTTGAGAAGGAGGGTTATGATCACTTGATTACGTATGTTTTTGCTATTTTCAACTTGTTTGGTGGACTATGGCATGCTAACTTAATTCCCAGTGCTCTCTACCTCCGCAACGACCCTTACGAAACATCCGATGCAGTCTTCGGCGTCAAGGATTCCTTGACTGTGGACATCGGCAAGGCCGACGCCGAGATCGCGAAGAAATATAACGTCCCAGAAGGGCATGCTCTTCTCACATATGACTTTGTGCTTGTGTCCGACGAAGAGACGAGCCAGTTGCGAGCGCACAATTCCAAGGTCGCGCTGGACAAGCTAGGTCGGAAAGTCAAGATTGTCAATGGGCTGCCCGTGCCGGACCTGGATTAAATGCTATGAGAAAGAGTACATAAATATCACCTGATGTATATCTGTGTGAGTTTTGGCTAGGAATTATTATCATTTCTTCCAATATTGCCCGGCTGTTGTTGCATAAGAGGATGATTATAATTGCATGTCCAAGCAAGCCCAGGAACTGAGAGTGCCAAATATAACCCATGCCTGTATTCCGCTGTTCTGGTCTTGATTGGAATATGTAACATGTTCTCAGTCATGACTGGTGCTTTCTTAATCCAAGTTAATGTGTTTCTCGAGTCTGTGTAAGGTACGACGACCAGACCGGCAAGGACTGAACTGTTTCCATCTAGGCTATCCGACGTAGTTTGGGAATTGGTACAACCAGAAATCAAGGCAGTTGAGGGGTATTTGACGGACCCCTTTGCATATTGTCTATATAGCTACATCACCATGGCTTGATCGGACATCTGCATTTGGCTCCGATTTCCTCGATATCGGCACTATGCGTTCCACTTACCTCTTCTTATCTGTGACTGCTTCATTAGTCTTGGCATTTGTTATCCCCGATGAGAATATCCTTGCGGAGATAGTCTCTGAGAATCGTACAGCCGTGAGTGATCATGTGTCTAAAATAGATGTTGAGATGAGCCTGCTGGGAATCTCTCCGGATAAACATGGAGGCTGGGGAAGACACGGAGAATGGCCTGATAATGAATGTCCCGAGCATGGCGATGGGCCTGGATACGACGAAGATCCACACGAGAGATGGCGGCCCGGTGACGACGAACCGCCCTGGTATGGAAGGAGACCCGGACATGGAGGATGGCCTGACGAGGGCGAAGACAGATACCGACAAATCGACGCCTGTCCGGGCCCGCTTTGCTGCGCAGACAAGACAACATGGGAGCTCATTAAAGAAAGCGAGCATACATCCCGACTGGCCGAGCTTATCGCTAGCAATAAGGACCTGATTGAGATCCTGAATAGCACGACGGCAAATCACACCTTTTTTGCACTGACGAACCATGCCCTAGAGGGTCTTCCACAAGGGAAACGTGGCCCTAGTGCCAAGTTTATCGCCAGCTTGCTACAATATCATATCCTGCCTGGTCGATTGTCCATCCACCATATCGCGGGCCATCAGACGCTACCGACGAAGCTGAAAGAATCGACTCTTGAATCGAAGCTACCACAGAGGATTGTTGTTCGAGAGCATCCCGACGGAGTGATGTTGAATGAAAGAAGTAGGGTTGTGGGAGCTGATATGGTAAGTAGAACAACATCCACCGGTGGATATATTATGTGTATGGCATACTAACCCTAGAAAACCAAAAACGGCATAATCCACATCATAACCAGTCCCCTACACCCACCCCCAGAGACACGCACATTGCTGCACCACGCACCAGCGCACTTCAGCACGTTCACGCAGGCGCTAGCACACACGAAACTGACCTACAGCCTTGACCCGGCGCAGCGACAGGGCGGTACGACCTTTGTGCCCACGAATGCTGCCTTTAGACGGCTCGGGGAGCATGTCAATCGGTTTCTTTTCTCCGAGAAGGGTGAAAGATGTTTGCTTGCACTGATGCAGTATCATATTGTGCCGAATCGGACGCTGTACTCGGACGTGTTGTATAGTCAGAATGGGAAGGCTCATGGGTTATTTTCTGGTCATGGGAATGGACATGGACATGGGAAAGAGGGTGAGTGTGTGGGTGGGCCAGAGGAAGACTCTGCCGAAGTGCGACTTGTGACTCTGTTGAAAGGGACGGAGTTAGGGGTTGATGTTAAGAGGGTATTTGGTGAGGTTGATATGCGGGTTAATGGGTTTAGTAAGGTAGGAGGATTGGATTTGTTAGCAAGTGATGGTGTGGTGCATGTTTTGGATCGAGTATTAGTTCCACCGAGGAAGATTCAGGTTAAACATATCTCTGCAGATGGGGAAGAACTGATGATTGAGGCTTATGGGGAGGTTGGATGGTTGTGTTTATGGAGTGACTCGCGAACTCTGAGACTGTCTACCGAAAGCAATTGAAAGTATTTTTAACCCCAGAATCAGTCTGTAAGCAAATTATGCTAATTATGCGCCAAGAGATATGGGTGGTGATACCGTGTTAAGTCTCACTGGGTGATAGAACACAACACTTTACTATATTCCCTTTTTTTGATACAACGGAGGAAAATTCTTCTTTGTCTATAGAATTCATGCGCGTTACTGCCACTATTTGCTTAAGTGACGACACTGCAAGCAGTTCCTGGGCAACAGGTGGTGTGTTTACATATGGCTCTAACTGTAGTATTGCTTGTACCCCCAGAAAATGGGCCTGCGTCACCATTGCGACTAGGGCCAGCCGACAATGTCTACATGGTTCCGGTGCCAACTGAATTATCAACCAAGACTACTACGCTCATTGCGGCTGGATGCTGTCTCCCTCCTGTGCTGTTGTTGGTATCCACGTTGCTCGAAATCCTGGACGATAGTAGGTGGATCTACGATGATTACAAGCCCGTACTAAAATCCGGGGGAGATCTCTTTATTTTACCGGTGTCTACTGCATTAATGCTGGCAGTTCTCGTTAAAGGCGAGATGAACTTTTGGAGTTTGCAAACGAAATACCAAACAGAGGCTATGCAAAGCGTTGGTAAGTGCCTGACTTTAGCCATTGAGAATGCAGGTGGCATGAGATTGACTAATAGATAATAATAGATAAATTCTTAGGTCAATGGGCGCCAGTGGTTGGTACTGCAATTGCTATATTGGGAGCAGTATGTTGGAAAAATGAAGCCTCTTGGATCACAGGTGATGTAGGTGTTGGATCGAGGATTGGTTCCGCCGAAGATTTAGGACAGAGATGTTAGCGAGGATGGGGAAGAACCGATCGAGGATCTGCAGAGGTTGAATAGATGTGTGTCTACCGAGGGACTCGCGGGGGAACTGTAATGCACATAGGCCTACGATCAAGAAAAGCCATTTGAAAAGTTTTATTCCTATGTTTGTTCAATCACAGTGGTGAGCGAGATCAGTGCTTGCAAAAATAACAAAGAAGATGTAACCCTTGAGTTAACCCCCGAATGCTTCTAGTTGACAGTCTGCCAAAATCCAGAGACAGCATCAAATTGGTGGTCAAAAAGAGTAAGCAACAAGCAAGCAGAAACCATAACAATTACCACATGTAAGATGTTTCAACTAGTGCATTCGTCTAGCCGGCTTTGACAGAGCCTGGAAGGAAGACTCAAGGGCCTTCTTGACTTCCTTGTAGCTGACAATGAAGCAACTCTGCTCGTCGCGACTGATTAAATGGATCTTTTCTTCAGTTCCCGCATCCAGCTTGTTCATACAAGTGATGATATGGGCAAGATCCGTCACCGCGTCACCTTGGCTATCTACCGAGTGGAAGACGTAATCGCGGAAAAGCTTCAGGAAGTAGCGTTCTCCGCTCTCCGACCAGCGCTGGTCAAGTTCATATTCAGGGCGTTCATTGACCAGCCCGAGTTTGCTAATCAGACGCACGAGTCGTCCATTTTCCAGCTCGCGGCCGAGATCAGAGGTCAGCTGATCATCCAGGTGGAGTGCCGAATCAAAAGTCGACATCAGCTGGGATGAAATGCCAGTGATGAAAGTGTCGATGGTTCGCTCCTGATCCTTCTGCAGTCCATTCAACAGCCAGAACACAGAGTTCTTCAACTGAGGACTGTAAGCGCGAGTGAAGTGCTCCATGGCTTTAGTTGGGTTGTGGATAACAGTGGGCGAGTTGGCGCCAAGGGTGACGATCATTTGACCAAAATTGACCAGATCTTGTCGCTGGAGGTCAGCCACAGTGCGCTGAGTATCGAACTGCACCACGTCGAGAATAGCACAGGCGTTAATGCGAATACGGGTCTTGGCGGTAATCAAAACCTTGCTAGGCTCGAGCACTCGGGCGGCAAGACCACTAGCGTGAATCGCTTTGAGCCCATTGGCAATCTGGGTCATGTAGCCCCAGAGAACTTGCTCAGGAATATGAGCATTGGGACGGCTTGGGAAGCGCCCGTTTGCAGCGCTTAGATGCTGGTCTGCAAGTGTCTTGGACAGTGGGTGATAGTCAGTCACAAAAATCAAAGAGCTGTCTTGGAAGCTGCGGCTGGTGAACGCGTCGTGAATGGTCACTACACTGGCGTTGCAGACGCGTTTCCAGGCTTGCACGGAACGAATAGCCTTCTCATTGGTTAGGCGGAAACCTATTAAGATTAGTTTAAAACTACAAAAAAAAGATAGGAGGTTGTCATACCCTCAAGTCTGCGAAGAGCATAAAAGGTGCCATCTTTGCTAGACTGGGCCTTGTAGATCCAGCTTGGGTAACCAAAGGTCGCAGCATTCTTCTGATGACTGAGATCCAGAGGGACAAGGGAGTGGAAGTAGTCCACTTGAGCAGGAAGTTGGGTGTCTTTGAGTCTGTCAGCTTGAGTTCAAATTATTGTCAATTGTGATCTAGCATACTAGGGAGGGTTTGTAGAGTAGCTGCAGATTTCTTCTGCAGTTCTTCGCGCAAGTCGTTAGGGATAAAGAGATCATGCACGTTGCGCTGGTATCCCAATGTGTTCTGGCTGTGAGGGCCAATTGGGGCATAAAGATGGTACTGAATCTATTGGGTGGTTAGAGCACACTCAAAGCAACAAAGAGGAGAATACATTGAATATCAACGTACCGGTTGCTGGAATCCAGTTTGGTTTGCAAAGAAAGCTCCTCCCATCGCGCCAGAAGGGTCGTGCGAATAGGGATTGGCAGAAACAGGGCCAACGGCACCAGGAGTCATGGGAGTTGGGGTAGTCACAAAAGGATCAAATGCACCAGTTGGAGTGATTCCTCCGTTTCCATTGCCCTGAAGTGGTGTCTGGATGGGATTGTTAGCACCAGGGCCCAGACGCGAGCTGTAGTACTGGGGGCAAGCATGCACAGGCAGAGGATCGAAGTCCTCTGCCAGGGCAGACAAGTTGCCGGTAACATGGTGATGGCCACACGGCATCATTATGATGATAAAGATGATAATTATATGAACAGCATGAGGGGAATGGGATGGTTCGGGAAGTCGAACGAAATCGAATTAGGGCAGGGACGACTGACCACATGCTCAAAGCCCTGAGGAACAAATTCCTGCACATCAGCTACTGCCCAGTCTTGCACTGCTTCTGACCGCGTTGTTGGTGTACTCGTGTTGGAACCTTTTCACATGTCAGTGACTGCCTTTGTAACCTTCTCCCTCCTTCCACAAAGCACATACGTGATGTTGTTCGAGGTTGAAATGGGGCTGCACTGGCAGCTTTAGGAGATATAGCGGTGGACTTTTTAGGTGCTGATACACCGTTCCCAGACAGCAAGGATGGGGTAAAACTAGGTGAGTCGACATTGAACCGCTTCTTGCTATCAAACCGAGACAGTCCTTGTCAGTTCGTCCAATTTTTCATCTAAAGACCAAGTTTGCATCGCACCTGTCTGACTGGTTTGCATTGAGCTTCGACGGGTCATGATTGAAAGCACAACCTGGATACAAGAGTTCCAAATCAGCTTCACCACCCACGCTAGCTGTGATCAAGGTTTGCTAATACCTTTGTCTTCATAGCGGCATCGCCCATAGATGGTCACGTTGCGGCACAATGTGTCTTTCGCATTCTCTATCAAGCAAAATCATTGTTGTTAGCAACTCAGTCCGTCTCAGATTCGACATTTATCTCCAGCTTGCCCATCTCAGAACTGAAATGGGAGTGATATGGCAGATTCTTCAAATCACACTCACCACGGCTTTTCATTTTCGGCGATCCTGTCGTCCGACGAGCATCCTCCAATGGAGGCTTTCCAGCAGACGCCATGATATCTGTCTGATACCCACTTGATGGTGCGGATCAGCGCAAAAAGATCCCCATTGAAACCGGACTCGGTAGGGAACAAAGGATGCTATTGGGTGAAAACCGCATTCCCTTGCCTTGATCTTATATAAATTCAAGTCACCGTGGTCCACGCGTTTGGCGATTGACGGATCAATTCCGGGAGAGCCCACGGACGTTGGGCGGTATCTCAGCCGATAACAATAGGCATTAATGGTATATAAGGATAAGACCAAAGCCGTCTCTCATCCCAAGGAATGACTGAGAGCGACAGAACTGATGGAAATGAAAGACGCGGGGCGAGAAACGAACTCGAGTGAAGGGGGATATGCGCACGGACCAGGCGGTCAGAACATCAATGAGCTTCGTCTTGAGGCCACTTGAGCTTCGACGTCGTTACCATTCTACCGTGGATTGTGTGCACGTGCTTAATGAACACTCACATATGATCTTTCAATTCATGGCTGTTCATTTTTATCTCTTTTGACATCGCCTCCATCCCTGAGTTTATGGCCTACGGCCCTTCCCCAGCAAGATGTCACAACCGGAGGTTGACCTGGACCAGCTTTCCGATAGCGAGAAGTCTACGCTAGAGATGTACATGGCTGTTACTAGCCAGGAACCTTCGGAGGCAATCCCTCTGCTACGCCGGTCACAATGGAATGTGCAGGTTGGTCTATCCTCCTCATCTTTCGGCCAAGCGCACGAGAGTTTAACTGATCCCCGCATGATAGATTGCCATATCCAAGTTCTTCGATGGCGAAGGCCCGGATCCCCTCGAAGAAGCTCGCGCTGCCATGGACCGCCCGCCTCCACCTCAACCCAACCGTCGAACCCAGAATTTAATGACTGACGACTTGAACGAACACTTGTCGCAGATTACTCGCGCCCCAGCTACAGATCTGGCTCCACGAGTTGACACACAATCGGGAGACCAGCATACCTACCGGCCTCCATTCATTCTTAGTCTACTTCTCAGTCCATTTAATCTGGTCTACCGACTCCTCTGCAGTTCATTCCGCCTCTTTGGTGTCCTCTTCCCTTTTCTGCCACGCTTGTTCAACAGGACGGCGAACCCTGCGCTGCAAGGCGCTCGCCGGAATACCACTGGGCGTCGATCCCTCGGTCCCAAGGACACTGCTGCTCGCTTTATCCGCGAGTTCGAGGAAGAGTATGAATCTAACCCGATTCCTTTCCTGGAGAACGGATACAACATGGCGCTGGAGAAAGCCCATCGCGACCTGAAGTACCTTCTGGTGATCCTCTTATCCCCAGAGCATGACGATACGACCAGCTGGGTCCGTGATACCCTGCTGGCACCTGAGGTCGTGGAATTCATCAACGACTCTCAGAACAACCTCCTGGTGTGGGGCGGCAACGTGCGAGACTCCGAAGCATACCAAGTCGCCAACTCATTGAAATGCACCAAGTTCCCCTTCGCAGCGGTCATCGTCCATACCCCGAATGTTTCGTCAACCGCCATGTCTGTCGTAGGACGGATCGCAGGCCTCACTACGCCATCCGAGATGGTGAACAAGCTCCGGGCAGTCGTGACAGCTAACAGCGAGCCCCTGGAGCGAGTTCGATCTTCACGCGTGGAGCAACAAGCCTCGCGCAGCCTCCGCGAAGAGCAAGACTCGGCCTACGAGCGGTCGCTGGCGATCGACCGTGAACGGGCGCGCCAGCGCCGGGAAGCGGAGATGGAACGCCAACGCGAAGAGCAGGAAGCCGCTGGCCGACAGGCGGCAGAGGAGCAGCGGCGCCGCAATCTCGCCCAATGGAAGCTTTGGCGCTCACAATCGCTTAGCGCGGAGCCCGGACCAGATGTTAAGGATGCGGTTCGTATTAGCGTGCGGCTCCCATCGGGCGATCGTATCATGCGCAAGTTTGCGCCCGATGCGGACATTGAAGAGATCTACGCGGTGGTTGAGTGCTACGAGGTTTTACAAGAGCAGGATATAGAGCAGCCCGTGACGAGTGCACCAGAGGGATTTGTGCACCAATACGGATTTCAACTAGTCTCACCGATGCCTCGGGTGGTGTATCCTGTTGACGAGGGCGGGTCGATCAAAGAAAAGATTGGCCGTGGTGGCAATCTGCTGGTGGAAATGATCGACGAAGATGAAGATACGGATGACGACGAATCTGTGTCCGACATTTCTTGAAAATGACTGATCTCCAAATGTTGCTTTTGTGGATTCTAAGCTTGAAAGGCTACCATTGACCGCTCTGATTTATTTTATTTTACAATATCCAATGTACAATGTAGATGATTATGATTCGACATCTCCGATGATTCACATTCTTGGCCTGATTCTGAATCGTCGGCTTGACCGAACAGGCATATTCCGTATTTGGCATGGCGCAAACGTTGCCTAGCCTCCGAGCCACGTACATATCAGCCCCATGCAAGGGAGGTATTTGGGCACCTCGTGAGATTCCCAATCCAAGAGACTCGGATGAAATTACCGGAAACTCGGACGAAGTGATTAGGTCCGTTCATAGTACCCCACACGTCGAATCAGGGGTTAGGGGGTTGATAGTACTCCGTATTGGGAAGTCCACTCGTGTTAGAATGGATCCATCCACGGCTGAGTCAGCCGGATAGACCCTACCCGGACATCCGAGGGGTCCATGTGGACGGATAGTGATAGTCCCGGACCCTTCTGGAACTTTGATATACTTTAATACACGTGGGTAAGAAGAACATGGCAAGTGCATGTACATCTCTATCTCCTTGCTTTTTAAATGTGGTTGAAGGACGTATCAGGTACATGCATTACGGAGTATAGAGTCATACATCGTATTCTCTATGGAGTACCATTAAAATCCCAGGCCATTGTTATCCTAATATAGAGATATAGCCGTGCTGATGTTTCCTTGGCAAGCCACTCAAAGGGCTAGGCATGAAAATATCCAAAACACGAAAATTCGCATCGGAAACTTACAGCTCCGCTCCGTGTTTGTTTCAATGGGAGTCCCCGGTTTTTATTTTTCTCGGACAAAGGATACACGCTTTCCGAGTCGGGAATTAAAGATCCTGACCCTTTTTCTTTTTCTTGTATACTTAATTCAAAATTCTTCATTCCTTCTAATTCCTAATACCTTTACAATCTTTACATATGGTGATCATCTCTTCTATTCATCTTTTCTAGGGATATTACCCAACTTAATTAGTCCCATCCCCCTATCAATCCGACAGTGACCCTGTTGGAAGGTCAACATGTCGCTCCTAGGGACATTTAACTCCAACGTCACCGGCACCCAAGACGTGCAGGAATCCCATGTCGCCCACATGGAAGCTCGCCGCCATGACCCCACGGCCAGCGTGAGCACCGATGACACGGCTAATGAGAAGAGCGAGGTGGGCAATGAGGAATACCGCGAGGCTGAGGTCACCCGCCTGGCCCAGCAACTCACCCGCCAGTCAACACGCTTCTCTGTCTCAACCCACAACGCAGAGAATCCCTTCATTGAAACTCACGAGGACTCAACTCTCAACCCTAGCAGTGAAAATTTCAAGGCCAGAGATTGGATGAAGAACCTTCTTGCTATCCAATCCCGCGACCCAGAACGATACCCAAAGCGTCAGGCTGGTCTGTCCTTCAAAAACCTCAGTGTGCACGGGTTTGGCAGTCCCACAGATTACCAAAAGGATGTGGCCAACTCCGTTCTGCAAATTGGTGCCTTGTTCCGCAAGATGACCGGCACTGGCAAGCAGAAGATTCAGATCCTCGACAGCTTCGATGGTCTCATTAAGAGCGGCGAGATGCTGGTCGTTCTCGGCCGCCCTGGATCAGGCTGTTCGACTTTCTTGAAGACCATTGCCGGAGAGATGAACGGTATCTTCAAGGATACCAGCTCTCACATGAACTACCAAGGTATCTCCGATAAGCAGATGCGCCACGAGTTCCGCGGTGAGGCCATCTACACTGCCGAAACCGATGTGCATTTCCCTCAGCTTTCTGTGGGAGATACCTTGAAGTTTGCTGCTATGGCTCGTGCCCCGCGCAACCGCTTACCGGGCGTCACTCGCGATCAGTACGCAGAACACATGCGTGATGTCGTCATGGCCATGCTGGGTCTTTCGCACACTATCAACACTCAGGTCGGTAATGATTTCATCCGTGGTGTCTCCGGTGGTGAGCGGAAGCGTGTCAGTATCGCCGAGGCTACCCTTTGCGGCAGCCCTCTCCAATGTTGGGATAACAGTACCCGTGGTTTGGATAGTGCCAATGCCCTGGAGTTCTGTAAAACATTGGGTCTGATGTCCAAGTACTCGGGTACCACCTGTGCGGTTGCTATCTACCAGGCATCCCAGAGTGCTTACGATGTCTTCGACAAGGTGACCGTGCTGTATGAGGGCCGACAGATCTATTTCGGCCGCACCACCGAGGCAAAGGAATTTTTCACCAACATGGGCTTCCATTGTCCCGAGCGTCAGACTACCGCCGATTTCCTAACCTCTCTTACGAGCCCCGCTGAGCGAATCGTCAAGGCTGGCTTTGAGAGCATGGTTCCCCGTACCCCCGCTGAGTTCGCCCTTGCTTGGAAAAACAGTGCTGCGTATAAGGAACTTCAGAAAGAGATCGCCGACTACGATGAGCAGTACCCTATTGGTGGTCAGTCCCTCGACAAGTTCATCGAGTCTCGCAAGGCTATGCAGTCCAAGGGCCAGCGTGCCAAGTCTCCATACACCCTGTCTGTCATGGAGCAGGTCCAACTCTGTGTCACACGTGGCTTCCAGCGTTTGAAGGGCGACTCTAGTTTGAGTATGTCCGCCTTGATTGGAAACACGATCATGGCATTGATTATCGGTTCGGTTTTCTTCCAGTTGGATGACGATGTGACCAGTTTCTATTCTCGTGGTGCCCTTCTCTTCTTCTCTGTTCTGCTCAACGCCTTCTCCAGTGCCCTAGAGATTCTGACCCTTTACGCGCAACGTCCTATTGTCGAAAAGCAGGCTCGCTACGCCATGTATCATCCGTTTGCCGAAGCGATCTCGTCAATGCTATGCGACATGCCGTATAAGATCATCAACGCCATCACTTTCAACATCACACTCTACTTCATGACTGGTCTTCGCCAATCCGCCGGCGCCTTCTTTACTTTCCTACTCTTCTCTTTCATGACTACCATGACCATGTCCATGGTTTTCCGTACTATCGCCTCGTACTCGCGGACTCTGTCTCAAGCTCTGGTGCCCGCCGCTATCCTCATCCTCGGTCTGGTCATCTACACTGGTTTCACTATCCCGACCCGCAACATGCTTGGTTGGTCTCGCTGGATGAATTACATTGACCCGATTGCGTATGGCTTCGAGAGCTTGATCGTCAACGAATTCCACGGCCGCAAGTTCCGCTGTCTGGAAGAGTCTTTCATCCCGGCGGGAGAATCCTATATGGGTGTCGACCGGTTTAGCAAGATCTGCTCGCAGAAAGGAGCCGTCGCTGGCCAGAACTATATTAACGGCGAGGATTACTACACTGCAAGTTTCCAGTACTCCAACAGCCACAAGTGGAGGAACCTGGGAATCATGATTGCGTTCATGATCTTCTTCATGGCTACCTACCTCATCGGAACCGAGTACATCTCCGAGTCGAAGTCCAAGGGCGAGGTCCTGCTTTTCCGTCGTGGCAACGCTCCCAAGCACTCCAGCAACTCCGAGGATGACGTCGAGCAGACTCAGACCGTGTCCGCTGCCGAGAAGAAGGATGGCGCTAGCTCCAATGGCGAAGAAACCACTGCCGCAATCCAGAGACAAACCGCTATCTTCCAGTGGCAAGACGTGTGTTACGATATCCACATCAAGAAAGAGGAACGTCGCATTCTCGACCACGTTGATGGCTGGGTCAAGCCTGGTACCTGCACTGCTCTCATGGGAGTTTCTGGAGCCGGTAAAACCACTCTTTTGGATGTCCTTGCCACCCGTGTGACAATGGGTGTTGTGACTGGTGAAATGTTGGTTGATGGCCGCCCTCGCGACCAGTCTTTCCAGCGAAAGACTGGCTATGTCCAACAACAGGATCTACATCTCCATACCACCACAGTCCGCGAGGCTCTCCGCTTTAGTGCTGTTCTCCGTCAACCGCATCACGTTCCACACCAGGAGAAACTCGACTATGTCGAGGAAGTGATCAAACTTCTTGGAATGGAACACTATGCGGATGCCGTCGTCGGTGTTCCCGGTGAAGGTCTCAACGTCGAACAGCGCAAGCGTCTTACAATTGGTGTCGAGCTAGCTGCTAAACCGCAGCTGCTTCTGTTCCTGGACGAGCCCACTTCCGGTCTTGACAGCCAGACATCTTGGTCGATCTTAGATCTCATTGATACCTTGACCAAGCACGGCCAGGCCATTCTCTGCACTATTCACCAGCCCTCTGCCATGCTCTTCCAGCGATTCGATCGTCTGCTCTTCCTTGCCAAGGGTGGTAAGACCGTCTATTTTGGAGAAATCGGTGAAAAGTCCTCTACGCTTTCTAACTACTTTGAACGAAACGGTGCACCCAAGCTGTCTCCCGAGGCTAACCCTGCCGAATGGATGCTTGAGGTAATTGGAGCCGCCCCCGGAACCCACAGTGAGATCGACTGGCCAGCTGTGTGGCGCGATAGCCCTGAGCGCCAGGAAGTCCACAACCACCTCGCCGAGCTCAAATCCAACCTTTCTCTGAAGCCCGTTGCCACAAACGATAACGACCCAACCGGCTTCAATGAATTCGCCGCACCGTTCACCGTGCAGCTCTGGCAATGTCTTCTCCGTGTGTTTAGTCAGTACTGGCGAACTCCAATCTACATCTACTCCAAGATAGCGCTCTGCACCCTCTCAGCGCTCTACGTCGGTTTCTCTTTCTTCCACGCTCAGAACAGTATGCAAGGACTCCAGAACCAGATGTTCAGTGTCTTCATGTTGATGACAGTCTTCGGTAACTTGGTGCAACAAATCATGCCCCATTTCGTCACCCAGCGCTCCCTCTACGAAGTCCGCGAACGCCCCTCCAAATCATACTCTTGGCAAGCCTTTATGACCGCCAACATCATCGTTGAACTCCCCTGGAATGCCCTCATGTCCGTCCTCATCTTCGTCTGCTGGTACTACCCCATCGGACTCCAACGCAACGCCGGTGATGACCTCCACGAGCGCGGCGCCCTAATGTGGCTCCTCGTCTTGACCTTCATGCTCTTCACCTCCACCTTCTCCCATATGATGATTGCCGGTATCGAGCTCGCCGAAACAGGAGGCAATCTCGCTAACCTGCTCTTCTCTCTTTGTCTGATCTTCTGCGGTGTCCTCGCCACCCCCGGCAATATGCCCCGCTTCTGGATCTTCATGTACCGCGTCTCGCCATTCACCTACCTAGTCTCTGCAATGCTGTCGACCGGCACAGCTGGCGCCAAAGTCATCTGCGAGGACATCGAGTTGCTTCGCTTCGAGCCTACCAAAGGCATGACCTGCGGCGAATACATGCACGATTTCATCTTCGGAACAGGAACAGTCACCCAGCCCGGACGTGGCGGTTACCTCGTGGACGCTAACGCCACTAGCGACTGCTCCTTCTGCACCGTCGATAACACCGATACTTTCCTCCTGGGTGTGAGCAGTTCCTACAGCGACGCGTGGCGCAACTTTGGCATCATGTGGGTGTTTATCATCTTCAACATTTGTGCCGCTGTTGGTATTTACTGGCTTGCTCGTGTACCCAAAGCACCACGCAGCAAGAAGACTAAGACTGCTTGATTGATACATACCCTCCTCTTTTTTTTTTTCTTCTTTTTTCTTCTTTTTCCCTCCGCTCAACTGAACAGGCTTCTGAGCGCTACTGTCAAACACTGCATTAGACCGCCCTCTCTAATCCTCCACTCTTCTTGTTACATATTTTTTGTTTGTTTACATACTACACCTGGTCTAGCGGGTGGAGATGTCCTAGATAATACATACACTAGCCTAGAGCCTCTTGTGCGATTACATAGTTTATTACGTTTCTTATTTGAGAATTTTGTGCACACCAAATAGACAAGGCAGTAAATCCCCTTCCAAGGTTCTCAATAAGAGACTATTATCTATGTAGGAAAAGGATGAAGATTCAAGTTATGATAGTGATATGTAGTTATACAGTTGAACACCAACGTTATATGCGCCCGCTAACCGCAAAGCACAGAAAAAGCACTGGGGAAAAAAGATTACATTGAACAGAAAAAAGGGGAAAGAAACCCCTTAGGGAGTAAAAAGCAAAAAGTAAAAGAAAACAATCACCATGTAAATGCCTCCTCAACAAAATCAACAACAGCCCCCTTCCCAATCCTCTCCCTAGTCGCAGACCTAACCTCATCTGCAAAAGCCCCAGGCCCACAAACACTAACAAGTGTCGCCCCCGTCCTGGTCGGCAAAATCTCATCAAGAACAACATCAGGCCTACACCGACCGGAATGCATAAGCACTGTCGCAGAAGGACTAACGATATCCGCTGCCCGACGCGGCTTCGAAACGAAGAGCTTCACAACGAGAATATCTCGTCGACTGGGTAGTCGTAGGATCTGGTCCATGTAGCTACTTACCCAGGCGAGGTGATCTGTAGAGCGGACAGACCAGATCAAGTAGACTTTTCGTGTTGCGGCGGAGTTCTGTGCGGCTTGGGTGACGAGTGCGTGGGTGTGGAGGAGGTGGTGGGTTATTCCTGCGCCGGCGCTGAACAGGATTGTTGTGCCGTAACTTGAGAGGTTTATTGGGTTTGAGCCGTAGGGGCCTTCGATGAAGCCTGATAGTGTGAGGGATTTTGAGGGGGATGCGTTGGCGAGGTTGTAGAGACGGCGGGTCATTCCCTTTTGGGCGCCGATTATGAGGGAGACTTGGGTTGTTGGTTTGGTGGGTTTGGTGGGGAGGTTGGATTGTTTTTCTATGTCGGTGTATGTGCCCTTTCGGGGTTGGGTTGGGGAAGGGAGGAGTGTTGCTGTCTTGCTTGTGCTGGGCTCTGCCCAGGCTATTGAGAATGGGTGAGACATCCACCATGAGATGCTGGGGATGTAGGCGAATACGTGGCAGCCTGGTTCGATTTGAACGAGTTTGGGGAGGTGGAAGGTTACGCGGCAGGCTTCGCCTGGGAGCGCTTGGACGACCATTCTTGTTGTGCCGGAGGTTGAGATATTGAGGTGGACGAGGCGGAAGAGGCGTGCGAGTCGGTCGCCTAGCCAGAGTGCAGCGATCGTTCTTGCCCAGTTTTGCTGTGGGAGACTGTCTATTTGTAGGTGCATGTATACGCCGAGGAAGGCTAGCACGGCGGCCAGCTGGTGTAGATGTAAGAAGGTCTCGTAGAAAGCGTGGCGGATGGGTGAGGGGGAGTGTAGGCAAAGGAACATCATTGCGGCTGTGCCTACCAGGCCCCAGGTGAAGAAGGGAGTGCTACGTAGGCGGGCGAGCATATGGGTAAAGTCTTCCTCGTCGACGGCATTGACGGCCCATGCGGCTGTGTGGACGACTGCCTCGAGGACGACGATGCGGCCCAGCCAGCGGTGGAGGAGGTTGTATGTGTCGAAGCTGATGTGGAGGAGAGGGATCAAGGGGTTGTTTCGGCCAGCGAGGAGGAAGAGCGGGACCATGTTGAGTACGGCCAGCGTCCCGGATCGGCCGCGCAGCTCGGCTACCAAGGCTGCCTTGTTGTTGACACTATAGTCCAGGAAGACGCAGTATGTGACCTGGCTGGCGAAGTATAGTGTGACCAGGATGGTCTGTAGTCGGGAGGGTAAGGTACCAACATTGACAGCCGAAGAGAGCTGTAGTTCTCGGTTGTGTCGTTTCTTTCCTAGTGGGGCATATAAGATGTGTTTCTTGAGGTTGGACCACCACGATGATTGCTCCTGGGCCCAGAAGGTCTGCTGGCGCTGGTTTGCACCAGATGCGATGATTCGGCGCAGATAGGCATGGCTAATCTGGGCGACCCGGCCACAGAACAATGCGAATGCCACAGCGCTGAGAGAAATGTAGATGATCCGAGTAATGATCACATCACGAGGGACGTCCACACCACTCAATCCCCTTGAGTACTCATATATGTATGTGGCATTCGACCCGTACCCTCGTGCCGCGATATGCGGATGGGTCGTTGCCATTGAACGGGCGTAGATATTGAAGAGAGGGAGATGTTGCGCTCTGGGCAGAAAACATGCAAGGCTGTGCTTTCGACGTTGCACAACCCCTTGGTCGATATGGCAATCTGTAATATGTTTCAAGGAGCCGCTCAACAGCTCAGATCGAAATATGAAGATTTAGATGTCGACTGGAGGGCATTTGTGGGGCTAAACGAAATCAAGGACGGATGGATCAGATGAGATAGATCATAAACAGGGTTGGCGAAAGAGAGTCGATATAGATAGAGACCTCTTTGATTGTATCAGACAAAGACAATGTGTAATAATGAGAGCATTGTGGCTTCGTAGGACAATGGACAATGAGCTTTGTTTCAATGTGAATGTCCCAGTTGAAGTCAACAAAGCGACCCAAAATAACCCTGATCTTTGGAATTCGAGAGAAATTGGCACGTCACCAAGAATCGAAGGTGGAGGGCTCTCACAAGGTATCTGAAATGCAAGGGGTGGCACGTTTTTCTATGAAGAATGGAATCGGACAATGTAGAGGCAGTCCAGACCAGGATATATAGAGCCAAGCAAGATCTATGAAGAGAATGTGTGCAATCGAGACCAGCCAACTATCTTAAAAAGCCAAGAAAAATGGAAGAGGAGAAGAAGGCTCGGGCTGAAGACGGAGTTTTGAAGGCAACAAGGCAGCATATGGACATATCATGTTTCTGCAAGCCCCCCTTATGGCCTGATTAGCAAGTGTGCAAGGCGTTTAAATGGCCGAGAGCCTATCAACATGATTTTTGGAGTGACGCTAAAGACCGCCGGCGTTTCCAAGCAGACTAGTGGCCCCTTTATACGGGCGTGATGATTTGCTGATGATCCTTGCAGATCTTAGTTCAACTCTCGGCGTAACGCCTTTGGATGAGAGCATGTGGAGTCTGAAACATGATTAATCGTAGACGTTCAGATTTTCCGGTGGACATCCGGTGAACACCCGAAGTTGTCTTACTGTCAGACAATTGGCTTCGTTCAAGTTTCAGGGGAATGTGCACTGACCACTCTACGACCTGACGATACTTAGTAAGATGTAGTATGTACGTTATGTGTCCAATCTATTCAATGTATGTAGTCTTTCTAAACATTTACCGTCCCATCCATCCACCGTCAACTGTGAGAACCTCACCAGATACGTAGCTGCTAGCCCGACTGGCTAGATACACCACAGCACCCTTGAAATCTTCAGGGTTTCCCCATCGGCCAGCCGGGATACGTGCCATGATACCAGCATTGCGAGAAGCATCGTTGATGAGGGCGGTGTTCATATCAGTAGCAATATAACCGGGCGCAATCGCGTTGACATTGATTCCCTTGGCGATCCAGTCGTTCGAGAGTGCCTTGGTCAACTGCCCAATGCCACCCTTGGATGCTGCGTAGGCGGGGACAGTAATCCCACCCTGGAAGGTGAGCAGAGAGGCGACATTAATGATGGAGCCCCGACGGCCCTGGGGGAATTCAGAGTCGTCACGGGCCAAGAGGTATGCGGCGAATTCTCGGCACATGATAAACACGGAGGATAAATTAATTTCCAGGACCTAGACATTATTTCCACAAATGAGTTATAGTGTTTCAAGGGGGATTTACATCAGGAGTCTTTAGATGGGGCTCTTGACTGACCTCATCCCAGTCCTCGTCTGGGAACTGTTCGGCGGGGTGTCGCCGTTGGATCCCTGCGCAGTTCACCAGAATCTCGGGCTTGAGGCCTTGGCTGATCAATGCAGGGATGATGCCTTTGACGGCCTGCCGGTCCCCTAGCTCGGCAACGTGGATCCATGCCTGACGTCCAAGGCGATTAATGATCTCATCCTTGGTTGATGTGTTGGTATTGTCTCTCTATTAAGATGTTAGCACATGCCCTCCAACTCTTTCCAGGTGACTCGCCTGAATCAAGATGATATCGGCGCCAGCCTCAGCCAGAGCAATGGCCATGGCTTGGCCAATGCCTCGTGTTCCACCGGTGACGATGGCGGTTTTCCCATTTAGGGAGAAGAGGGACATTACGTCTGCCATTTTGAATGTGAAGATGAGTCTGCTAACGATCTTGCTAACACTTGAAATAAAAACAAAAGAAAAACCCGGGAGGAGCTCCAAATAACAGCCAAAATGGAGAACGCGGGGGTTGTCCGAAGGGGAAATGCCTATAGCCGGGGTCATTAGCCGATCGGCAATTGATACGGTAGTCTTTTTCCTACTATGACAATATGATCGAACTAATAAATAGCGTATGAAGAGATATATCTCTAATATTCTGCTCTAAATACTCAAGTACTAATGTGATCTTCTAAAAGGAAAAACATCGCTTATATCCCTTTATATAGCGGCAGAAAGTAGGCAAATCATTTACCCCCAAAGCCCTGGAGGTTTCCAAGCTTAGCGCATCAACCCCGTCTCCCCACAGAAGCATGGACACGATGAGTAAGGGTCTGAGGACTTCCTGGTGGAGACGCTGGACTTTGATTTTCTACTTTTCAATGTCTCTATAGCCATGGACGAAGAATCCTCAACAGAAGCTTCACGGCGCGATATCGCCAAACGCGTGTCTCGAGCTTGCTTGCATTGTAGACAGCGCAAGTCTCGATGCGACCTGTAAGATCCTTTTTCTTCTGCTTCCTTGCTTGCTTTCCCCGGATCTGCAGTATAGTTGGTTCCGCGCTGATCGCATGCAGAGACTCCAACGGTAACCCAGGCAAACCGCCATGCCAGCGCTGCGTACGCGAGAACCGCGAATGCATACTAGGTGGATCAAATCGTGGAGGTCGTCGAATCCGAAAGAACAAAATCAAAAACTTTACACCCGCCAGTCACTCGCCAAGCAAGGATTCCGAGGCATCAAGCCCAACCAACTCTGAAAACCAGAGAGTGCAATCGGCATCCTATCCCGGGCCGGTAGTCTTCTTGCCGCCTAACCCACCGGCACCAGCCTCAGCATCCGTCGGGGAAGATGATACCTCCATATCGTCTGTCCCGCGCAATCCCTCCGACGCTTGGCAATGCTTAACCGGCATCGCCACGGAAAGCATGGGGACACTCCCCGTGCCCCATAACGACCATGTTCGGTCGGAGTCAACGGCATTTCCAACGTACAACAGCCTACGCAATGGCGTCGTCCCGGACTTTAGCAATCCAACCACCGGCATCAAGGCCTACAGACTCGTTCAATCGTGCGCCCTAGACCCAGAAACGGTGTGGCAATTGATCTCTCGCTATGCGGAGAACTTCCATCAGTATCTTCCCCTTGTGCCGCGGAAGTATTTTACGCGCGCCGCCCTAGATGCCTTTGCCGCGAATGAAAAGCACCTGCTCACGGCAGTTCTGACGATCGCCTCCAAGGACTTGGTCGATCAGCCCGAGATCCACGAGTACTGCTCGAAGTACATGCACGAGCTGATCTCCGGAATCGCCGCGGGCGCGGAGTGTGATGTTGAAGCGGTTGAAGCGCTTCTATTACTTGCCGAGTGGGAACCGCAGGGACTGCGACCTCGCATCGAGCGCGTGGGACGGGGAGAGGAAGACCGCGCTGCGTGGATGCATGTTGGGCTTGCGTTGCGCTCGGGTTATTTCATCGGCATGGATCGTACCTCTTTCCGCGGAGATCCTTATGGTGACCAAGAGAGTGAGGCTCGTCGGCGGCTGGCATGGGCGAGCTGCTATGTCTCTGACCGATTGATTTCTGTGCGCATTGGACGTGCTTTCTGGTCTCGTGGCCCGGGGCCCATGACTGGTCTAGTCAGTCAGGACTTTCCGTCGTTACAGCCGGTTAACGAGGGCGAGGAGGACTATGCGAAGATTTTTCAGGCGATGTTGGATCTTACGCAGCTTTATGGAAATGTACATGAGGTTTTGTATTCGGGGATGCGTACTAGTAACCAGATGATGTTGATGGGAGACTACGTTAAATATGTGGATGACTTCCGTCTGGCGATTCTACGGTGGAAGTCACTTTGGGGGTCATTGGACTGTGAGTTGGTCTTTTCTCGATTCTTTCAGCTTCTGGGTATGAGACCGTTCTAACATATCAATAGGCTCACCCCCTATGCGAGCAACACTACAGTTGTCATACGAGTACTTGCGTCTGTATACCACGGCTTTCGCGTTCCAAGCTGCAATCTCGCAGTCGCTAGTCAAACCGAAAACAGACCTAGAGGGTCAGCGAGAACATCTACGGTCGACATTCAAGAATGTCGCTTCGATGCAGGATTCGCGGTTCATTTATGAATCCGTTGATGCAGCTAAATCATACCTGACAATCCTTGTGGACCTGGTAGATCCTGAGAAGCATCTCCATTTCATGCCTCTCCGCTTCTACTTGTAAGTTTTTCCTGCATTCCGTGTTATATCGAGGCAAACAGCTCATGTGATTTAGATATGGCATCTACTCTGCCGTTTTCCTTTACAAGGTAAGATCCCGGTTCAATTCCTCCTCTTCTGCATCTCATCTGACCGATACCAAAGGCTCGTTCCTTCGGAATGATGGTCCCGTCAGAAGAAGCAAAAGTACAAGGCCTAGTTGGCCGAACCACCGAAGTTCTGAAGCAAGCAAGCGCCGGTGCTGATGACGTTGGGGCGCGCTATGCTCGTCTTCTCGAGCTTCTGTGGAAGCCCAAATCGACCCCCGCAGAGACACAGCAAAACAGTGACTTCTCACTGCAAACAGCTCTCTCGAATCCGGTCGCAGACCCAGGTTACATGCAATTCAGCCCCGCGAATGACTTCTCATGGCTGGATTTAGAGGCTGTTGGTGATTATGTATCCGGGGATCAGATTTCGAATGGCTTGTTGGGGCTGGACGCATTCCAGAATAGCGATATGTATCAAGGAGAGCCACGGTCGCAGTCCTGGCAGCCATCTGCTTGGATGGGAGATATGAGCAGCAACCTTCTCTTTTAAAGGGGGAATGTCTTGATGTGATAGATGTGTACCCCCACACCTCAATCTGACGGCAAATGATGCGGGGGTGCGGGGGGCCATCGGAGATAGCCCCGAGGGTGTTACCGAGGATTCTTTTTGCTTTTGAGGTTTGAGTGTTTACTTCTGCATTTATCATTACATACACTCTATCACGTCATGTCGTTCAACGAGATCAAGGGTCGACTTGCGCTTATCACCGGTGCATCGGGAGGGTAAGCTGTCCACCAAAACTCATGTTACTCCAACACCGAGAATGACTGACATGGATTTTCTAGAATCGGTGCTGCTTGCGCACACCAGCTTGCCCAGCATGGAGTGCATCTCGCCCTGACATACGCGACCAACCTGACCGCGATGAACGCTCTGGTGACCGATCTACAGAGCAAATACGCCGATCACAAGCTCCGTATCTCAATCCATAAAGTGGATGTTGGCTCCGCTGACGAAATCGAGGCGATGTTCCAACAAATTGACACCGAGCACGGCCACCGACCTGATATCCTGATCTCGAACGCTGGATACGGGAAGCGGTTTCCGCAAATCTGGGACTGCTCTCTCGAAGAGTTCGATTATACTCTCACCGTCAACTTGCGCGCCTCATTCATTCTCGTCAAGGGGGTGGTCGAGCGCATGAAGAGCCAGAATTGGGGACGTATTGTGTTTATGTCCTCGATTGCTGCGCAGGGCGGAGGAATCAATGGATGTCGTATGTAACTCGCTCCCATTCTGGAGAATACCAAACTAACTCTCTCTCTCTCTCTCTCTCTTTCAGATTACGCCGCCTCTAAAGGTGGTCTGACAGGCATGATGAAGAACCTTTCTACCCGACTGGCTGAATTCAATATCAGTGTGAACGATGTGGCACCCGCCATGATTGGTGACACCGGTATGATCCCTAATGCCGCAGCTATCCCTGAAGTAGCAGCTAGTATTCCGCTCGGTCGCCTCGGGACGCCTGAGGAGACGGCCAATGTTGTGACTATGCTTGTGAAAACAGGATACATGACGGGTCAGAGTCTCTTGCTGGCTGGAGGGTTGAAATGAGCAACCCAGTAATATTAGGAAGAGTATAAGAAGAGCTTTGCATTGTGCACCTACGAGTTATCAATACTTTGATTCAATTTTGTAGATTCAATTTCTTTTGTAAATCCTCGTTCCCCAACATATATATCCATCCTTTTGCTCTATTGTCACAATCTGGGTATTTTCAAACATTCACCATCATCACTGTCACCATCGCGACACTCACAGAGAGCCATTACGTCGTCGGTTCTCAATAATAACCTTGACAACAGGGTTCCCCTCCTCATCAACACCCTTTCCAGCAAGTGTAAATGCCCGCTCTCCCTCCTCCAACGTAAGCTTATGTGTAACAACCTTCTCCTCAACACTCTTCATCTTTCCACTGGCTAGCAGCGCAATAGCAGCAGGGTACGCAAGTCCATCGTAACGGAACACACCAATAATATCTACCTCGCGCAGCGCCGCGGCACCAACAGGCAGTGTCTGGATAGGATTTCCCATACCAATCTGCACCAGCACACCACCGGGTGCGCTAGCATAGATACCAGCCTGCACACAAGCCGGCACACCAGTACAGTCATAAACACGACTGAATCCGGGAACAACAAGTCCATCCTTGGCCCCAACTGCCTCGACCAACGTAGCCGCAACCTTCTGCGCATTCTCCAGCGCATACGCGGTCTGCTCGGCATGAGGCGCATCCTTCGCAGGAGGCGGCGTCTCCGCCCTAGGAATAAGAGCAGTCTTAAGACCAAGTCCCATCTCCTCCGCAATCTTCAGTCTCCGCGCATCGATATCAGCAACAACAATCGAGGTGAAATTCTCACTAGCAGCCAACGCCCCGGCAAGAAGCAGACCAATCGCACCGGCACCGAAAACCAGCGCAGCAGTCTCCTCTCCAGCAGCGCGGTTCTGCGCGACTTCCTCCTTGCTAGGTGGGTGTGAGCGTCGCACAGCATGCAGTGTGACAGCGAGCGGCTCGACGAGCGCACCGCCTGCATCGGACACGCTGTCGGGAAGGGAATGGCACATGTCTGCTGGGTGGTTTGTGCGTTCCATTAGCGTGCCGTCGAGGTGGGGGAAGCCTTTTGCGGAGCTGCGGAATTGCATTGCTTTGCAGATGTTGTAGCGGCCTTGTTTGCAGAGTGCGCAGATGCGGCATGGGAGGCCGACTTCGAGCGCGACCCGGTCGCCGACTTTTAGGGTCGAGACGGAGCTGCCGGTGGCTGTTACTGTGCCGGCAGATTCGTGGCCTAGACACATTGGTGATCGCACGACGAAGTCGCCATTGCGGCCGTGGCTGTAGTAATGGAGGTCTGAGCCGCAGATTCCTGTTGACCCGATGGCCACTTGGACTTCTGTTGTGGATGGGGCGGCGAGGGTGCGTTGTTCCTGGTTAGGTTAACTTTTTTTGGTTAAGTATATAGTATACGTTTGGGGTTTACTTACCAGGCGGAGGTCTTTGGCTCCGTGGAGAACGAGGGCGGTGGTTGTGTTTGCCATGGTGTATAGTGTAGTGTAGGTGCTAACTTCTGAAAGAAAGAAAGGATTCAAGTAAAATAGTGAAACCTGACTCCCTTCGGGCTTTGGAGTCAAGTCCCGTTCCCCTCATAATCAGGCCAAACACCCCACTTGATCATGGCGGGGGGAAGACTTGAGCCGGAGGTGCTCCGCTGTCGGTTATTGAACAGAAAAGGGGAGATTTCAATACCCGACGTGGGGGTTGCTTTTTACATTCTTTGAGGGTTAAGAAGTCAAGAATTAAAGAAGTAGTAAGATAATAAGTAAGGATGATTGGTTGTATAGAAGATATGTGTAGAAAATGATTAGTAGAGATATAAAGGCTGGTATATACTCATCTATATATCTGTATCTATATCCAAGACACCGTCGGAGGAGCCCCCGTCATGACATGGGGGTACAGCGGGGATCTCGGAATCTCCAATCTTTTGTTTTCCAGGAATCTTGTTTCTACTTTCTTTTCATTTTCAAATCTTTGTATTGCTTCATTCCCTTCTCTTGTTATATACTATAGAAAGCATATGTGAGCAACCCCGCTGACATCGTTTGGCGCATCTAACATTTGTAGAAACATGGCAACACAATCAGCTCTCCTCATTGGAGAAATCACCCACGCGCGCAAGGAGTGGGAGAGCATTTCCTCTCTTTTGACATTGAAAGTAAGCGATTCCTATTGCGCCACGATCGAATCCTGCTAAAACAAACAAATCAGGAATTCCCCAGCGGAACCAGAGAAGAGTTCATTGCGAACTGCAAGACTGGCAAGTATGATGATGTAGTTGCGCTCTACCGGTCCAACAACTCCACCAAGGTAGGCAATTATTACTCCTTCGCTTCGAGTTATCGTACTCACAGCGCATAGTACACCGGTCCCTTCAATGCAGAAATGCTGGAAGTCTTGCCTAAATCTCTCAAGTACATCTGTCACAATGGCGCGGGATACGACAACATTGACATCGCCGCCTGCACGGAGAAGAACATCGCTGTGTCCAGCACCCCAGTCGCTGTCAACGATGCGACAGCTGACGTGGGCATTTTCCTGATGATCGGCGCTCTGCGCCAGGCTCACGTGCCTATTACTGCTCTCCGGGAAGGTAGGTGATTCTAAACAAGAGCGGATTAATCTTCCTTCGGTAGCCAGTCACTAACCATAATACCATGACAACAGGAAAGTGGCAAGGCCCGATCACCGCAGGAGGAAAGGAGTACAGAACCACCCTGGGCCACGATCCCAAGGGCAAGGTCCTCGGAATTCTGGGCATGGGAGGCATCGGTCGGGTATGTAACACAGACGGTAACACAACACCCGATCCCAGCTAACTATGAGCAGGAAATGGCAATCCGCGCCAAGGCCTTCGGAATGAAGATTCAGTACCACAACCGGACCCGTCTATCAGCCGACCTGGAAGTCGGCGCGACATACGTCTCGTTTGACGAGTTGCTCGCTAATGCCGACGTGCTCAGCTTGAACTTGGGCTTGAACGCATCCACCCGCCACATTATTGGTGCGACCGAGTTCACCAAGATGAAGGATGGTGTAGTGATTGTTAACACCGCACGTGGTGCACTGATTGATGAGAAGGCGTTGGTCGCGGCACTTGACTCTGGCAAGGTATGTAATGCTGCGCATTAAACTGGAACATTCCTTCCATGATGGATATGCGGACAATCCGGCTGACTGGTGGTTGTTCTATAGGTGCGCTCTGCTGGTTTGGATGTGTACGAGTGTGAGCCGCAAATCGAGCCCGGTCTTGTTAGCAACCCAAATGTTATGTTGACACCGCATATTGGTACCGGTACTTATGAGACTCAGAAGGAGATGGAGATTCTGGTGCTGGATAACCTGCGGTTGGCTGTTCAGAAAGGTGAGCTTATTACACAGGTGCCAGAGCAGAAGAAATAGATATAGATATATAAAGAATAAAACTTGTTACATTCAATCATCAAGTATTCAAGTAGCATAGCCTCGAAAGGAAGTGTTCGCCTTAGAATTGTGAGCCAAGGTTGACACCTGAGATGTGGGGCAGAAACAAGATGACTCAGGTCTGACATAACTCAAAGGCGGAGTCCACCCAAATCGGCTAGCGTTAGGGCTCGCTTAGGGCCAGAGCGCCAAGAGCGAAAAAAACCGCACCAAAGCTAGTGGCTCAAGCGAGCGCCGGACGACGACGAAAAGCGACAACAACTCATCACCGAGGACCATCACACCCCCTCGCCAACTCCTTCAAGATGGTGAGTGCTGCATGGCCCTGTCATCGATAATGACCATTCGGAATCCCATTCTCTACGAAATGCCACCCGTGTGATACACATTCAATGTCCGATCGCATGGTCGACTTTCGCTGCCAACATCACCAACATCCAACGACGATCCCATTGCTAACGAGCGATGCTTTTCACAGGTCCGTTACGCCGCCCAGGAGATCTCGCAGGAAAAGAGCGCCCGCGCGTGCGGCTCTTACCTGCGTGTCAGCTTCAAGAACACCCGTGAGACTGCTCAGGCCGTCAACGGAATGAAGCTGTCCAAGGCTCTCACTTTCCTCGAGAACGTCACCACCAAGACCATGGCCGTTCCCATGCGCCGTTACGCTGGCTCCACCGGTCGCACCGCTCAGGGTGAGTCGCCCTTTTTCTCTTTTTTTTTTTCTTGAAGCAAATTCCGGATCGATCGTACTGGAGTTTTTTGAAGGGATTGTGGGGAGGACGAACAGCATCGCCAATTATACGACAGCCATTGGGATATGCATTGGAATGACGAGGAAAACATGAATTGAACGAGAGGATGGATTTCTTGGCTTATTGGCGATGCTGTGGATTCTACGATCTGGATGAAAATTTGTGAATGGAGTCGAACATCGACTGACAATTTTTGGTTTCTAGGCAAGCAGTTCGGTGTCTCCAAGGCCCGCTGGCCCGTCAAGTCCGCTGAGCACATCATTGATCTGCTCAAGAACGCTGAGGCCAACGCCGATGGCAAGGGTCTCGACACCGCCAACTTGATCATCAAGCGCATCCAGGTCAACCAGGCTCCCAAGGGTCGCCGCCGCACTTACCGTGCTCACGGTCGTGTATGTTTTTCCTAAGAATTTTTACGGTTGAGTCTGTATTTACAAGAAATGCTGATTTTTCTTTCCAGATCAACCCCTACATGACCAACCCCTGCCACATCGAGCTCATCCTCACCGAGGCCAGCGAGCAGGTCCAGAAGGCTACCACCGACAAGCAGGTCCGTCTCTCTTCCCGCCAGCGTGGTACCCAGATCCGCCGTGCTCTCATCGAGGCATAAACGGATCGCCATAAGAAGGTGTGAGGGGACGTGTGGTTACGCAATGTGAAAAGATTTTTGCGGTGGACGGGAAGGATCGGAGTTCTTTGCATCAGCTGTGTATGTTGGAACGGAATCGATACCGGATCATACAAGATTTAAGGTCATGGCGCCAACACTCGGAGGAGAACCCAATAAAAAGTTTAAACGATATGGCCCAGGGTGATGGAAATAGGATTCTGTACTTCCCGATCCAATCATGATACAAACGTGGTTCTTTCTCCGTGACTCTATCGAGTGTCTTTTTCCTCTTTTGATAAGGACTGTTTTCGGTTTCTTGTCTAGCTGCACACGTCTCTGTCAAGGTTCCGATCTTTCGGTCATAATATGATCTCATTTTTTCTGTTTTAATATGCATCATGAGATCCATTGTAGCGATGACTTGATGACTAGATTCAATGCCAAGGTTTAAACTACGGGGCTAACCTCTATGCACTTGATATGAGGGTATTATTTCAAGGTTGGGAATGGAATCACGAGGAAATCCTGCCTATACCACTTCTGGTCCCCGACAATCCTTATCTAGGAACTTCTGCCGTAAGAAATGCCAAGGGGAATAACCAGGGATCTAAATGCGGGGGTATAAGTAGCCCGGAACAGAATACATCTTTGAGATTCCTGCATACCAATCTACTCCCTCGATATATATATATTCACCAGATCAATCCAAGATGACCAACCTCTCAGACTACCGCCTCCTCTGCTTCGACGTCTATGGAACTCTAATAGACTGGGAAAGCGGCATCATCACCGCACTAGGACCAATACTCTCAAAAAGCACCACCCAATTCACCCGCGAACACCTTCTAGAAACCTATCACGACCTCGAAAGTACCCAACAAATCGCAACCCCGGACCTTCCATACTCAGACCTGCTATCGGCAATCCACCCCACCCTCGCCGCACGTCTAGGCCTCGACCCGCCAACCGAGGAGGAAAGCCGCCAATTCGGCAACTCCGTCGGAACCTGGCCAGCCTTTCCAGACACCGTCGACGCCCTGCGTCGACTATCAAAGCATTACAAGCTAGTGGTACTATCGAACGTGGACCGGGCTTCATTCGCCAAGTCCAATGCCGGTAGCTTGCAGGGCGTGCCGTTTGATATGATTCTTACCGCGCAGGACGTTGGCAGTTATAAACCTGATCCGCGGAACTTTGAATACATGTTGAATGCTGTGCAGCGCGAGTTTGGGGTTGACCCTGAACAGGTTCTGCAGACGGCGCAGAGTCAGTTTCATGATCATCAACCTGCGAAGAAGGTTGGCATTAAGTCAGTTTGGATTGAGAGGCCTGGGGCTTTGATGGGGAATCGGGGGGAACCGATCTTTGATTGGCGATTTGAGACGTTGGGGGAAATGGCGGATGCTGTTGAAGCAGAGTAGAGGGGTATGGGTTTGATATCAAAAAACGGGGAGTATGGACGTATTCAATGTCAAGTACTTGGTACTTCTAGATATATGTTGAATGCGGCTTGTAACCAGGTACTGTCTACCCCCACACACGTGGCTGAGTCAGTCAAAACATCCCTGGAGTCTCGTTGCCTGGAGCCTGGATGGCTTCGGCTTGGCAATGCAGAACACCTGGCTGCGTGCGTGGAATGTGGCTTTGACCGCTGGGAATATTGACTTTATATACCACTGTCCTGGTTTTTCGACCCCTTAGCGAGGGCGCTTATTGTTAGTTCCCTGCGGTGCTTCTAGGCCGGCAGTTGGCCCCCGGCAAGAATCATTCTTTGACAATTTGAGCTATTTTTCCTCCTCAAAATTTCCCCCTTAAAATAACAGACTGTGCGATCACCATGAAGCGCTTCCTGGGATCTCTGAGCAGGCGCTCAAGTGAGTGTCTCACCGTCTCCACGTCTCCGGGGCCCGCAACCTCGCTGACAGGTACCTGAACATAGGCTCTAGCGACAGTGTCGAACACCGTGAAGACTCACCAGAAGCCATTGTCCTGAAAGAATTGGTTTGTGTTAATTTCAGAAAAATTAAATTGGACACACTGACATCTTCAGACTGCCTTCTGCGAATCGAATACAAATACAAATGCGAATGGTTCTTCGCGTGACGCGGTATGTGCCTCGGAGATGACAGGAACCCCCTTTTCAAGACTGACAAATCGCATTTGCCCTCCAGCAAGGAAATGAATTCGTCCACCTCCCCAGAATCGTCGAAACTGCCGAGTCGAGCCCCAATGCCGCCAAGCAAGCGGCTCTGCGCATTCGCAAGTATCTCGCAGATCCCGCCGGCACCCCGAACCAGACTCAGTACAATGCGATCATGCTCATGCGCATCCTGGTCGACAACCCGGGCCACACCTTCACCCGCAACTTAGATGCTAAATTTGTGACGACCATCAAAGAGCTGTTGCGCACAGGACGCGATTGGCATGTGCAGAGCTATCTCCGCCAGTATCTAGATCTCCTTGAGCAACAGCGGTCATGGGACCAAGATCTCAAACTGCTGCTGCAGATGTGGTCGAAGGAAAAGATTAAAGCTTTCCGCGGTGTGGTGAGCACATGGTATCTTCGCGCGCCCACCATCCAAGACTAACCTAGCCAGATCGACCCTTTTCCGATGAATACCATCGTCCCACCGCAAGTCCCGCCCAGGCATCTCCAGCAGCAACCATATATCCAGCCCCGCGCGCCGGCAAATACTCTCCCAGATCTGGTAGAACTAGCGGCGCGCATCGAGGAAGCGCGCAATTCGGCAAAGCTGCTAACGCAGTTCGTCCAGTCCACGCCACCGGTAGAGCTGGAAAACAACGATCTCATCAAAGAGTTCATCGACCGCTGCAGGTCCAGTTCGCGTTGTATTCAAGGATACATTCACTCGACCAACCCGGCTCCAGACGAGGACACTATGTTGACGCTTATTGAAACGAACGACGAGATCTCCGTAGCGCTGTCGCAGCAGCAGCGTGCCATGCTGAAGGCACGCAAGATTAGAGGGTCTTCATCGCCGAGTTCGTCCAATTTGAATAGCCCCTCGCCGACATCACCGCCTGTCGCATCAGGCCCTACGACTTTCTCCCCTCCCGCCAGGCCGCCCGTTCGGACTGCAACACGCAGCCCCGAGTCCCCTGCTCCCGTCCCGGCACAGTTGCCTTCGACGGCCACGACCGGTAGCCGCGCACCTGCTTCTAATCCTGCATCGGGATCTGCGACTGCGAGCCGATATGAATACAACGCCGAGGAATTCCAGGTGCGGAATCCTTTCGCTGATGACTATGCTACAAATGACTCGGACCAGGAGAGGCATCGGGGGCATGGTGATTCGCAGCCCCACAGTGATCGTGTGCGCTTGCAGCCCACTGAGCAGGAGCGCTAGGGTTATGCAAGGATTTTGATGTTTCTCTATCATCGCCTATCGCCTGGACTCTTTTTCTTTTTTGCGGTTATATCCAACCCTGCTTGCCGTTTTGTCTATTTTTGCAAGCGTATAGCTTTTGTCTGTTTGTCTTTTGGCTTTCTCTTAGTTTTATTTTCTTGTCTCTTACCTTCCATGATACCTCGCGCCGCACACATACTGTTTAGCTTTTCACTACCCATGTCTTCAGCAACACGTTTGATCTATAGGGGACCGAGTCCGTCTTTCCGCACCCTAGGTACCGTATATACCTACGAGTCTTACACCTTCCGTGGTCCATTGTTGTAGCGTGTGAAGGACATCGTCTAGGTATATACAAGGCCCGCACAAGCAAAAGATCCAATGCTTTGGTAGAAAGTCATAAACAGCTTGAAAGAGTCCAAAAAAGCACAAGGTGCCAATCCACGCTGGTGGATGCCAAAATAAACCGCCAAATATCAGACATCCTCCAACCTGCAAATGCCCGCGCAATAAAAACACCTTCATATCTTCGTTGACCCCAAAAACAGGGGATAATCCAGCCATATCTCGACAGCCGAAACTGACGTATACCACCTTTTACTCCTCAATCTTGATACTAACCTTCTCATCAGTTGCAGCCTGAGACTGGTCCCTCGCTGCAATCTCCTCAGGGAAAGGCTTCCTCGCCCACACACGTCTCCTGTGTAAAAGTCAGCCGGACCCCCAACACTTCCAGAGGAAAAAAAAAAAAAAAAAAAACTCACGCGCGCTCATAAATATGATAGCGAGGATTCTTAAGCTCATTCCTCAGCTTCGCAACATAAACAATAACCTCATCCTGCGACCAAGGCTCCGGAGTCCCGAATTTACAAAGCAACCACATAGCCCAGCCCTCCATACCAGACATCCAATGATGGTAGTTCACAGTGCCGGCCTCTTTATATTTCTGATCACGCGCCCACGGCCCGAGGGGCCACTTGTATTCTTTTTCACAGATATCCACGAACCCGGCCTTGCGGAAGGCGTCTTGCATCATGTCAATTGTTCCAAGCGGGCGGCCCGCACGCTCGCCGCATGCCGATAGCGCTGGTCCCCAGCTACGCAAGATGTTGTCTTCTGGTAGGCTGTTGTCGTCGCATTCGACGTAGGGACTTGCTTCTAGTTGTTCGATCCAACCGCCTGGGCGGATGTTGCTGTGGGTTTGAGTTAGATGAACGGGAGAAGGACGGAAAGGATGATGGCTTACTCGTAGCATTGCTGGTAGAGACGATCCCATTCTTTGTAGTCAAAGGCTCCGATCATAATGCGCATGTGGATCAGGTCTTGAGGTTCGTTCCAGGTCCATTCTTCGGCGATATTGTCGACTTCGAGGACGCAGTTTGGGGGTACCCATGTTACTGGTGGTGGGAAGAGGTCGACTCCGCGCACGCTGGCTGGGGATTTGGTTAATATGTTGATCTGCTATGAGTGAATTGAGTCCGTATTGGGCACTCACCTTCTGGGAACATGTCGGCTACATCGCTAGAACAGGGTGAGTGACGATCCTTTGCAAATAGAGGTGTTTTATCTTCACATACATGGCCCAGTTACCCACACCTGTTCCAAGGTCGAGAATATGTTTAGGATTTTTGACAGGCGCCCGGAAAAGAGGGTTATCGTGGTCTGAGTCCATAACGAGGGCTACTAAGTGGCTGCCATAGTGAGTTATTTGAAAAAAAAAAAAAAAAAAAAAAAAAAAAAAACCATATATAAGAGGATGCATACCCAGCTTCGTATGTCTCGAACTGCTTCTCGTCTGATGGAACCCTGATAGAAAGTAAGCAGGTAGTACCCCTTGCAGGAACCCTATGCGTACAGATATTCTTTGTGGCTCAGTGTTTGATACCGTCGGCCATTCTCCTCTAGCCCTCGATAAAGCGAGGAGCCGATCGAAGTGGTTTCCCTGAGATTGTGTAAGAGATCTTTTTCGTATAGGACAAAAGATAATATTTACGATTGCCAGTCATCCCCGTAAACGGTTGTGACGTGGGTCGTTGGATCCTAATACTAGTTAGAAAAGAAAAAATATCAACATAAAAGTAGATGTACCACGGCGATTTCATCCTCTGGCTCAGTATGTATTTTATCCATAGTTCAGCTCATAGAAAAAGGTGGAAGATGAAGAATCTGAAACCAAAACAGGAATTGGCCATCAGACCCCCCGCTCTGACATCTAGTTTTACTAGTCGAAAGTTAGATGTCAACGGCCATAGAACAAAAGAAACCATAGGCTGTTTTGATATATGTGGGCTTGTGGGGTGGAATCCAATCCCGGTCGCTATGAGCCCTCGGATTGGATGTTGAGGAAGTTGCATGTGAATTTGCAAAAGTACGATGATCTACCAATAAGAACTCTTTTTAAAGTCCATTCTTCACAGAAATGCTGCAGAAATATAGGCCAAAACTAACTTCACCCTCTGGATTATGATCAAAGCTTACCTAGACCTTTCAGACACCATACTCTAATCTAATATCTATCGCTTTTATAGATTTATTTGACCTTATATGGTTATAAACTTATCCACGGCTCTACGGGCATTTATGATTCGGTGTCCGTCCGACACGAGAATACGAAGCTTACATCAGGTTAGTTCTGTTCAAATGTACAACATAGGTACATTCACAGTACTCCCCGTACTCTCCGTATGCTCCGTATACCCCGTAGCTTATGGGGGAAATAGGCTATCAAATAGGCTATGTGGGAACCCAGATGACGCCTCGACATTTGAACTATATAGCCCACATTGCTAACACATTCCTGACCATAAACCATTCAACGCAACATCTCATATTTACAAGTTCCAAACATGTCAAACCTTCCCCTCAAAATGCGCAGCATCATCCAACCAACCGCCTCCTCCAAAACCCTCACCCTAACAAACACCCCTCTCCCAACCCCGAACCACGCACAGGGAGAGCACATAATTCAAATAAAAGCCTGCAGTCCCTGTGCCGGTGAGCTCCTCTGGCCAGCAAACTTCCCCCCGTCCACAGCGCGCACTCTAATCCCATGCCCGGACATGGCGGGAATCGTCACCTCAGCACCGGAAGACTCGCCTTTCCAGCCCGGCGATGAGGTATACGCGCGTACAAACTATGTCCGACCAGGTAATGCGTGCGAGTATTCCATCGCCGTTACGGCTGAGCTGGCACACAAGCCCAGGGGTCTAAGCTGGGTCCAGGCTGCTGCGGTTCCTGTCTCCGCCGAGACGGCTTGGCAGGTTCTTTTTGTTCATGCCCTTGCTGGGGGAAATGGGGAAGAGATCGATATGGACGCCGCCAAACTTGCTTGGAGTGGGAAGAGAGTGCTTGTCACTGGTGCTTCTGGTGGCGTGGGGATTTGGCTTGTGCAGCTGGCGACTTTGCTTGGTGCGGAGGTGGTGGCGACGTGTGGTCCCCGGAATGTGGAGTTTGTGGGGTCACTTGGGGCGAAGGAGGTGCTTGATTATCGGGTTGTGGACTTGAAGGAGTGGGCACAGTTGCCTGCAAATAAGGTGGATGTTGTTGTTGATTGTGTTGGGGGGAAGGCTCTTGGGGATGCGTGGTGGACTGTTAAAGATGGCGGTGTTGTGCTGAGTATCTCCCAGCCACCTTTGCAGGTTTGCCCGGATGACTTCAAGGGCGAAAGCGTAAGAGACTTGTTCTTTATTATGCAACCTGTGAGGAGGCAGTTGGAGGAGATTTCCAAGTTGATTGAGAAGGGGGTGTGTCGTGGGTTGGTGGATAGTGTCTGGCCTCTTGAGCAGTACGAAGAGGCATTCAAGAGACTGGATGGAGGCCATGCGAGGGGGAAGATTGTCTTTGATCTGTCACTGAATCACTAGAACTGTTTCTCTATCTCTCCACTGTCGCAACCCAGATATGAGAAATAGAACATCATAGTCATTCCTGGAGGCCTGATCCCATTGGGGAGTATACGTCAAATATTATTTGCTATTCCATCCAATCATATACAGAATAGAAGACCCCCTATAGACTCTACCAAAGCAGACACTATAAAGTACTTCTAAGCGCTTTCATGGTTGGTGCCATTTTCGGCAAGCGGATGCCGATAGCTTCGAGCTTTATTCATATGATCATTCCTTTCTTGCTTTTAGTGAACATAGAGTACATCAACTCGTATGTTTTTGCGTTTTATCTCCAACAGCAATTTGAATTGCTTCATTCTCCATTTACTGCAATACTTTGAGCTCCATAATTTATAATTGCATACCAAAACCTTGAACTCCTACGGAATTGAGATTGGGCAGTTTAAATTGTCATACTTATACTTCAATATCAGATCATGTTTGGAAGCTCTCTCCTAACTATATGTCTAGTATACTTTTTACTGCACAATTCAACACTTTGGTAACACTTGCGGAGTCTCTCAACAATCATGTAATATGGCGACCTGCCTCTACTCCCTTTCTTCCCTATTCAGGATTCAATGGCATATAGCAACCAATGTAAACGAAATATTCTTTTCTTTTTCTTCCTTATCTTTCTCCCTCTAACAAAACTCAATCATTATGACATAAGCCGTATGCATATCACTAGCGCGGGTCGACTGATCCATTATGTTGTACTTGTAGGGATCAACTGCACCAATGTCCTCGTTAGTACCGTTCCAGCCTGAGATGGGACGCCAATGCATGTGTGATTATTTCTTTGCCAGTAAGGGCTTATACGCTTAAGTTCATATTCCTAGGAAATAAACCACGGATACAATGTGTGGCGATCAGTAGTGATCCGGGCGATCAGCCTGCATATACGCAGTGGTATAAAACTGGGTATAAGGGGGCCAAAAACCCGCTTTTTGTGGAGCATTCTTCATGTCTTCATGTCTTAATCAACGCCCTGTACTGTAGATCATTTATCAATACTAGTATCAATGAAGCTTTTGATCTCTATGCAAATCCAGATATCTCCGTGGGTTCTAAGTCCAAAGTAAAGGGTTTGATCCCATACAAATGCAGATATCTCCATTCTTAGAGGTTCGTAAGTCCATAAAATGATTTATAATACATGTATAGAGCGGTGCTAATTAGGGCAATCAGGCATGAAAAACTCTCCACAAAAAGCGGGTTTTTGGCCCCCTTATACCGCTGCCTATATGCATGCTAATTGACAATGTGATATTGGAAATAGACGTTGTATCGTGCATAATAACGGGGTGCTACGTCAACACGTGTTTCCAGGCAAAACCTATTTAAGACTGCATAGCTCCCAGTCTGTTTCTCATCAAACTCATCATTGTCTTCAATTCCCCAGTCAATCTCATAGAACAAGGTCTCAATCTTGTGAATATTTCATATATCATGCAATTATCCAACATCTTCTTCGTCCTAATGGCCGCCCCTGCCTTGATTATGGCCTCGCCTATCGAAGCCACTGACTCAGGTGTTGCCAAACGTTCCACTCCTCCTGGAGGATATCAAAACGGATCCGGAGTAGGTGATCTGAGGGAGTGAACAGCACATTTTCTAAAACTTTGATATACAGAAGTGCAACGGGACTAGCTGTAACGTGTCCAACAGCTTGATCCACAATAACCAGTGAGTAATCTACTACATTGAGGTGAGCTCTTAGACGAGGCTAACTTTTCAATCAATATAGACCTTGCGATCATGGAAGCGTGAGTCTTTTCCTCTTCTTGCTTCGGTATTTCTGGTAGTTCTATGACAAACTGACCTAACGACATTGGAAATAGTGTGGTGGACGTGGTGGCGGTGATGGAAAACCTTGTGGCTTTGCTAAGGCTAACGGCGAGATGTATTGTCCCGGCAGCTTTTGAAGGAGGTCAACTTGCTTGATTTGAAACGGTCAAAGCCGTTGAATGGGGTCTCTGAGGCGGGGGTTTTTTGTACCGGGGCTATTGGATCTAAATCCAGATGCTTTATTCACCGGGCTATCTAGGCTTATTCCCATTGATGCGTACTGTTTTCCGAGTCGGGCCTGTTTGCGAGGTAGCGGTGGTTTGCCTTTTGATAGCTCAAGCCCCTAAAGGCTCTCAATTCCTAAACCGGCAGGGGCTTGTCTCTGTAACGCCAATATCCCCTGAACCACGATATACCTAGACAGTGTTGCTAGCATATGGAATTCATCCTAGAGAAAGACAAGTCATCTCATCTAGACAGGGGTCTGGATTTTGGAGGGGATTACACAGCGCTTCCACCATCTAGACCTTGAGTGCTGCAGCACCAAGTCTTGGCAGCACCCTCTGGTCTTGCACTGCACTATAAACAATGCGAACACTAAAACGTAACTTGCATAAGTTGGTGACAGAAATATGGCGCAACAATGAAAGACATTTTTAAGTGATATACAACTTTTTGACTAATTATGACAAAAGAAATGCGACTTGGCGCCAATAGTCTTACTAGGCTTCGATACACCCCTTAGATAACACCTTAAATGTCGGTACTAGTTGTCCAGTATGCTCTGACGCCTGGAGTATCAACTCCAGACCGGCTGAAGAACAGCCCAGACGATGATAGGACGTGGTTTTTATCTGTCTCGTACAGGTGGATGCGCGGTGCTCCAGGACGAAATAATCACGCGATGGTATGATAAAGTATCATATACTAAAATGGCATGAGTCTTGTATCACACTGGCTGGGTAAAGATGAGACATACTGGTTGCCAACGCACGCCCTCGAGCCCTTGGAGAAGGCAACAAAGTACTTGTGCATTTCCGCTAGTTGGGTCTCAGATGATTCAAGTCACCGTTCGGGCGAAAAGGATCTTGGAGCTGGGAATACGCCTGGGTCTATGAGCATCCAGTATATGGTCATGCTGACGGGCGTCTGCGCGGCTGATTCTGAGTATTAGCATGTGTCTGACTGGGATGTTTGAGGTATCAACGCACCTTCTTCAGGATTTTCCACCACTTGTAGAACATATCCTGGTCTGGAGAGATGCGTGCTGCTCGACGAAGATTCCCCCCGCCCAATCCAATCTTCAATCATCTAGTCAGCTTTATGTATTCAATACGGAAGCGGCACATACCTAATTTCCTCTTTCATGTAAGCTGAGAGATATGGGATCTTCTCAAGGTCACCCAAAGCGGGAAGACCAACCGAAGCGATTCACGCATTATTTCCTGTTGCTTTTCGTTCATAGCTCTCCGAGCTATGGTGTCCTCTAGTGTGCGATCCAGGTTATGGGGAGCTGCTTACTGTACGGACTGTACATGATTGTTTAGAACAAAAACGGTATTACCTTCCTTGAGTCGAGGTTGAGGTCAAGGATGGGACAAACGGTGTTCGAACTTACCTGGGCAACTTCCCTGGTTAGGTCCGAGCCGAATGACACCTTGGATGTGTTTTCAAGCGACAATTGCCTCTATATTAAACAAACCCCCATAGAAGATCGAATGGGCATTCATTAGACCTAGTAATTTAAATGCTTTTGAGCCTCAGTTCTGCGATAGTCGGATTTTACCCGCACCCCATCAAATATACCACCAACATCACTGATTTACATATAATAAACATCAATAAATAGCTAATTGATCCGGGTATTAGTTGATTCAATATTGGGTGCATACAGGTAGGTAACAATTTCACTATCTGCCAAGGCCTTCCAGCCTCAGGCATCAGTGCCTTCGTAGTATACCGGTGTCACTACGCCGACACCTTTTTCTATAAGGTGCTATTCATCCCACTGGTAGTGGAATATCATCAGCATTCCTAGATATCATTACCCTCTTCTTATTTATCTCCAATTGGGGGGTATACTCAGGATCTTGTACCTCCGCTTCCTTATCCGCTTCCATTCTTATACTTTCAATATCAGATTTTGTTATACGAAGTATCATAAAATCTTAAATTGTTGTATTAAGAGAATATTTTCCTATTTGACTTGACTGTGAACCCCGAACCCCTTGATAGGTGGAATCAAGACGCACCTAGTCAGTTTCATAAAATTTAGTTTGGTTTTCAAACCGAGTGGACCGAGGATAACCCTGGAATGAAATGAGATAAACATCCAACTGCCAAGTCAAGTTTATTCTACGATCTCCACGTTCTTAATCAAATCAAAGTACCCAAATGTCATGTCTTACCTGTCAGCCCCTCCTTGGCAGGTCCCAATCAACGTGAAACTCAGCGCATCCCTGTTCGGCGCGTGGAGCAAGGCTTGGCAACCCTAGCCTCAGGAACGTCGGGCTTGTCTCGGGAGAGCAGATCACCGGCCTAGTTCAATATGCATCCGAGGACCATATTGCCCCGATAGGATCCGATCTAGACTTACGACCAGTCTCACCAGTCGCTTCCCGGTGGGGGAGCGCTGTCCCTTGGGTATATCCGATGTGTTTCAGCGTGCTACGTGCATTTGACCTTACGCGCTGTTTGGTATGTCTCTGATAAGTGTGAATCTAGTGTTTGTGGTTGATTAATGACGCATACAGCTCAGTTAGAGTTTCTTTTGAATGTGCCTACCTACTATATAAGCAGCGACATTCTGGCGCGACACAGGACCAAATGAGCATGCTGGTCAGTCTTTTTTGAATTTTCATTCGCATTCACATTCATTTCCTCCGGTTTGAGACCGTGCAGACTTTCATTCAAGTATACATTCATTCCTCGGTCCGGTTTACCGATTATTTACATTCACTTCCACGACATCCCAACTCAAACATGAAGCATTTCACCCCCGCTCTGGCTTTCGCCAGCATGATCTCCTTGGTTAATGGCCATGGTTTTGTCACCAGCCCCAAAGCTCGACAGCCCGGTACCGAAATGGAAACCGCCTGTGGCAAGCAAGTTGTGTCCAACCAAGGGTCTGACAAGTACGGCAACATCCAAGGCGAGCTGCAAGTTGCCTCTGGCCAGAGCGACTACGAAGCTGCCGCGTGTGATATCTGGCTTTGCAAGGGCTACAAGTTTGCCGACAACAAGGATAATGTCTACTCGTACAAGGCAGGTCAGAAAGTCGACTTCACCGTCGACATCCGCGCCCCGCACACCGGTGTCGCCAATGTCTCTGTCGTCGACACTTCTTCCAACACCGTTATCGGTGCCCCCCTGATCTCTTGGCCTGTCTATGCATCCGTTGCCACCGGTGTCAAAGCCGATGAGACCAGCTTCAGCGTCACTATGCCTGATGATCTCGAAGACCAGTGTGTCACCGCTGGTGACTGTGTGCTGCAGTGGTACTGGTACGCACAGTCAATCGACCAGACATACGAGTCGTGTGTCGACTTCACTCTCGGTGGATCTGGCTCCAGTGGTGTCTCGGCTCCGGCCCCGTCGGCGAAGGCCCCGTCGATCGACAGCTCTACGGAGGCTGCTACTATTGCTACTGCTACTAGTCCGGCCACAACTGTCGCTGCTCAGCCCACTACCACTGTTGCTGCTCAGCCTACTACTTTTGCTACCACTGCCCGTCAATCGACTACTCCTGCCGAGGTGCCAGTCGCTACCACCGCGGCAGCTAACCCCAGTGCCACCGATGCTGCCGGTGCTGCCATGCCTTTCCCCACTGATAGCGCTGCAGATGTCTTGGCCTGGATCCAGGCCATGTTCGGCAACTTGGCGGGTAACTAAATGTGGAGGACGCGAAGAATGACCCACTAAAAAGTGGGCGACGTAATATCGGAAGTACATCGTGTTCAGTTTTGGACCTACCTGTACCTCCTGTATTAGATAGTAGCTAGATATACTGGCAATCAAATGTCAGATTTACCATGCTTTCTCCATCATCCTGGGTTCCAATGCAACGCTGTTAATAGCGATATCGGAGAGATCACCGAGTATCCGATATCGCCACTTCATCCATTCATTCCATTAAATATCAGATATTAATATAAAAACAAGTATTCCCTACACAACCAACATCTCTAGTATTTCAAATTACGCAAACAATGTACTGTCGTCTAAACTTCACAGCGACCAGACTATTGAACCAACCCCTAAGAATCCCTGTCCCACCAGTCTACAGACACTTCACCACAACAATGTCCCAACAAAGCAAAGACTGGAGCGCAAGTCAATACCTCAAATTCGAAGACGAACGCACTCAGCCCGCCCGCGATCTCCTCTCGCGCGTGCCCCTAATGGCCCCCAAAAGAATAATCGACCTAGGTTGCGGCCCTGCCAACTCAACAACAGTCTTGGCAAACCAATACCCGTCAGCAACGATAACAGGTCTAGACTCGTCGTCCGACATGATCGAGCGCGCGAAGAAAGTCCTGCCAGATCGGGACTTTTACATCACAGACCTAAACACTTACACGCCAGACCCCGCCAAGCCAGTCGATCTCTTTTTTTCAAACGCGGTGTTCCAGTGGCTGAAAGCCGATGACCGTATTGCGGTCATTAAGCGACTCCTGCAGCCACAGCAAAAGGGCGCTGTTTTTGCACTCCAGGTCCCGCATAATCTGAGCGAGCCTTCGCATGTACTTATGGGCGAGACTGCTGCTGACGGCCCGTGGGCGGAGAAACTCGCTGGTGTGCAGAGAGATGGGTTCCAGTCGCCGCAGGAACTTTATGATCTGGTTAAGCCGTTTTGTAGTCAAGTTTCGATTTTTGAGACGAGTTATTATCATTCGCTTGAGAGTCATGAGGCTGTTGTTGAGTGGGTGAAGGGGACGGGGTTGAGGCCGTTTTTGGATCTGTTGGAGGGTGATGAGAAGGAGGCTTTCTTGAAGGGTTACTTGAGAAGATTGCAGTCTGCTTATCCTGTTTCTGTTGATGGGAGGGTCTTGTTGAAATATCCGCGGTTGTTTATGGTTGCTGTAAAATGATCTGGCTGAAGGGTTGTCTTTTTGTCTTCGATGGAGCTCTACTTGTGTATATGGTGTACCATGTTGTTACTAGGTCTTTTCGTGTCACGGAGTACATATCGGCAACAGAATCTCCCCTGGGACTTTTAGTGTTTGTACTATCTAGCCTGAAAATCTAGAGATAGAAAAACGTGACATGTACGGATCTATGGAAATGAACGAATTCACATCTACATTGCTACTCAGTAAGCTGCTTGGATACAAAACAGCACCATTTCCCAATGATAGCTTAGACGATTCCTGAAGAAGCAATCTTAATGGTACCGTCAGTCCTTCCAGAGCTATCCAAGCTCTTGCTCTCCATCTTCTGGAGAATATCCTGACCGGAGACAACCTCTCCAAAGACAACGTGAGCGCCATCCAAATGGGGGGTTGCCGTGAACTAATCTAGTCAGGAAACACGTCTTTCATTTATCCTTTGAGCATAATTTCGACTTACGGTAATGAAGAACTGAGAACCGTTGGTGTTGGGTCCAGCATTTGCCATGGATAGTAGGCCGCCTTTGGTGTGCTTGACCTGGAAGTTCTCATCCGCAAACTTCTCGCCGTAGATCGACTTGCCACCCGTTCCCTAAAGAGAGAGTGGAGATTAGCCGGAGCTCGGAGGTTCTGTCAAGAGACCGTGACTGACATTCCCACGAGTAAAATCACCACCCTGGGCCATGAACCTGGCAATCACACGGTGGAATGCTGAGCCTGCATAGCCGAAGCCCATTTCACCCGTCGCGAGGGTGCGGAAGTTTCTCGCAGTCTTGGGAACGACGTCGTCATAAAGTTTGAACTCGATGCGACCCCAGTTTTCCACTGCATGGAGTTAGTGCCTTGTAGTGAGACAAAACAGCAAACTTACCCTGGCCGCCGGCCGAAGTGTATTCAATATCGAAATATGGGTTGGCCATGATGAAGAAGATGGTAAAGAAGTGCAAAGTCAAGGAGGCGGGGTAATAAATGAGAGGGGTTGGATTTATGCAGGAATGAGGTCATACAAGGGGTCCAAGGACGTATTCATTGGTTAGGGTTCTCACTGTACCCGTGACTTCCAGAGGTCTACTGCTTTGGAATATTGTTTGTAATCTGGTTACATTGAAAAAAAAAAGAGAAAGGAATCTCAGATGTCACAGTCATATGTGGAATGAAGTGAAATGAAGTCTTGAGACCAGAGCAACATAGAATGAGAAAATTAAGAACAAACGGACCAGACCGCAGTAAGAATCCCGAAAAGGTGGCCCACCAAGACTCTCATCTAGAGTCTATCATCCTCCGCGTGTGTTGCCACTGAAATCCTCTTTTCATTTACTCAGTTTTGTTCGACTGAGCGGTCTGGACACCCTTCTCATTGGCGTCGTTGATGTCGTCGGATGCATCCGCAGGAGCGTCAGCGGGGTTAGTGGCGGCGATGTACTTCTCAATTCTGGTATTAAGTCGCCAGTACTGCTTTTGGACGGTACCAATGGGCTTTCCCGCATTTTTGGAGACGGCAGCCCAGTCAATCTGTGAAGTCGGTCAGTATATGACATAATCATGTATGGAGAGACACTCACCTTCATGCCGGTGGACATTCGGACACAGTTCCACAAGAACATTAGGTCCTTGTCAAGAGGGGCGCCGGGGCCAGACTTGTTAGGGGTCGCCTTGACAGGGGAGGCCTTGGTAGGAGTCCGCTTCGTGATCCCTCCCTTTGCAGGCTTGGCAGGCTTGGCCTTGGGGGTGGTTGGCGTTGTGGGTGCCATTTTGATGTTAATGAACTTAGGTGATCTGTGTAAGAGAACTCTGGGAGCAGGAGTGGTTTGGAACAATGGTCTGAAATTCGGAGGGAAAAGAAGAAAACAAGAGAGACAAAAGGGAGCAGCTTCCATCCATGGCGGGTGCGGACGCACTTGGGTTGCGTTGGGACTCATCACCCCGACGATTTCTGTTGTCACGACAAACAAATAAGGGAGCAACCGACTTACTATGTAAATATTCAAACGTTGAGCCTACAGCCCTCCCCTAATGTAGAAAATTACCTTATTCTTACTAAGAAATAATCACAAAGAAATAATCACAAGGTGGTGTTCTACATCTACTTATACGTGAACCAGGATGCATGGAATTCAGTACTAATGGCATACATACTAGTACATTATCCAGGTATCCTAAATACGCCTACTCTGTGCCTGAAGTATACATTGTCCCTATACGTACCGGACTTTCCTGGCGGGTGAGAAACTGTCGCCTCCGAGTACTCTTATAATTTCCCACTGTATCTCGCTTTCACCAAGCCTGCGGCGTATAGCTCTGAGGGTAGTGTTTCTTTCATGGCTGTAGCAACAGATGGTGTAGCGACGCTGTAGCGACGCTGGGGGCGCCTGGGAAGTGCTTCATGATAACCGGGCTACCTAGGTGATGGTCGCCGGGGAGCCGAAAGCGAAATATTAGAAATCATTCGGTTCATCCTATGATAAGCGTAATTGCATTTTAATTACTGATCATGAGTAATGATGGATCAAGCTAAGCTTGAACACCACCTGGGTAGGCTATTTGACACCCGAAAGAAGAACAAATGGGATTATGGATGAAGCAAGGTATTCTAACATACAATGATGTAAGGTTCTCTTACAACACTTTATATTACATAGAGCAAAGAGGAAATCTGAATGAACAATGGTCAACTTTACAAGTTTGCTGCTTTGGCCGGAACTCGCAAAATTGACTGTTGTGTCATCGATGCCACTAAATTCCCTGCCTCATCCCACATTTTACTCTCGCTATATGTGCGGCCATGGCCAGCACGGTGATTGATTACCTCCCTCAAGTTCCACTCATCCATTTTGGGCGGTGTGAAGATACGCAGAGCAAAGTCCAAGCTCGAACACGCACTGGCGTCCTCAAAAGACAGGTGATTGTGTGTCAACGGCAAAAATGATAAAAAACCATCCAGAATGAACGCCAAGCCGGCCACTTGCTCTCCTTCTGTCTGCAGAGGGTCTTTGACTCGAAGCCAGTCAGCTGATGACCTTGCTGTTGGAGGCATTGCCTCCTGACTGGTTTGGATGGTCTTGGCCATCCCCATGAGATTTTGGGCGGCAACTCCTTCCGGACACGGGCGGCCTTCGTAGATGTCTCGGGAGAGTCCGAATAGAGTGTTGAAAGTTTTGAACTGTGGCTCTGCTATTTTACCAGCTTTAAGCCAATCTTCCACAAGGCGGTCCCAAGGCATACAGTCCCGCCAGTGACTATAGCTCCGAGTGGGCTGATCCGAGAATGTGAGCAGAGACGGCTCATCCCTGTGAAAGTCGGCTAGGAGCTCCATGCATAGGTGCTGTCGGCCGCTGGACGGGTCATTCTGTTCGACGGCAACGCGGTACGTGACGAAACTCTTCGATTGGCGGAGTTGAACAGGTGTGCATATCAATTTGGCTTTAATATTTACTGCTCGGAGGTAATGTCCAAATGCCGAATATAAGTGAAATCCATCCGGGGCGGTCTTACACGCAGCGTGGATTGCAAGAGCGATGGCGTAGCCTCCGTAGGCGATGGGTGCTAAATTACCCATCTTTTGAGGAAGATGCGTGGAAATATAATGATCATCAATTTTTTGTTGCGATACATGTTCGGCTAAAGTGGTCGCCATGGTTCTGACTGGGATGAAAGTATTTGAAGCGATGTAAGGGTGAACATATCCAACTTATACAGAAATCCCCAAGGTTACAGTGTACCTCGGCTCAAACGGCCTCCTACGGTGGCATATGAGAGCTGAATTTTGTTATATTAGACCCACTTCGGAATATGTCCGGTTAACACGGCCTTTTTATCGGCATATCCTGGTATATCATCCAAACATAATTCTGTTGATCAAAACGAATATAGGCGGAGTGTATGAAAACTTTTGGTCTTTTTTTTACCAATAGTGCTGAGCGGCCTATGCGACCCAACGACGATTTCAAAGAGGAATGAAGGAGAAGCTAAATTTTATTCATTGCTCTCACCCTTGATTTGGCTATTCTTCCTTATTACAATTACATGCCGATTAATAGAGTGATAAGCATTCAGGATTCATTGTATCTTCTTCCTGCTCTGAGGTAGCAATGGAGCATGAATCTAAATGACTACGAGAAAGACATCAAGTTCATGTCAATTGAGATCTAGTAGTCAAAGTTTGAGTAAACTTCACACACAATGACATGTTTTTTCTACTCTCTACCAACGCTAGGAAATTCACATCATTTCACAAAGATATTCGAAGTCCTTTTTCCACATCAAGAGGTCGCGAAAAAATTGGAAGAAAACTAGTAGAAAGACGTTTGAAGGGTAATGAGGAAAAGGAAATCGAAATCGAAAGAATAAATATATGTATCGCTAGCCTTCTAGGTTACTGAGGTGAGGTAACTTGATAGTTTATGCCGGTATACTCCGTACCCCTGGCGCGCCTTAGAAACTGCCACATACGCCAAGAAAGGCCCGCCCCGCCCCCTCCACTTTTCCGGTATATGACGATATCCCGCCAACCCCCAATCCGGGACAGAGTCATGACGGAGGCCAAGAGTCAAATATGAAGATTGTCGCTACATCATGTTTTCATGAACCGAGTTACTTGGCATTGGTCCAGGCAACCACGTTGCTCGGATGTAGTCTGTCACATTTAACCTGACATCTCCCCAAAAGACAAATCACTAGATTTTCTACCACCATACCAACACCCACACAGTATGGATCAGACCTACAAGCCTTCGGAATCGGCGCCCGCCGTACGCATCATGGTCCTAGAGACCGACATACCCCACCCAGACACAGTATCTGCCCGCGGCTCCTTCGGCCAGATATTACACACTCACTTCGCCAAAGCCGGGCGCGCCCACCATCCACCTCTAGAGGTAGAGACAGATCAAGTGTTCGTGGTGACCGAAAAGGGTGGCCGAATGCCAACCGTGAATGAGTTCGACCGCTTCGACGGCCTCCTCATTACGGGGAGTGTGTACGACGCCCACGCGAACAACGAATGGATCCTACAGCTGCTAGACCTCCTTAAAACTCTGTGGATCAAGCGCCCCAACTTCCGCTTCGTGGGGGTTTGCTTCGGTCACCAGCTCCTTGCCCGCCTTCTCGGCGGCTCTGTTGCGCCTGCGCCCTCGCAGGATTGGGAACTCGGCCACTGTCGCATCACGCTTACGCCCACTGGCCAGCGTCTCTTCCGTTCGCGCGACAATCACATTCATCTCCACCAGATGCATCAGGATCAGGTCGTCGCACCGCCTACTTCCGCGTCTGCGGGACCTGATATGCTCCCCTCGAACACCGAGGTTGCTTGCTGGGGCCGTAGTGAACATACACCGGTTCAGGGATTGTATATCCGGAACCGACTATTTACTACGCAGGCGCACCTGGCCTTTGACGAGGATATGGTGAAGCGCCAGATTCAGATTAGGGTGGATAGCGGCGGGATCAAAGACCTCGAGCATGCGGATCGGGCGGCTGAGACGGCACATCTAGAGCATGATGGTGTTGAAGTTGCTAAGGCTGTACTGCGGGTGTTTTCAGATGACCATGACGAATGAGCGAGGGACTACTGCAGTACCTTCACCTCTGATACCGCCACATGACCTACTGTTCCTGTTATTCTTTCATGTACATATAGACGTCGTTAATAGCGCCATGTTCACTCATCCTCGTAATTTCAGTATTAGTGTAAAATTTTGAAGGCTAACAATAGATACCCAAATACACTGGCTATGTACATTAAACTTCAATTGTCATGTCAGTAGCTGACAAGCCCCAAATCGCCAGGCCCATTCTCACAGCGACCCGGGAAAATCACATCCTCGATAGATTGCACCCCTGGTTTCCAGACTCTCTGCCAATCTATCGAGGATGCCTGGAATTGCATTGTTCGTGAACCAGCACAGGGAGACGGCTTACTGTTTGGTGGTGAACGAATTCAAGGAAAGACCTCTTCTCTCTGGGGAATCCGACTTGAATATTGATATGCCTTGAAACTCTTTTATAAGATTATGCAATGATGACACTGGTTTTGACTAGTATGTCTAGGAATATATTTTTTTTAATCGTATCGTGAAATGACCCCATATCAAAAAGCTGGAGAAGTCGTATATCTTATTTGGTAGGTTAAAATGAAAGTAGCTGATAACTACACAGCGTCCTGACCTTTAGTGCAGATCATGTTATGCAATGATGATCACCTGGGCAAGTCAGGGTAGGGATGTGCTGATATGCAGTGATCAAAATGCGCCAAGAGATGAACACTGAGACAGCAGATCTTAAGTACCAGGAATCATCCGGTACCTACATATATGTATATTCGAATGTACATGCAAAATGCACAAAGGATGTGCCAAGGAGCTAAGGTGGGGCAAGATCATCTTGATAAGAGATTAAGTAGTGCACTGCCACAGGGGAATTAATTTCTCTCCTTGCATGAAATTCTTTCATCCTAGCCAATTCAACCCATTCACTCTTCATCTCATTCATCATGGAGGAACATCTGCGCCACAGTCTTTCCAACCATCCTCATGCCTTCCAGAGTTTGCATCATAGTCATAGCAACTCACCGTCACACCGGACCGACAGAATGACTCCGCTTTCTATCAATGAAGGTACCACGACCGCACTTGAACACGAACTCACCACCGTCCAGCAACACCGCAGTGGCAGTTCCAGCGATGAAGAAGGTCAACCCCCACCACGTTATACCCCCGAAACCGATCCGTTCCAGCTTGCCTCGAAGCTGAAGACCGAGGATGAGATTCGGCAAATGAAAGCCAATACCTCGCGGAAACGGGATTCTACTGCAAGCAAAAGCCGGAGAGTGGGATCCATAGTGAAAGACACTGCCCGTATTGGAAAGCAGGCGTTTGTCACCAAGAAGCTGCAGGGATTCTACGAGTCCCAAAATGAAAACATCGAGCGCATGCTGAAGCCTGTCGAGGAGCACCGACGTGCCGCCCGCGAGTTGAGCGTCGACAACCGTCTCAAGTACCGCATCGCTGTGTACGGTAGTTTTGCCGCAAATATCATTCTTTCGGTCATTCAGGTGTACGGTGCCGTGTCCTCCGGATCACTCTCTTTGTTCACCACAATGGCCGACGCCGTCTTTGACCCCATGTCCAACCTGACCCTCCTGCTCTGTAACAAGGCCGTCAACCGCGTTGATCAGCGCAAGTTCCCGGCTGGAAAGGCCCGCATTGAGACCGCGGGCAATATCTGCTTCTGCTTCCTTATGACCGCCGTCTCTTTCATCATCATCGCCTTCTCTATTCGCGAATTGACAGTGGGCTCCGAGGAAGATACCCAGTCTTTCCACCTCCCATCCGTTATTGCCGTCGCCGTCGCCTTTGCCACCAAGTTTGGCCTTTTCCTGTACTGCTGGGCCCTGCGCAACCAGGTCTCACAGATCCGCATTCTGTGGGAGGATCACCGCAACGATCTGTTCATCAATGGGTTCGGTATTCTGACCTCTGTCGGTGGTAGTAAACTGCGTTGGTGGATCGATCCCATGGGTGCTATTATTCTGTCCGTGCTGGTCAGTGTGCTGTGGCTGCATTCCGCCTATGGCGAGTTCCAGTTGCTCGTCGGCGTTACTGCCGACACTAAGATGCAGCAGCTCATCACGTATATCTGTATGTTCATTCCCTTCGGTTCTTCTGGGCTCTTGGTCACAGCATTCACTAACATTCCTATCAGCGATGACCCACTCTCCTGTCATCACTGCCATCGACACCGTCCGTGCATACACCTCTGGTCCTCGCCTGTTGGTCGAGGTGGATGTCGTCATGGATGCGGAGGCTTCTCTGCGTGCCACTCACGATGTTGCCGAGGAGCTCCAGATTAAGCTCGAGTCGCTGCCCGATGTTGAGCGTGCTTATGTGCATGTTGACTACGAGACTACTCACAAGCCTGAGCATTCCCTGAAGAAGGAGCTGTAGGGAGTTTGCTTGACACATGAATTGGACCGGTTTGTTTTATTTTGGATAGCGTTAACTTGAAGCCGACTTATTGCTTCAATTTTCTCAAGTGATATTCTATTGAAAATCACATACATAACTTGAAATATCATGTCTTTTTTTATTGTATTTTCTGTTGCCATTTTACTCTTGTAGTCTCTAGGTAGAGTAAGTAGCTGGCGGCCAATGTCGAGTTTGACTGCCTGAGCCATACGACCGCCAAGTGACTAACTTCCTCGAAGTTGTCGAGTCTTATATTCGGGCTAGAAATGCATACTGGCCTGCTATCAACAATAGACATATGAGTCTGCATGGGGTGCTTTGGGTTTCCCGTTGTAAACTCTGTAATGCTCAACTAGGACGTGCCTTCCCTTTCAAGCACCGGGTGCCTTCCCAATCCACCGGGTTCCTTCCCTTTTGGATACCGGGTGTCTTCCCTATAGATCAAAACTCGTCATCCACTCCAGTGTCCCCTATTACCTGCAGCTACCAAAATATAAATACCTGCCCCTTCCCACTTTCTCTCTTCTTTCTTTTCCCTCCTCAACTCCCCACATGGATCTTTGCTGCGGCACAGGTTAGGCTGACACTAGATGGGGCTTCGGCCCTGTCTAAAGGCACGAAGCATGTTGTGGCCGGGACACAGTCCCCCTACAGCCTCTGTGGATACTGACCGTACTTTCTTGGGTTCTCCATCGACCATCGGGAGTTTCGTAGCCCCCACGCCATTGTAGTCCCCTTGCCCCCATTCTGCCCATACCCCAGTTGCACGGGGCCTGTGTGTAACACCTGAGCAAAACTTGCACCTTTACGTGGTGTTCAGGATAAGTAGCCTTTATGGTGAAACCAAGCAAGTCATTATCCAGTACAATAAAGGATTCATTCAAAACATTCATAGTCTGTATCAAGTTCCCTAGTAAATCGGTAAACATTTCCACTATTCATCCTACTCACCATAGACATCCCTTTATAGCTCAACAACCAAAGCAATATTTCCTACGGTTTACTGTCTACACTGCAAATCACACGATAGACTTCATTCCTGAGCATCGGATCTGTATTGTGTGTCATTGTTTTGAGGTGACATTTATGTCCTCATCTAGCGCTGTAAGTACAGATACATCGACATACGAACATTCTATCCCAGTAATGGCACCTGCGTAAACACCACAGTTAATACACGCTGCAAGTCGCCCGACTTCCGTAGTAAATATGTATTCGACTGTTCACACAGATGCTTGTCACCTATACCCTCAGCAGCCTGTACTCGACGATCGAGAGCCTGACACACCTGTTCAGTGGTGATTGACGGAGATTCAAGCTGGGAGTCAAGGTATTCGTCGTGTTTCTTTCCCATTGTGTCAATAATTTGGCCGAGACAATTGAAGACCGGTACCAAGGACAGCTGTAGTTGTAGTTGGGCTGATGATGATTCGGGCCTGTGGGCCCGGATGGTGGAGCGAGAGTTGGTGCCGGCGGAGCTACCGGGACTCGAGACGAAGAGTGGAGCGGATGGGCGGTGGTCTTGTTGGACGGTGGTTTACCATTTCGTCGCGATCGTCCATACACGCAGTTCCGGCCGTTTTGAGCACAGCGGGAACAGCCGTGCTGCTCTTTGGTGCAGCGCACCTTCGATGCTGCACAGGGGTCGCATGAAGTTCGAAATGGAAGTCATTGGGGCTTCCTGGCATTTCTCTGGTTCTAGTGATGCAGTTGCGTCTGCCTCTCTGTGGAGGGAGTCAGAAACATGATCAAGGTGAAGATGGTCTTTCTCAAGTTCTTCGGGCTTCTTTTCTCTTTTGGGGCCAGCAATGGTCTTCAAAAGATTGGAGATAACCCTTCTCGTGAATCAGCCACAGCTTACGTTGATTCGATTGAATCAAATCCAAAATATCAGATCTGGCGAATAGCATCACAGTATAACAATCACCAATCTCCAAGGAGTCGGTGCTTATTAGTCCCGTCACCGCGTTCTTGGCCCCCTTTCCCTTCTTTTCCTATTTGTTCACGCTCTGCGGAGTGCTCCGTTAGACATCGCTCTACTGACTTTCAACGCCTTGAAAGCCTTGGAGCCTCATCTCATGTCGTAGCCATTTGTGTATAAACGAATTCGAGTTGCATCGACTCGGGAATTTAAGCATACAAGAACCACATGGCTTCGGGTTCCCTAACCCAAAGAATCCAAGATATGCAAGATAGGCTACCATTGGATAGACAATAAGAAGCTCGATTCCATGGCATTGTATATGGTCACATCGTTCACAAAAATGAAGAGAAAGTCTACTAATGATCTCATTCTTGAAACCTAGTCCGGTGGTATCAGGCAGAAGACCGTGTAAATGCAAATCCCGCACGAGGACGAAGTGTCTAGGACGAACATAGGGACAGGAAAGTAGGAAGAGAAAGGGGAGACTGAGTCCCATACAATGATGGGAAAAGTACAAAAAAAGGTAATGGTATTGTTTACATCAAAGAACGAGAACAGTGATAATAGAAATCATTCCAGGGGAAAGGAAAAGGAAAAGGAATCTAAGACTGTTCAAAGAGCGCAATGGTGGAGCAGTAGTTGCTCTTATTTGGTTTTCCAGGGACCAGAGCCTTGCCGTTGGATGAGGTAACCATGTTGACAGCGGCCTTGGTGCTGAGACCGTACAGCTTGACATCCGAACAGTCGACCTCGACCATGTTCTGCTGGCAGTCCTCAGAGTTGAGGCAGGATTGGGCATAATTCTCAAAGAAGCTGTAGAGACCGGCACCGTAGACGAAGACGTCGGAGGATTCGAGAACACGCAGACCCCAGGCCTTGCGACAGGAGTTTGTCTTGCAGTCTGAAAATTCGGGGTCGTTCCAGGATTTTTGCGCGGTGAAGGGAGTCAGCGAGTTAGGGTTGGACTGGTAGTACGGAGTCTCGGTTTGGATCAGGCCCATGAAGACGTTCTTGGCACTGGAAACCTGGTAGTTGTATAGCTGGTGGTGCTCCGAGGCGGTACCCCACAGCCAGACGGGGTTTTGCGACTCGATGAGTACACCGCGGCCGGTGTACACATTGATCTGGTTGTGATCCTTGAGATCCAGCTCGTGATCGGCGGTCCAGAACCAAGTGTTCTCGAGGTACGCGCTACCCTTTTTGGTGATATGCAGGAGCATGAAGGCGGCCATGCACTCCTTCTTGGGGGTGGTCTTCTCCTTGGGGGTCTTGGGGCAAGAGTCACTCTGCAGCTCAGTACCAGCGGCGCCGCCGATGCGGAAGTGAACATCCCACATACCAGCAGAACCCTGGGAAGAACCAGCAACGTTCCACTCCATGAGGATAGCACCAGCCGCGGGACCCTTGGTGGTGATGATGAGGTCGCTCATCTCGACAGAGCCAGTGTCACCCTTTTGGCCGACTTGGAAGACAGGAACAGGTTTATCTTGGTTGGCGAACTTGGGGCCATGTGCCATGAGCATGGGCCAGATCTCACCAGTGATCTTGATATCCTTGGGAACCTTGATGGTGGAGGTAATGACATAGGCACCGTGATCAAAGTAGATAACCTGACCATCCTTGTAGCTGTCGAAGATTTTTTGGATGGCCGCAGTGTCGTCAGTGACTCCGTCACCCTTGGCGCCAGCCGACTTAACGCTGATAAAGGAGGAGGCTGCAAGTTTCTCGTACAGAGGCTTGGAGCGTTCGAAGATAGCGCCACCCTTGAGCAGACTAGCAGGTTTGGAAGCAGTCTTCACAGTGCTTTGTGTACGGGCAGAGGTAACGGCGTGCGCGGCGCCGCAAGTGCCAGTGCTGCTATCACTACCAGACTCGGGGCCCTGACTGACTTCGGAGCCGCTGCCAGTACTCTGAGCAGACGCAGCAGTAGATGTGACCGGTACAGCAGGTTGGTGGGCAGAGACCACACTAGAGGACGAAGAATGAGCAGAGATGGCGGAATTGACAGGGCCCTCACTGGAAGGGGCAGCTGCGGGAGTGGGATCGGGGACCTGGGCGGGCGAAGAAGGCTTAGGGGAGCGATCGGTATCGCTGCTGGTACCGGCACCCGGAGCGGGCGAGGGAGCGGCAGCTGATCCAGCTGATGCAGTCTTTGCAGGAGCAGGGACATCGCCACCCGCAAGGCTGGCGCTGGGAAGGCCGTGGGAAGCACCACAGACTTGAACGGTCTCCGTAACGGTCTCGACAACGGTGACCACCTCAGGCTGAGCCTCGCTGGCACGCTTGTTGATAGTCTTCGACGGGGTGTAAGTGTTACCCTGGACCCAGTTGTCGACGACAGAGCCACCTGCCAGGATGGTGTTGCCACTGATACCAGCCACAGCAACCTTGGAGCCAGAGAAGTCCACGTTATCCAAAATGAGATCACCACCGCCAACGGGGATGCTCTTCTGCGTCCATGCAGTCACGATACCAGTGGGGGTGTTGGTGAGCTTGCTGTCCAGCATCAAGACAGAGCCAACAGTCTGATTGGAAGGCGAGGTGGACATATTCAGACCAACCTCGCAGTTATTGATCTTGACCGACTTGAAAGTCCACGCCCAGTTCCAGTTCATGTAGATGGCAGTCTGGCAGTCGTTGAACACCAAGTTACGGGTAGTGAACTGTTGGTTACCGAGGAACATGCCGTAGTTACCGCCGTTGAAAGTCAAGTCGGACATGAAACCCCCGGATCCGTTGTCCATGAAGATACCCTGCTGCTTGTTGGCTTGACCACCACCCTTGACCATCTCAAAGCGGATGTTTTGCAAGCTCGTGGCCTGGCCGACCTGCCAGTGGATACCAGCACCGGAGCCAGCGGGCATGCTCTTCAGGTCAATGACCAAGTTACGAATGGCGCGGAAGAAGTTGTTCTGGTTAGTGAACCAATTGTCGCCGTTGTCCTCGTAGGGATCAGAGTCAATCACAGCCATACCGGCGAACTTGGGGGAGGCCTTGATGATGGGCAGTTCGACAGCATCACCGACAATCTGGGTATAGTAGTACTGGGTGATGGGCTTGGAGACAACGTAGGTACCAGGTGGGAAGTAGACGATCGCAGGAGTGGTGGTAGAGGAATCACAGCCCTTGCCACAGCGACCTCCAGAAGACATAGCCTTGTTGATAGCGGCTGTGTCGTCGGTGGAGCCATCACCTATGATATAGTCAGCAAGTTGTCCGAGGGTATCGAGTTTGGACGAATAGCTGACCCTTGGCACCATAGTCCTTTACATTTCGGAAGATCTTGTAATCAGGCGTCTTAGCGAAGGGGATGATACCCTGACGCTCAATGTTGGCGACCCAATAGCTCGAGGCAGATGTCTTTTCGGTTGTCGCCAACACGTTGGTGACTGGTACAGCTGCGACCAAAGACGCTGGCAACCCGAGCAAAAGGATGATATGGGCGACGAAGATCGCGATAGAAGTCTGTAGAACGGCCATGATGAAAATGGATAACACTGAACCAGCAGCGTACAAACTCAAAAAGGACTAAAGAATGAAGATAGTTCAGCAAGTGCAGAAATGGAAATAAAAATCGAGTCCAGCGCTTGACCAGCAGCGATATGCAGAGAAGATTTAAAGAGTCAATCTTCAGATGCACTTTCCCAAAGAAAGAAAAAAACAATAGTCGAAACAAAGAGAAGAGGAAAAGGAAAACAAAAGGATAGGAAATAAGACACAATTGAGAGATGGGAATCATACCTATTAAGAAATAGGCGTTTGCACACTTCCCCTTTAACCAACCACGCACACTACAGCCCTGCAGTTCACCAACCCACCAATTAGGTACCCGAAGCTGGCAACCCTGAAGCTTGAAACGTGATAGTCCGGAGTTGAAACGCTGAAGGAGATCGGTGTTGCAGATTGACCCTAATTAGCGCCGGACAATGTTTCGAATTTGCCTTGGGCGATAGGCTTTCAATTCTGTGTAGAAACAGCACAGTTGAAACAGAGTACGGGTCTACGCGCTATATAAATTTCATCCTTAAAAAGGGTATGCTGGATCATCCATTCCAGTCAGTTGGGATACTGTTAGGGAGCATTGCAAACGCGTATCACTAGGCCCTTGGGTGGGTCCCCTTTGCAATAGTATACAATTCAATAGTGCCGATGATAGCTCGCGATTCCCTAGATTTGTCATGTTTGTAGATCGCGAGTTTCTTGCTTTAAACCCCATGTCTGTGTACTGTACTACGCATGTAGCACAAACTCGACGTGTCGAGTCCATGTGTATAGCCCAATATAGAGTGTGCCAAGGTCAGTGGCGTTGTTATGGATGAACATTCCGGAGGGGTTTGAAGGATTCTTAATGACGGAGGATAAGAAGTCAAAATTGTAACACGACCACGTCGCTGTGGAATTCTCCAACTTAAGGGTTAAAGAGAGAAAAGGAAAAAGTGTCAAGGCCAAGCTTTGTCCCCTTACCCAGCCCCCTGAAGAAACCTGAAGAGACCTGAGCAGACCTCGGGATTGGCTTCCCTTGTCGCGCGTCTTATTACCCCTAGAGAGGGATTATAGGTCTTTGAAGCTTAGGTGGCGATGTTGCCCTTTTGACTGATCCAGGGTCCAAAAATAACCCCTGCAAGCGCCCGGTCAACTCAGGCAATATGTTGCCTGTGCAATGCCCCGACGCAGAGCCTCATGTACACTGTACAGTATCCAACTTCGGTTTGTATGAGCAAGGCTACGTTTAAATTGTCTAAATTTTCTACTTCAAAATTTTATACGCCACGCGTCCATAGTGGACACGGTACGGACCGTGCTCTGGAACAGATGGCGCTATGATGTGGCGTCCAAATCCAGCGCATCAATACCTAGTCCTAGGTACGAATCATACGGTGGAGAACACGCGCTAGCCTACGCATTCCCTCGGTCAAGTGTCGTGGCTCTTCCCACGCAAAACACAAACGTAGATGATCCGTAAACCTCTCATCAGTCACCTGAGGGTCCGGGACCTGGAACAGATCACCCGCACACAAACGCAGATTTGCTTCGCTCTGAGCTCGCTGAACTACGTCGGCAGCGAGTAACGGCGCCGGGAGACCAATCCACATGAAATATCCACCGGCTGCGGTGGCAGGTGCTGGGACTGTGACGCCCAGTGGGACGAGATACTCCTGGATTGCCGATAACAAGGTGTGATAGCGCTCGGCGTATTTCGGTTGAAGGACGCCGCGGATGTGGTCTTGGATGATGCCTGTGGGAAACAGCTGGTCAATGATAGCGGCGCAAAGATGGGAAGGAGCGCCGCCCGAACGGGAAGAGCCTCTGTAAGCAATATCGGGTTAGTATGCGATTCGGTATCCGAGAAAGAAAAAAATAAAGGGTGGTCAGTCAAGTCATCCCAGTGCCCCGTACGTTTGTGATAATCCATAGGCAACCTTTTCCGACGCTTCCGCCCAGCCGGTGCGGGCCCCAGGGCCGATCAGCTTGCTGAAACTGCCGTTGCTTAGTGCGTGTCCCCATTCATCCTGTGGACCACCGTCCAAACAACGGTCCACGTCAACAATGCGCGGAACACATGCGCGGTCGCCGAAATTCTTCTCCCCTTCCTTAGGCGACCACTGAAGGAAATCGTACACATCATCCGTAACGATCAGCGCATCGTACTGACGGGCGAGGCGAACGAGAGCTTCGCGTCTACGCAGCGACATAATCTTCCCCGAGGGATTCGCAAACGTCGGCACGGCGTAGATAATATGCTTGTAGATTTTGCGCCAGGGCCTGGGCGGTTTCATTTTCTGCAGGGAAAGAGGGGCAATGTCAGTCCCGGACTCAATAAACGATGGCACAGTGGCATGGCACGGTGACGGTCATATCAGCTCAAACTGCTTATGGGCCTAGGATTATCTTACTGGCTCAGTATTCCCAGCGCGAAGGGCGATATCTTCCGCAGCGCGCAATCCGCTCTCCAGCACCGCTATGTCGACCCCCTCGTCATCTTCGGGGATTCCACGTAGGCGCCCGGCAAAGCCGGCGTCTTCCATAACTCGGGCAGCCAGGTGATATGTCGGTGCGATCATCCATACATTCCGCGTGTAGACCGGGTCTGTAAAGGTTTGCAGCACGCAGGCTAGGTTTTGACTGGCACCGCCGGTGATGCAGATGCGCTGCGATGAGACGGGCTCGCGCGGCTGATAGAAATTGCTTAGCCATGCGGCTATGTGTATGCGCAGTGGCTCGTATCCTTCATCGGGGCCGTAGAGTAGGGCTGGGTTTGCGATTGAGGGATTGGATAGTACGGCTGTGGCGGAGTGGCGGAGGTTGGGCGCGGGGAGGAGCGCGGGGTTGGGCCAACCGATTTGGAGGTCAATGGGCTGGTCGGGGGAAACGGTGAGGGTCATGGCGAGGATATCAATATATAAATATCAGATGCTTATGTACAGGCTGAAAATAGGTTAATACTTAAGAGCTTGGTCTAAGTTAAGATGTGGCGAGGTGGGCACCGAACGCATCCGAGATCGGGAACTGAATGGTTCAGGGGGTCAACACAGGTACAACACGAGATTTGGTTATATTGAGCGATCTATACATACATGTCGTACTCCGTATAGACATTGGAGTTCTATGGAGTATACATTTGTATTAAGTCAACCTTGGGATATATATATCGAGACATGTCATACACAACCTTGATACCAGGTATTGTATCCCCGACTGATCGTGTTTTGTATACGAACTATGGGGGATCGGAAATGCGTATGGGAAGTTAATTTCTACTTCCTATGTATGTAGCAATATCCTTTCCAAGATTTCCTCTACTCCGTACAAAGGAACTGTATATAAATGATGCCTAATAAGTATTTGAATGGGTCCACATCCAAGACATGCACAGGGAACTTACAAGGTTCTTACATGTAGTTCTATTATTGGCATCGCTCCTATTTTTTTTCGTATTATATATCAATGTATTGTAATATATTGAATAAAATCGAGGCTCCGATATTATTTATTTTTAAGTTAACTCCCCCCCCCCCTAATTCTCTTCGATTTTTTTTTTGCTCAGCTTAGCTTCTCTCATTCCCTGGCTGTGAGGTCAGACAAAATTTCCCTGTCATTCTTCCAATCCCTCCTGCCGATCCATTCCGCCCCCTAAACCTCCCCTCACCTGATTCCCATGCGGGATTGACCTTCTCTACCGGGTCTTCCCAACTTATCCTCACAACATATTTATCACCATGTTGTCAGCTCCCGTTAAGTCGGCGAAGCGGATCTCATCACTGTTTTCGTTGGGATCCAAAGATCGGGACTCATCCTCAACCGTGTCTTCGCCAGTTTTGAACTCAGAAAACATTGACAGCCGACGCCGGAGTAACTCAAAACCCACTCGCCATGTCTCGACCCCCAATCCGACCTTCTCTTCGGAGCCCCGAACCATGCCCGATAGGCTCGATATGGAGAGCCTACCTCCGCCACCGTCACTGCTGGCGGTGAACCAAGATTTGGCCAACAGCGCCCCCAGTTCGCCCGTTGGCCGGCCGCAGAGCAGAGGTCGTGATATGAGCAGGCCCTCCAGCTCCGCAGGGTTAGCTATCCCTGGATCGACTCCGGATTCTCGCCCCAGCACACCGTCGAAGCGCAGAAGTTGGATGCCGGGTCGTTCGCGCGCCAGCTCAATCGATAAGCGACCAACACCCATGCTGCCGGCTGCTTGGATCGCAGGGCTGGACCAGAAGGTTGTTTATGATCTGACGCCATTGTCCAGAGGAGAGCAGGTATGCATACAACGAAGTTTCGTGTTAAGGTGCTTTTGAAGTTAATCGTTTTTTTTGTTACTTTCAGATCCAGGAACTATGGAACGAACAAGGTGACACCTATGTGTATATGTTCCCCCAGAATACCGGACGCGCCCCGTCATTCAAGGTCGATTCCACCATATTTGCCGAATCCCCCTCTCTCACCTATCTTGCCCGCGGCACCGATGGCAAGAGCGGCCTCGAGCAGCCAACCCGAACATTATCACTCAACCCAATGTCTCCGCCTATGTCGCCGCTGGACCGTCAGCCCGAAAACGACATTGATAACGACAGTGCGGGAAGCCAAAGAATGGCATTTGAAGATGCACCCGAAGAAGTGCAGGAACTCCATCTCTATCTCCCCATTCCGCTAAACTGCGATGTGTCCAACCCCCAAGCGAGACTCACTCCAGATGACATCGAGACTCTTCTTTTGTTCCGCAACCTTTTCGCATTCCTGCTCGGCCAGTCTTTGATTGCCTCACCTAAATCATCTACTCTTTTCTCTATTTTCATGGATGTGGCGGTCCTTCTGGCCCGTTTCGAATTCTCCAACTTGGACGCGTCCAACTTCGGTGAGACTGCTACCTCCAGTTTCAGCAACTACTGTGAAGAATTGCGCCTTGCAGATGTCCGTCGAAGCAGGGAGAAGACGATCGAGGCCATCGTCTTGGGTGAACGTCTGCGCTACTATCCGCTGTATGTCGAGGGCTTTGTCCATGGTGTTGGAAAGCTCGATGAGCTTAAGCAACTGCGGAGCCCTAAATATACCTTCATTCACCCTATCACGCAGAAACGCATGGAGCGCGCGTTCATTGATCTCGACACCCGTCTGCGCGGTCTTTACGGCAAGCTCGAAGATTTCGATTTCCCCTCTGTATTCTCGGGTATCGCCAACTCGACTACGTCGGAGGAAAGCAAGGTGGTGCGCTTCAAGAACTGGAAGACGGGATTCCAGGAATTCCGCCGCTTTACGATCCAGTACTACCGACAGAAGTACGGCTCGTGGCCGCCCAAGGCTCGGTCGAAGAAGAACGAATTCGAGGAGAACGGACTCAATCGTCTTCTCCTCTTGGATTTGTATCACGACTTCACTGACCTATACGATCTGATGGTGGACCGCACGTCCCTGACGACGCGTACAATTGATATCTCGGGTGCAGGCAGCGAGTCAATAGATTCTTCTGATCCAAAGCAGATGACCGTTCGTGCTTTGCGACAGGTTCTCTCCGAGTATGACCGCAGCACACCACCAGTGCTTCCTCCCATTCCGTTCGATATTCCCCAGATGCCGTCCCTGCAGCCGTTGCATCGGAAACCGCTCGACGCCAAGAAGGAGGCCAAGCAGAGCGGCAAAAAGCTCAAGGACTCCGACATCAACGCTGTCCTAATGGGATCCTATACTCGAGAGGCTATGCGGCCCACTCCTTTTATCGAGAGCTTCATGCAATTCGAGCGTCGCTCCGCGCACGGCAAGAATGTGAATGACATTACTGACCTCCGATGTGGCCAGTGGATCTTCCTATACGCCGTTATCCAAGCCCTCCCCATGCTGGTGGTGGATGTCCCTGATGTCCACTTCAACGATGGCGTGGAGTATTTCCTCTGCATTGCCCCACGTGGCGGTGCTCCCTGGATTCACAACGACACCAAGACTGCTCGCAGCTGGTTCGGAGTTGCAGGTGGTGCTGGTGTTGTTAGCTTGCCATCTGATGTAGTCATCAACGGAGTGGAAGGTGTATACCGCCGCAGTCATTGCTGGCAAGTCGCCGAGCAGTGGGCCGAGGCGGGTGCTCTTCTTGATCCACCTATGGTGGAAGACGCTACATATGACGACGAGGAGTCCTCTATATCATCACCTTACCCGGGTCATCAATCGTCGGCTGGATCTTCTTCCGAACCTTACCCGAACCCTATGATGGTTCCCGGTGGGCTCACCCCGCCTCCTCCAGCCATTCCACGAACCCGTTCGCCTGCCGCTGCCCAGCGATCTGAGCATCGCCACTCATTCTACCCTGGATTGGAAGCTTTGCCCCTTCCTGCGGGAATTGCTCCCATCGAGCCCCCCACACGTCCGATTAGTCGATTCAACCCGAACATGAGTTTCGACGATATTCTCAAGGAAGTTCCGAAGAAGGACAAGAAGAAGCACTAAATACCATCGCCTTGTGTCTTTTCTTTAGGATTAGATTCCATGGCACTACGATACGGCTTGCATATTCAGAATACAAACTTGTTTTGTGACTCTGACTTTCCATACTCTTGACCGTTTCATTTTTCTGTTGATAGGCGCATTGTGTGACGAATTACTGGGCTGGACCGGTGCACAGGGAAGCGAAAACAAAAAGTAAGAACTTTTAATTCATGGGGCATGGAGAAGTACATCATAATTATCAGCATATCGGCATGAACATGTCCGGAGGAGGGGCTTTTCTTTTTTTCACCTTGTCATTTTAATTTTTCTGCTTTCTCTTCGGATTCCCCTGTAGTTTTGAGGATAGAAACATAGATTCTAATAACTGTACATTTCAGTAGTTTCCTTTGCGTAGAGTGTGTTCATAGTAGCCCATTGAGTTGTCCCGGATCCATGGTTCCGACTGGAGTTACCACGTTCTTAATTGTTTACTCTATAATTGAGCCTCTGGACCTTCCATCACATATAGATTTATCTGCACTTTTGCTCCGTACACAAAAGTCCTCTCTTTCAAAATATCTAATCAAGTCGTGAAAACCATGCATGTGCCGAGGCCAAACCCACTAAAGCAGGAAATACGAGAGGGATCAGCCACACAGCCTCTTTTTCCTTGATCGCCGTCGGTTACAGAATCCCCATGGGATTTTGAGCTAATGAAAGGACCTTCACGCCCGCAGATCTCTTCCGGACCAGGAAAAGGGCCATCTGCTGTCGCTTGAGCTTGATTCAAGTCCAGCCTTGTCCAACTTCTCCCAACTATCCATCCCCAAGTCCTTTGTTTATCCTACCGGGGGGAGGGGGTTAAAGGGAAAAATAAAAAAGTCAAAGAAACTCGACAACTCAATAGAACCGCCGACAATGCACTAACGACACTTTATACGCAACCATATATACTTTAATCATCGCAAATCCCTTCATCGCCTCAGCCTCTAATCACCCACCATGCCGCCCTCCCGCTCCAGCGTAACGAGCGACAGCCATGAGCGCCTCGAACCACGACTCCTGCGCGCTGCAGAATCAAACGACGTCGATTCCCTCAAAAAAACAATAGCCCTGGCCCAAGAGCACAACCAATTAACCGACAACTTCCTCCGCATCGGATTGATGCGCAGTGCAGAACGAGCATGTGTCGCCGCAACAGAATGTCTCCTTACCCTCGGCGCAAAAACAGATGTCTCCTCAAACCGCGCCTCACCACTCCTCCGCGCCGTAGAGCATGACCACTACGAAATCGTCCGTCTCCTCCTAGACCACGGCGCCAGCCCAGACTCCGCTGATAAAGAGGGTCGCACAGCCCTCATGACTGCCGCATGGAAGAATCACGCTGATATCCTACATATGCTCATTATGCGCCGCGCGGATGTCAACAAGCATGATCTGCGTCGCCGGAATGCGTTGCATAACCTTGCTGCCGATAAGGCTTGTCGGTGGGGGTGGGGGGACGAGGTTGTGAGGTTGCTGTTGAAGACGAAGTGTGCTCTTGATGGACCTCGGGGGCACGATGAGCTTGGTCGGACGCCTTTACATTGGGCTTGTGCGTCGGGGAATTGGAGATTGGCGGAGATGTTGCTGACGAGGACTGGTGAGGTGGATGGGGAGGCGCAGAAGCCTGCGGAGATCGATGCTGTTGAGTTGCGTGGTAAGACCGCGTTGCATATTGCGACAGCTCATGACCGGGTGGATATCGTGCAACTTCTGCTTGCGCACAAAGCGGCTGTGAATGCTGCTAGTGATGGTGGCTGGACGCCGCTTCATAATGCTTGTGATAAAGGATGTGAAGAGATTGTGCGGATTTTGCTGAGTGAAGGCGCACATATCAATGCACAGCTTTTGAATGGAATTACGCCGCTGCATCTTGCTGCCCAGGGGGGTCATAGTGAGGTGGTGAAGTGTCTTCTCGAGAGGCCGGATCTGAAGCGGAGGGTTAGGGATAATTTTGGCAGTACGCCGTTTCTGCGCGCGGCGCAGTTCAAGCGCAAGGATATTGTGCAGTTGCTTGCGCCGTTTAACAATGTCGAGAGTTTGTCGGATGATGTTAAGGAGGCTTGCGCCGCGTTCGATGCTACTGTTGTTGATTTTGGAAACTTTCATAATGAGAATCGGGTCAAGCGCATGTCGGTGTTTAATTTGCTCTATGGGAGGGACCAGGAGAATCCTAGGAAACAGGCTTTTACCACTGTGCCGGCTGATAGTCGCGCGACAAAATTCCGTTGGATTCACTTGCCGGCGAATAATATGGCATGGGTGGAAGCCCTGCTTACCAAGTCTTTTATCGAGGAAGGGTCCCATGATGTTGATGGATTCAAGGGGTTGGAGAGGTCTTTTAACTATCAACATCGGGGTCAAAGGACTCACTCGCACTTTATGCGGCCGTTATGTCAGAATACACCGCGGACGATGCTGCGGCGATATGAAGAGGGGACTTTAGAGGAGCCTGTATCTGATCAAGGGCAGCCCAAGGACATGGATAGCGCAGCCCGAAAGCAAAAAGGCACAGGCATCAAGCCTGACAAGGCGGATTCTTATTTCCCCGATGAAATACATGGAAAAAAGGGGAAAAACAATCCAAAGCGTGGCAAGTCGGGCAGCGCACCGGGAACTCCCAAGCAGCCTGAGACGAAAGGGAAGTCGCCGTGGGGACAAAGTGAGAAACAAGCGAGGTCATCACCTCTGGCTTCATCAACCTTTTGTAAAGATCCTCATCCTCTGGTCTCTGCATGTAATGTCTGCGTGTTCATGCCATATCTACACTTTGAGACCACGGAGCGCAGACAACAGATGCAGGATGCAATCTCACGAGCAGAAACGCTGGATTTTGTATCCAATGGGATAAAGCGAACGCGCACAAGAGATGTATTGCTCATCGACGCCCATCTATCATCCTCAACGACCTCCCTCCATGTCCGCCGAACACTGGACCAGTTTTTCTACCCAAACATCGACACCAAGAGCCGTGACCAAGATCAAGTGGTGTACCGGTACCAAACACAAAGTCCCGGAATGGGGGCAGATCCCAAGATATTCATGGTTGATCAACTGTGGATGTGGGTTCTAGGCACAAATTTGATTGTAACAGCTTTCCCACAGAGGTGGGATCAGCCCAAGAATGACCCGCTCAACGTCTTGGATGGGATTATCGAGGATATCAATTCCAAAACTCGAGACCCTGTCCAATCCGTCTACGATCTAGCCATGATAATCACTAATAGATGCTCGGGGGTCTTCGATCGACACCGTATGGGCGACGAGGAGTACCAGTTCCTAGATATGTTCGAGTCTTCCATCGGTATTGCTACAGACAAAGAGACCGTGCTTTTTAACCAATTCAACCACGCCTCCGGACAGGCATCAGATTGGCTGAAAAGCCACCGCAAGCTGAACGGCTCCTTTAGCTCTCCGCCAAAATCTGGCAGTGGGATAGACGATGATCAAAGCAGCAACTACTGCGACGAGGACGGCCAGCCACTATTTGTCGACAGACTCCTGGATATCGGACAGGAGACCAATCTTCTTGCTGAGACAAAGGACATCCGAGACGAGCTGAACATGATCCGGACCGTACTGGAGCACCAGCATAACGTACTGCTTGACTTCCAGGAAGTCATCTGCGAGACCTACCAAGGCCAGCACCGATCACAATTCGAGGTTAAGAAACGGTTCAAAGACCAGCAGCGCATGATTGACATGCATCTGAAGGACATTGACCGCATGGATAAACAAGCCGAGCGCATCTACCACTCCATCACGGATTTGCTCGATCTCAAGCAAAAACACGCCAATGCTTTCGAAGCGCGCTTTGCCCGTGATCAGGCCGCCGGTACAACCCGCCAGGGAAAGACAATCATGGTCTTCACCATTGTTACTATCATCTTCCTGCCGCTGTCGTTTATCGCCTCCATGTTCACGATCAACCTGAAAGAATTCGAGAACTTAAGTCTTGGCTATGTGACAAAATTCACCTTTGGTATCGGCTTTGCAATCTCTATCCCACTTGTCTGGCTCGCTCTCACGGTTGACGATATTGGTGGCTTTTTCCGCATGGGAAGCCGGCGCTGGCGGTCTAGCCGAGAGAAGGTACTTGCGAAGAGTGAACGAGGCGACGAAACGCTTCAGGCTTTGGAGATGGAGAAAATTATCAGTTTGTCGCGCATGCGGAGGAGCATCGACGTTGGATATGGTGGTAGTCTGTTACCTGTTTCTTCTCGCGGCACGGGGGCTTCGAGGCGGCCTGATCTATATGTCGGTGGATTAGGCAATGGAGCTGTGCGCAAAAGTTATGATCTGCGGTCTAGTGTAGATCACAGATCACGATGATATGATTTATGGCATCTCATGATTGGATATTTTGTCTTATACCCTGTAATTTTGTCGTCGTTTAGCTGTTTCGATATCGGGCAAAAGTTGGGTATACCCGTCTCTATATAGCGCTAAAAGTAATTGAACTTTTGATAAGAATTGAAGAAGCACTGGAGCAAAACTGAAGACCTTCTGATTAAGTAAATGCGCTAGCTCTAGCACTCATAGAGCTTGGTGTCTATTCAAGTTGCATTCCACCCGAATATTCCTGACTCCCAACTTTTCCATCCCCAATGATCTCAGCGGGGTGGTACAAATTCATCACAGCCATGGCGATAAACATCAGGAGGCCGTCGAAGATGTACATGAAAACCTCATGCGTCATGGTGTACCCATCGTAACCCTCTTTGTATTCAACCAATCGGAACACAGACCGGACCAGAATCAAAAAGCTGACAATGTACAGCGCGATCAGGATGGTAAACCAATTGCGCTGTTTGAAGCCGTCACTGCGGGATTGGTCACGATCTGACTGCGATTTGGAGGTTGGCTGACGCGAGATGCGGAAGTGGAAGACCGTTGTGACAACCACAAAGAAGCCGAAGAAGAGAAGCTGGATGACTAGACCGCCAATTGTGATGTTCGAACCGGTTTCACGCATGGAACCTGCTGTAGCCATGAGGCCACCACCTAAGATGAGATATAGTTAGAATTTATGTTTTTAGTCCATGGCTGGATGTCATGGACTTTACTTACCAGAGCACTGTAAGAGAAAGGAGAACACATCTCCCCCCACAAAGATCTTTGTCATCCATTTGACTGGCACCAGGCTCAGGTGCTCGGCGTGGAGATAGGTCATTGTTCGCCCAAGGATCATGTAGACCGATGCCGCGTACAGCGGTGGTGCGAGCAGGATAAACAGAGACTGCATCGCATATAGAGGGATTCCATAGAAGTTATCATGCGATGCAGCTCGACAGATGTATCCGATCACCTGGACTGATGAGTTGAGAGTCAGTGATGCTTTTACAAGGTCAAACAAGTAGCTTGTGCGGGTGACATACAGATTCCGCCAATCACGAAGGGAATGAAGTACCAGCATCGTGACTTTGTGAGTTGATAGCCATGGTAAGCGGTCGTGATGCCAAAGAGAATGATAAAGATGATAGCGGCAGGAAGAGAGGGGTTGTACCCGTAGATATTGTGCCCTTCAGCCATCTTGCGAGGAGATTAAATGAATGTAAGAAGGTAAGTTCATTTGAGCTGATTGGGGCCAAAATGAGATTTATATCAAACTGGGCAAGAGCCATCAGCTGGGCAACAAACATCGCTAGCATAGCCCATAGCTTTGAACCCGAAAGAGAATTCCTCCGCGATCCACTATAAATTTAGGTAACCTTCTAATTGAATCCATTGATTCGAGCGTTATTCTTATCATTTAGAGAAACGTCTTGGCTTTTGCACAGCTTTGACGCGATGTGGGGGCATAGGAAGCTTTTCGGCGTATTCGTCTCCGTATTCGTCTCCGTATTCGTCTCCGTATTCGTTAACCGTATCCGCATGATTTCTCTTGATCTTTTCTCTTGATCTTTATATCCTTTTGATAATGGGCCCAAGGAGAACACACCGGAAGTCACGAAATGGCTGTCCGCAATGTAAGGCACGAAGACTAAAGGTGCGGCGAACATCCCCGGATTGAGAATTTTCTAACCAGCACAGTGCGATGAGCAATATCCATGTACAAACTGTATTAAACACGCCATTCAATGTTCCTATGTTGATCGGGGTATATCAACTCCGACCGAGACTCCAGCTACTCGGTCAGAGCCATTAGTGCCGTCTTATGTGTCTTCGCCGTTGAACACAGGGTCATACCCGGCAACCCCTGCCGGGAACCCGGCAGCTCTGGGCGACGCCAAGCCCCAGCCAAAGAGTAGATCTGGTCTACTACTATTTTTGTCCGACTCACCAGACGAAATTCCGGCCTTAAACACGGATGACTGGGCGTCAGATCTTGAACTCATGCACCATTACTGCACCGTGGCATGCAACACTCTGACAATCCGCGAAGACGCACGGCATGTCTGGCGCGTTGTTCTCCCCGTGGAGGCATATTCCAATAAATATTTGATGCATGGACTACTGGCTCTGTCGGCTCTGCATCGCGCCTCTCTCTTCCCAACTCAGAAAGAAAAGAACATCAAGGCCTCCGCCTACCACCAGGCAGCTGGGCTAAAAGAGTTTCGGGAGCTCATTTCCTCTCCAGTCGACCCTAGCAATTGGCAGCCTGTTTTTTGCTTTGCTTCTATGATCATGGTGTATGTCTGTGCTTCGCCGATCCGACTGGGAGAGGATCGTTGGCCAGCTCCTATATCGAATATGGTGGAGCTCTTTTCCGTCGTCCAGGGATTGCAGACTCTTATGGAGCCATGGCTACACTCTCTTGGAAAAACCCAGCTCGCACCGCTTGTTAACTGTGTCTGGCTTGAAAGTGAAATGCTCATTGGAAGGTGAGCTTTTGAGTTCTCTTGATTCCACATCGGGGGGGAATGGTAATTGTTGAACAGAAAATAGCTGACCCCGTTCTAGCCCGGCGACCGTACAGCAATCTCTACTTCCTCCCGACATCCAGGTTCGGATAACACAACTCCGCCGATTTATTGATGATTATCCATTTCCTCATACACAACCCCAGTCGCACCAGAACTTGAGCGCCTCGGATGAATCGCCACGTCCTATCGATTACCGAGCAGACTACAAACGCGCGTTGAAATTCTTTGAGAACTCGACTCGTCAGATAGAGCTCGCAGGGCCCCACGTTGAGGTTGGAATGGTCCTGATGTGGGCATACTCACTTTCCAAACAAATCCGAGATGATTTGGAATTATCCCATCCTGCAGCTCTCGTCCTGCTGAGCCACTGGTGTGTGCTGCTGCATCTTATCAACGATGCCTGGTTCATCAAAGGCACTTCACTTCAATTGATGGAGGAGATTGAGAGTAAGATCAACCCCGGCTTTAGGGGGTGGTTGGCATGGCCAAGAAGATGGGTCTGTGGGAAATAATCCTGATCCACATTGTTTAATGATCCTCAAATACATATTTTTAGATTCTCGGCATGGGACTTTGGTCTTTAAAACCCTAAATCACAGAAATTCGACCTGTGCTCACTGCACATGAACCTTGACATACTCTCTCGCTTCACCATCCTCAACGTCGCTCCCTTCAGACTCCACTCGGGTGAGAGTCCTCTCATCCACAACCATGGCGTCTTTCCCATTCTCTAAATCACCATCCTCTACGAAAACTGTTTTCTTCCCAAGCTCAGGATCCTGAACAATCTTCGGCAGTGTAACGTTCAAGATACCATCCTCCAGCTTTGCCGAGATGCCGTCAACAATTACAAAAGCCGGGGCACCACGACTCCCAAGACGAATCTGGCGCTCAAAGACACCAATGTGCTGACCCCGCTCTTCCATAACAAGAGCTTGGTGCAGATCCTCATTGATGCCGGGGCGATAAACCACACCCGCCACACGCAGAACAGACTCATCGGCATCATAGTCAATGCTGAGATCACTCTTCTTGGCTCCGGGCAGTGAGACATGCACAATGTACTTGGCAGGGGTATCGAAGACGTCAACTAAGGGCGTGAAGTCAACACCCTCTGCGGTAGGCCCGTTCATGGGGAAACCAAGCCCTGCACCGAGCTGGCGCAGGAACTCGAACGGATCGCCGAAAGGAGGTCTACCGTGGTGTCTGCCACGGCCACCGGGGCCTCCTTTATGGTGTTGACCCCGTTCACCGGACCCGAAGCCGAAGGGACTGGGGTTGCTGTGATGGGCGGGGAAGTCGCATGAATCAATGCGGGGACCATATTTGTGTCCATGTCCATGCCTACCGTTTCCATCGCGCCCAGGGCCCCCGAAGGCACCGACACCGTGGTGGTGATCGCGGCCGTAATTATGGAACTCGTAAGGTCCAGCGTGAGGGCCATGGCCGTGTTTTCCTTTGCCGCCCTTGCCACGAAATGGGCCTGGGCCGTGGAGGCCATGGCCACCACGCCCCTTGCCCTTGCCCTTACCATGTCCGCAGTGGTCGCAGCGATGGTGGTGGTCGTCTGGGGAGTCAGAGTCCGATGCTGACCTTTCGTCTTTCTCCATGTTCCCGTTGGGCTCAGTAGTTTCGCCTGCTTGGGCATCTCGGGTGGAGTTGTCATTCGGCTGGAGGTTGTTCCATCCACGACATCCACGATGTCCGTGGTGTCCGTGGTGTCCGCGAGGAGCAAAGAAAGGATGGTCCTCTAGATTGCCGTTGACAAAGTCCCAAAACGGATTCGGAGGTTGGTTGAGTTGGTAGATGGACGCCATCTTGAAGTAGTAGATTGAGATAAAATATAAAACCTGCGAGATTGAACGATATATTGGAAGATATCGAAAAGCGAAAGAAAGAAAAGTGAAAGACACTTGTTCTGATACTAATGCGAGAAGCAACAGGTTGCTCTTTATATACAACAGGTTACACACCCAGGCAGTCGTGTTAACAGCCATCCTGCAAGTATACGTACGACAGCCCTGCCTAGCCATGTGCATCATCTTCAAGCCAATTCGCCATCAGGGCTCGGGGCCGAGAATTCGTCCCAATGTAGCAATACATCGGTGATAACTATGTATTACACGATGATCTCCGAGCCTATGAAATACCTAAAATCCAGAGGGGCGAATAAAGATACGATCGATGGGGCTGGAAGTATACCACCGAGACAAAAGATCATCCCGATTAGGCTATCTTCCCCTAAATCCGAGGGTTGAGTTAGATTCGGGCTGCGCCACTCGGGGCTCTTGTATGCGCCACAAGACGCCACGCATGATGTGTCATAACTCCGCGTTATTCATTACCGCCCAGTCCACCGCCTATGAAGTGCAGGCAAAATCTCGAAGCAGGACATGATGATGATCATTGATGAACGGACGAACAAATTCACTTTAGTCTCATGCCATTTCTGTGAAGAATATCGAGACACATATACACCGGAATGGGTTATGACTCAGGCCTCCTTTCGCAGTGCTCAGGGAGTTGGGTGTCAAGACCTCGATCAGGATGGCATCGGAAGACAACACGAGAAAACAATCTGGACCCTAGCATCAAAGCTTCCTGCTAGAATACCTGATATCCTTGAAATAACCTTGGAACTTATTGCATTTATATAATCCATGTGATTTTGCCAAGCTCTAGCTCAACCCTATCATACGACACCCCCCTCGAACTCATAATATCTTTATTTTCTCTTCTTTTCTTCACAACCCCTCAAACAAATTTACAGCTGATAGAGATCTGTCAAAACTCTTCAGTGCCATGTGAACAGCATGTGCCTGAGTCTCCCGACCGTCTCCGATGGCACGTGCAGTCTATTCTCACCGACTGCTCCGAAGGGTTCCGGGTGTTCACGAGCTTGATAACAATGGAGTAGCCACAACAGCTCTTAGGTCTAAACATGTTCACGGAAGCAAGAGTATCCGATTCATTATGGAGCCTACCAAGTGGACTAGGCACAAGATCCGTTCCGAGTATCTCCTTTCCTTATTCTGCCGATGGGTGAAGTCATCGGTGTGTCAGCCAAAGCGTGAACCGTGGAACCTTCGTTATGAGCAATGCCGCATTTAGATAGCAGGCGTTGGTACTAACATGGGATTATATTTTGACCATCTTACCTTCGATCCACTGATACACCGAGTTAGCTCTGCATTGCCATGCAAACCCGGCCATTGAGCGCAATGCTCCCTCTGCGGCACCAGGCCCTACGTATACGGAAGCTGTTCCCTTGCCTTGCCCAGACTCCCAACTCTACATACCTCTCTTCCTCTAGCATCGCGCTGGCAGTCATTGTATCAGGCCGGAGATGCCTCGCCACACACGTTGAACAGCCCGTCGCAGCTCAGCCGTCTGATAATAAAAAAGAACGAGTCGTCATTCTTGGATCCGGCTGGGGCGGATACACTCTTTCGCGCAGGCTTTCTCAAAAGACATATGCACCTCTCATAATCTCACCTCGCTCATACTTCGTCTTCACTCCTCTCCTCACCAATACGGCCAGCGGATCCCTCGATTTCTCCAACATCGTCGAGCCTGTGCGCGATCCACGCGCCAAGGTCGACTTCATCCAAGCAGCCGCGCGTGGAGTTAATCTGAAAAAGAAGACTGTTCTATGTGAAGCAACAGTCGTCAAAAGCGGTGTCACTGAATCACCTCGCACGGCCGAAAATGAGCGAGGAACCGAGGATGGCCCGCAGACCACGAATATGAAGCCTATGCAAGCACAACGTCAATGGGAACAGGGAGAAACATTTGAAGTACCCTACGATAAGCTTGTCATTGCCGTAGGCGCCGTCAGCCAGACGTTTGGAACACCGGGAGTGCGGGAGAATGCAATGTTCTTCAAAGATATCGGAGACGCAAAACGGGTTAAGCGTCGCGTGCGGGAATGCTTCGAGCTGGCTGCGCTGCCATTCACTACCCCAGAGATGCGAAAGTGGCTGCTGAACTTTGCGATTGTCGGAGCTGGTCCAACCGGCATCGAGCTTGCGGCATCGCTGCGCGATTTCATCTACTCCGATCTGATGGCACTATACCCGACTCTTGATGCACTTCCGAAGATCACATTGTACGATGTTGCACCCAAGGTGCTTTCAATGTTCGATGAGTCGCTTTCCCGTTATGCGATGGAGACTATGGAGCGAGAGGGTATTGATATCAAGACCTCTCACCATGTCAAAAGTCTGCGCTGGGGCCAGCCTGGTGCAGCTCCACCGTACCATATGGATCCGAAGCGTTGCCTGACTCTTACAACCGAAGAAGATGGTGAACTGGGCGTCGGCATGTGTGTTTGGGCAACGGGTAATGCCATGCCTAAGTTCATCACCGACTCGCTTGATTCAGTTGACGCATACCCCAGAGACTCCATCCATAGCGTTGAGAGCTCTTCACCTGTAGCGATAGATGTCGAACACGCATCGTGGAAATTCAAGAAAGCACCCAAGCAAGGACCCCTTCTTGTCGATGGACATCTGCGGGTACAGCTGCAAAACGAAACCGGCCAGACAGCCGTTCTTCGGGACGTGTTCGCATTGGGTGACAACGCCATGCCAGAGACCGGTGCCCCTCCCGCAACGGCACAGGCTACCAGCCAAGAGTCCAAGTGGCTAGCTGATCGTTTGAACAAAAATGACCTGGCTCAGACCCCGCCGTTCTCATTCCGTGACCTGGGCACGATGGCGTACATTGGCGACGAGCGGGCATTGATGCAAATACCCCACAAGGCTGGCCGTGGTTCCAACAGTTTTATGCCAGAAGGTATCAAGGGACGTACCGCCTCACTCATCTGGAAGACGGCATACATCGGCATGAGCATCAGCTGGCGCAATAAATTGCGCGTGGCTTTCCGGTGGACGTTGAATAAGTTCTTTGGGCGGGACGTTTCGCGGTTTTGAAGACAATGTAAACTGATCAGAATTGCATAACACACACATGGAACTTATTAGTCTGCCTCATAAACTGTGTGACTACCCTAGATAGCTGTACAAGGAAAGAGGATTTAACCATGTATTCCGTGGCATCTGTCGGACGGCTACTGAACCTCCAAAGCTCAGCCAATGACTTTGTCAAAGAACATGGACGAGAACTCCCACTTTGATTTAGGTGCGGACCTGCATAGACCTCAACAACTTGGTGATGTTGATATGCTTGCGTGTAGGCGAGGCACAGCCACGCGATCTCATGTAGGCTACGAAGAGATGGTGGTCGAGGGTTGGGGAGAGGAAGAAGAGAAGAGGAAGAAAGACGAGAGGTTTATAACCCCACGTACCGTCCTAAAGTGGACAGTCCCCTTGCACCTTCCCAATACATTTCCTTCAGTTCCTTCCAAATCCAGAGTAACAATATAAGTTCAATTTCATTCCAACTACCTATAGAGTATCACTCCTATCCAAATCTAGTCTCAAATGATCATAACTACCCACATTGGCCTCTCACTCGTTACCAACCCACTGGGCACTCTATATCCAAAGCTCAAGTAAATCTATATCCAAGTTAGTATGTAACCCAGAAAGCAGAGAATGAGATGCATACCTCATAACGTAAGGACAGATACTCTCCCCACCATAAGAAGTCCAAATAGCCTGCTCACGAACTGGCGTACCGGTTCGAGCAGCATTAATCATCAACTTATCGTTGATAAAGATACCAACATGGGCAACCTTGTTCTTGCAATCACCACCGGTAGCCCAGAACAAGAGATCACCAGCTTTAGCCTGTGCACGAGGATACCGCTTGCCCATGCTGGAGTCATACTGATCCTGCGCGACACGGGGAATCTTCTTATTCAGTGCCTGGCAAATGGCATACTGCGTCAGACCCGAGCAGTCAAACCCGCCGCCAGAGGGACCCTTACAGCCACCACCGCCCCAGACGTATGGGAGACCTTTCTTCTTCTCGGCTGCAGCGATGATGGCTTTTCCCGTGCCGGTACTGCCACCACTACCGCCGCCGCCGCACTTGGTGGTCACGTAGCCGCTGCTGCCGGTTTTCACATAGTAGTCGGCTACGTAACAACCGTCGGATGTCTTGTCCCAGATATCGTTACCGGAGACTGAGTCTCCAGTGGTTTGGCAGGTGACTTGGACATCGTGCGCCTTTTTGTACGCTTTGACGACCGCATGGCTTGTTCCGGGACCGGAGCGGCAGTTGACGGTCTCGCCGGTGATGGGGTAGGCGCTGACTGCCGTTATGGCAGTCGTGAGGGAGAAGGCAATCAGGGAAATGAAATGCATGACGAATTGTTTGGTTGTTTGCTTTTGTGATAGAGAGTTGTTATTTCTTGGTGTAGAAGGACTGAGTTGAGTTGAAAATGCATCCGAATAGTGATGGACATTGACGCCTTTATAGACAATCCGCTCATGCTATTTTGTGAGAAGCCTTTGACATATTGTTGCATTTTTCGTGTCTATCGAGCTGATCGTCGATTCGTATCTCTCCTGCAGCAGGATGCGACCCTTGACTCGTATTCTGGCCATGGGTCCGACACGATCACCATGGAAATTGCCTTACAGACCCCAACCGACCGTGATCTACAAGGTTGTTGGACAAAAATAACAATTTGAAGGGATCTAGCAGACACTAACTGGAGTTTCGGTTGATCTTTTCTCGTAATTTCGTGTTCCTGCGTTCATACTTCCTTAAGGGCCACTAACAACACAAGGAACACGAGAAGTACTATTTATAGTAGATGCAACCATAATTTAGCCCCAAATTAGATAGCCATTTGCTACTCGTAATTTCATTTCTCCGCATCTTAAGCCAATTGTTCCGTGCTACTTTTGGACCCCAACAATAGAGTATATGTGTTGTTACCCTAACTTTGAATACTCATTTCTCACAGGTAAGTATTGACAATGGTAGTTAGCGATAGATATTTAGTTTATATTCGCTCCATAATCATAGTTGTTTGGACGACGATATGTATGCAGAACAGGATCCTTTGGAGTTTTTTCTTGGATATGAACCCTTATGTGGGTGGGTATTAGCAGTGCCTCACATATTATGCTGTCCTTTTTAGACTGTATTTCTTTTCAACTCTGGAAGGTACTCTTGCATCTCTGGGTTCATCTGGATGCATGGCACTATACGCTTTAGTAGTAGAGCCGTTAAGAGCTTTGTACGAAATAAATCCTTATATTTCTTAGGAGCTCCGAGTTACAGATGTCTGGTATACAACCAGGGCGTGCAACAAGTACCTGCTGGATGATAGGAAGCTGATGGATCGGTTTGTATATTGGATCAAATGGATTGACTAGGAAAAACCTGCAATATGGGAAGCTTGGGTTTCAACAGCTGCTATTTCCTTACTAATTCTTTGATCATGCAGATGCCATCCAGCATATTTCGATGCGACTCGTCTACAACACCCGTCCTTTCCCTTTTCTTCAAGGCCTTGATGTCTCCAGTGCGCAGTTTCCAGATACCAAGGATAAACTATGCTTCTCAGTACATAATGTTTTAACTCCATTCCCTCCGGACCAGCTGAATCGATATGATTTGGTTCATGTTAGGTTCCTTCAACCTCGCCTGAAGGACTGTGATTTTCAGCTTGCCATGACAAATATCTGTTTTATTATTATTAAATATTATGCTCTGCAACAAGCTAGCTCTTACGAGAAGCCCCCTGACACTTGTGATCGGTAGAACCGGCGGGTTATCTACAGTGGGAAGAATAATATTACAGTAGATCATTCCGATTGATGACCAGCATACAACCACAATTCCAAGAAATTGTGGGAGATTATGTTGGCTATGCGAAATTTCATCGTTTTAGCCTTAACGCCCCCGAAACCATTGCAAGACAGGTATAAGCCCAGGCCTCAAGGTGATTAGCAAGACTTGTCACAACACAGCAGATGAGCCGCCCGACCAGCTTTTATTAGATCGTTCTTTCTTCAATCGTTGGAAATGGCGGTTCCAGTTTGCTACCTTGATCAGGGGCTTGCTTATGATGAAGGGGAATGGCAGGCTATGTATGACGGGAAGATCAGCCAAGTAATGAGGCTTTTTGGAGAAGGGCTTGTGCTTGATGATGCTTTCGCATGCATTCTTTGTCAGAAGAGCGTAGCCTTGAATAAAAGAACATTGGTTTCATAGAGATCGGCGAGTACAATACGCCATTGTAAACCATTTCTAAATCCGGTAATGCATAAATTTAGATGGTCTGAAAAGCTTCTTTTGAAGTGACATGCTGGACTAGCGCCATCATAAAACATGAAAAGGTTGTCAAATCACCCATCCGGTCATAATAAGCTATTAAATGACTTTCCCTTAGATAGCCATATTGGCACAAGTAAAGGCAGGCGTGACAGATCCCGAGTAGTCCGCAATAATCGCCTCCACAGCTGCATATAGCCCAGGGCCCAGCAAGAACAATCCAACCATCATGATGAGAACATTGAGCAGAGTCAAAGCAGTCCTTCCCAGACCTTTGAAAAGCGATCCTCGGTTTAGCTGCCAGTATGCGACAGCGAAGTAAATGAACCCGAAGAACGAGTCAAAGGCCGCGCTGAGCAAGGAAAGGAAATCGCCCATGCTGGGAATGATCTCTGCAAAAACAAACCCGAGTAGCCAGATCGCAACCATGATCATTCCCCACACGCTCCATCCAATCACCGTGTGGCTGTGTGAGTGTCGGGACTTGCCGAGGACGCGGGTATAGATGAATTTCCCAGTTACGTTGGCGTAGATCACGCCGATGACTAGGGTGGGGACGATCACGAAGCCGAAGGATGATTTCTTGTAGGAGACCACTCCAAGACTGCCGAAAGCTGGGGCGGTAGCATATTGGCCTAGGTAGCGGAACCCAATGGCCGAAGGGACGATGAATAGGATGGCGGAGATCGCGGCGAGAACGGCTAATGCTTTGGAGAAGTCTTGTGGCCGTTCCATTTCTGAGATGAAGGTTGGAAACAGGATTTGCGGGACCCAGAGATAGGTGATGTTCAGCACAGCGTTCATACACGCGACCCATGTGGTGCCTGGAAGAGGGAAGGCATAGGTTTTCACGGGGCCATCGGTCGGGTAGTTGCCCTTGTATCCGTAGAGGGGGGCTTCTTCGATACCGGCAAAAACGAGAAAGAGCAGAATTGCGATACCCATGCATGCAGCTTTGGGAGTGTCAGGTAGGGCCAGTTGGGAGTTAAGAGAACAATTAGCTACTCACATGAGAACATTGACATGAAGCTAATATGTTGCAAGGTCCGGGGCATGGACATGACGATTCCCACAATAGCCGTGATGATTGAGAAGACGGCAGTGCACAATGAGTGATCTGAGAGGGTATTCAAGACCTTGGCGCCAGTCAAGACGTGAAACCCAATGAGAAGAATATTATTCGCAAGCATCATGAATGCGGAGAAGACGTAGGCAGCTTTGCTCTGTCCAAATACGTGGTATCCGAAGTCGCCTGTAGGTGATTACACTGTTAATTCTTTTATTCGTTGTAAGTAGGAATGGGGATACTTGGACTCACAGATATCCCTGATATGAGGGTGCTTCATGATATACTTGTGCATCGTGATGGAGGTGACCCAGAAGAGGAGTCCGCAAAGGATCATAGTAATAATTCCCGGAACCCACCCGAGGACGCTGAGGGGACCCCTCCTGTCAGCTTCATTGAAACTCCAGTATTCGAAAAACAAGATAGTCACTCACGAGAGAGACCATGACTGTGCCATGATGGCCAAACAGACCTGCTCACCAGCAAGCAAGCAGGCCGTCTTCTGCCACGACATGGTCCGAAGCTTGATATCATGTTCATGGTCTGGACGAAAAGGTAATGTCAGATCAGCGGGACAGGTAACGCAGGGCAATCAGTACCTGCGGCAACCAGAGCAGTGATGGTATCAATGGAGTCTGTTCCATCAGTCTCGGTGCCCAGGACGTAGCCTGGTTCGTTCTTGTCGTCGGACATATTTCCTTTCAGGATCAAGATTAAAGAAGGTAAGATCTAAGGCAGGTACCCTGCATTATAAACAAATGAGAGACAATTTACACGTCGAAGTCTTTTTTTTTTCTCTTCTTTTTGGATTATTTTTTTCGGCCTCTTTTTATGGCCTTGGAACGTGGTATCTTTGAACCCAGAGAAGACAAAAGGATAGTGATGGCGCCATAATTAAGAGCATCGCGATATTGGCTTTAGCTTGTCAGGGCTTAGCCAACCTTGCTTATCGGCCGTTCCGTGGGTCTGGCCTAAGTTTAACCGCTGGAGGCTTTTGATTTTTAATCTGATTGGTCGAATTGGTTGAGTTTCATTAGCCAAAGCATGGAGCCTTGGAAGAGATTACCCTGAATCCTTGGCACGTTGCTTAATATATATTTTCATTTTCTGTCGATGCTAAGGACATGTTCAAATTACAGCTTTGCACTGGTCGAACCTTGCACAGCTCGATCAACAATCTCCATGGCCTGGAAAAGCTGATAATCATGTTGCTTAGGAGTGACAACCTGCACACTGAGAGGTGACCCGAGGTACACGCGACGATCAACTGTTTTCTCGTCCCCTATGAATCGAAGCCAATTAGCGAAGGACCACCGGTATGGGGAAACATCAAAAACTTACACAGCTGCCGATTAGCCTTATCCCAGCTTCCCAACACAGGCGCATCCATTTCCCGCCCAATCTCAAGATCGGATTCCGTGAATGAGCGGACAGGAACCGAGCCAGCCGGGTAGTCGAGCAGCACAAAGGTCGAGGTGTACCCAACAGCATTGTAGCGGTCGAGCTCTGGGACCGGGTGTGGCGCCACAGGGCAAATTATGGCGTCAACGCGTCGAGCAATAGACGAAGCCTGTGATGTCAATGTCCACATTTTCATCATCTCCTCCTCAATCTCGGCACGCTGGGCCTGCAGGTTCGCCAGTTGAATCACCGTCAGCGCTTTGCCGCGCTTCATACGGCCCTGCAGCCACGGAGTGAGCTCCTCGTCCATGCTCTCGATGAGGTCGAGCATATGGGACCCGTCGTCGATCCCCATCAGCCGACCTGCTATGGCCTGGCATTTAGATAGCACCGAGGGAATGGGGATATCAACGACCTCGACGCCCGGGGTACGACGGAGCTTGTTGGCGACTTCGTTCAAAATGCGGGTAATCGGGGGCAAAGGGGTGACGAGGCCATCTGTCTTGAGAACTCCGACAGTGAAGTTGCGTGGAGTAAGAGTGACAGGCACCGACTGTGATGGCCAGGAGCCCGGAATGCAATCTGCGCCGAATAACTCCGCGCGAGGCACGATCTCCGCCATGACGGCGTTGAGATCCGCAACAGAGCGAGCCAACGGACCAGCTACTGCTTGCAACCCTATCCGGCCCTTGCCTTCAATCTGGCCGCTCTGCTGGCCTCCATATGGCACGCGTCCAGTACTCGGCTTGAACCCGTAGATACCCTGGCACATAGCTGGTACACGAATGCTACCCCCGACATCCGTGCCAAAGCCGACCATGGACCCGCGCATGGCGATCAACGCGCCCTCTCCGCCAGTGCTGCCACCGGCAGTCCATTGACGGTTGAGAGGGTTCAGCGTGCGGCCAAAAAGGTGGTTGCAGCTGTCCAATGTTCCGAGTGTCTGTGGTATGTTTGTCTTGGCGATCACTACTGCTCCCAGAGACTGCAACAGGTCTACTAGCGGGGCATTTGCGTTGGCAGGCTTGAATGCCAGGGCAGACAACCCAATGCTGGAGTCCACGCCTTCTATATTAAATGTATCCTTCACTGTCACCGGGAGCCCATGCAAGGGGCCGATCGGGGCGCCCGTGCGCTGGAAGTGATCGTCCAGCTCCCGGGCTCGTTGCAAGGCGCGGTCGAAGAGGGGTTCAGTTAGACAGCGGGTGAGTTGGTGAGCGACAGCTGCCCTCTGCACTTAATCCCAGCTATTAGCAGCTTGATCGGAAATAATTAGTCAATATGGGATCGCACCTTGCAAAACCCTCGCATCACGTCCTCGGCCTTCAATCGACCCTCTGCCATCCCCGCCACAAGGCCCCGCACGTCGTATTTCTCTGTGATTTCCAATTCCTTGTGTGTAAGTATACCACAAGTTCGTGGAATATCCATCACCCCGACTCGTTGATAGCTTTTTGGACCAACGGTGATCGACTCGGAAATTGAGAGCATCCCTTCAGGAATGAGGTGTGCGGGTAGCCGCCATTCGTCAGGGATAGCTGTAGCCAGCTCGGCTTGCTTGCGCTGGGCAACTGCCACATAACGGGGTTCTTGGGAGGCCATCGTGACTGTGTTGAGAAAGACATGGGGAGAGGTGGTTTTTAGTTGCGGGGAGTGTGGAGAACAACAACCTCGGCCCAGACGTTGGGGGTATTCCAAGTTCGACTCCAAAAGGAGACTCAATTGGACGCCCTCAAAACCTATACCTATTTTACGTAACCCCGATCTTAGATAGGTACATATAGACAGGATAATGTCTGACAAGTTTTGGCTTTCCCTTTCCGTTTTAGTGCTCACCCCATGCCGCTTTTTGCTCACTGAGCGTGACTTCAATTGCAGATTCGACTGTGGCTATGTAGCAAGTATACTCCCGCTCGTCTACCTCCTGCTCCCCCAGGCCCTGGCCGAGGATATTCACTTACTCTACCACTTCGTTCCAGAACGAAACTGCATAACTGAGCCGGACGCTTATCTCGAGCGCTAGGCGAAGGACGCTCCTCGAAGGTCAAGTGGCTTCCTGAAGTCTGCGAGTGCTCAGGTATTAGACAAGAGGATGCCGATTAGGTACGCAACAAGCATCAAGGGCAGAAAGAAACCTTGGACAGGGTACAAAAGTCGAGAATGGATTTCCTGCCGCTTCCATCGGGCACTAGGCTTTTCCAGTGCAGTCTTGAAGTCGTCAAGGATGATAGTGTCTCAGAGGCACTTGAACATAAACCTAAAAAATCGTTCTTTCGTTACTCTGTATGGTTGAAGTCTCTGAGATTATCTTCTAGAAGGGGTCGAGGGTCTGCCGAGACTACCTCCATAGGCGCAACCCCGTGCCCGGTCTAGAGCGCCGGGCCATTACAGGGGTACCCCGCTGTCTGGGGTTGCGCCCGGGGGTTGGCTTTTCCTTGGCAAAGGGGATTTTCCGAACTTTCCCCGGAAACGTAGGGGCTTTTTGGGGTGGACAGACGACAGACCGTACCGAAGATCACTCGGCATCACTCTGCAGAATCAATTTTGCATTTTACGCCCAATATTGCAGCGTCGCAGAATTTTGATCGGCAGGTGATGGATGTGCTGCAAATACTAGCCACAAGTAGCGATACGCCCGAAGCACATCCTCAACCTAAGTTTGAATTAATTTGAGAAGTGGTGCATATTTGCTTTGAATTTATGTGGAGAGTTTCAATGCAGCATAACAATACTATAATTGTAAATTACTGTAGATGTTTCCCAGATCATAGTTCACTTCCATCCAACCTTGATGTTTAATATTCAGAGAACTGATATTGCCAAGAGGTGGCGAGGTCACTAAGACAAGCATAGTTGTTTTAATCTTCTTGGGTTTGGGTCTGTGGCAGGATCCTCTTCAGAGACCTATAATGACCTTTGATTGGAAACTAGAACGGGACTTAATCAAACTCAACTTGAGGAAACGGCCAAGCCAGGCAAACTTCCAACGTTGCTTGTTAGACCGAACGACGGAGTAAGAGAAGATCGGCGGGAACAGGTCGACGGCAAGCTTGCTATAAGTCAATGGTAAGTACGGTCTTTTACGCATACAACTAACTAAATACAGATGGGAGCTTCCTCGCTCTTGGCCGAAAGGTATGAAAACCGTGCACGATAGCCCACTCATTGCTGGCTGGTCTTGATGTCGCCAGATGGTAAGCACAAAGAGCGAGTGAAGCGAATGACATCAAAGCACTCGGGAGATGAGAAGAAGGATGCTACATCAGACCCTGGACCCACCCCAAACCATAATGAGAAAAACTCTTTTGAGCGCACTGTTATGTGCATCCTGGCTATCCCGTGCATTCTGTATATGGGCATGCCCGAACAACCCCCCGGCCAAAAAAAAGATGACATTACTATTTGGCTGCGTTTCCACGACGTTTGGGAGCAGGGGTATTACTTGCTATATATACCTCCTTGCTTTCCTATCACTCCTCCATCTTCACACCCTTCGCTCGCGATCGCTTGTACTTAAGACTCATCTATCATTACCACGTTGCTGTGTTTCGTTGCACGCTTCGCAAAGATGCTGGCGTTCCGTGGTTTTTCATTGCTATCACTCGCCTTGTTGGCCAGTACAGTCCCACTTGCTGCCAGCCAAGCCGTGCCTAGCTATCACATTACCCCCGAAACGAAATGGATGAATGACCCCCAACGTCCATTCTTCCTTGGGAATGAATGGCATTTCTATTACCTTTACAATTCCGACTTTGACAGCTCAAACCCCGGTTCAGGTGGGACAGAATGGTATCATGTCACGAGCACCGACATGGTGAACTGGACTCGCCAGGGTGTAGCGATCGAGAAATACAAACCCAATCCTCCCAACGGCGTGAACCTGGGTGACATCGAAACTGGCAGCGCCGTAGTGGATGCGGACAACAAGGCTGGCTTTGGCAAAAATGCCGTCCTGGCCATTCTTACACAGATGGCGGAGGGGGTGCAACAACAGTCTCTCTTCTATTCAACCGACAATGGCGACAGCTTCGCCCCCTACAAGGGCAATCCTGTTCTGCCAAACCCAGATCCGGATACGAAACCTGCGTTTCGAGACCCCAAGATCTTTTGGGATAGTGAAGCAGGCAATTGGGCCATGTCTCTCGCGGAGGGTAACAGGATCGGCTTCTATACCTCCCCGGATCTCAAGACCTGGAAGCATACTTCCTCGTTCACCCCAAACACTGGTGTCAACCTGGACCCCCTCGAGTGCCCAGACCTTTATCAGATCGACCTAGACGGGGATTCTAAGCAGCGCACCTGGATCCTGGCCGCAGGTGCAAAAGGAAGCACCCTCTATTGGATCGGGAAATGGGACGGCAATGGCTTCACGGCCACAGACGCGAAGCCGCAATTGATGGATGATGGGCCCGACTTCTACGCCACGGTCAGCTGGGATAACCCGAAAGATACATACGGCAGTCGCTATGCAATTGCCTGGATGAATAACTGGGAATACGCAGCTTCGCTACCTTATTACGGGGACTTTGCTGGTCAGACCAGTATGGTCCGGGAGGTTAAGCTCAAGACCATCAACAATTCTCCTACCCTTGTTAGCAGCCCAATAAAAGGGTATGAAGGGATTTTTGGCCCTGTCAAATCCGTGAGTAAGAAGACCATTACAAAGGATCCGAAATCTGCATCTCTGCCCAGCGGCCTAACGGGAAATGCGTACGCCATCCGCGCAACGATCTCCAAGGCAGACGGTGACGACGGCAACGAAGTCCGCTTCCGCATCAAATCCGACGGGTCTTTTAGCACGACTCTTGGCTATAACTTCAAGAATTCCCAAGCGTTTTTGGTGAGGGATTCCGACGGTTCCGCGACAGATTCCATGCCATCGGGTCCGAAGAAGGCATACGACACTATAGCTACGGCACCGAATCCTTCAGGAGGCAACACAGTCAAGCTGGAGATATATGTGGACTCGAACTCAGTGGAGGTGTTCGTGGATGACGGTGTGGCTGTGCTATCGGGGCTTATTTATCCGAACAAGGCGGCGGAGGGGGTTCTGGTTGTGTCCGATACGGGAAGCTTGACGTTGACGTCGTTTAGTTATGCTGAGTATGAGGGATAGCTTCTAGCTATGTCAGATACATGAAGCTGGACGTTGGTGTCGTTTAGTTATGCTGGGCATGAGGTGCAGTTTCTAGCTGTTTATACAATGTCTATCCACCATGTGCTGGAGATTTTGTGGAGAATGTTGAGAGATAGTTTAGATGAAATGGTGTGGGTATTGAGTAGTTGGGGGTACTAACCTCGAGACGAACTGGATGGTAATTCAAATTATATGTCATATTGCGAAACTAAAGCGCACCCATACCCTGAGGGTTCGGGGTATATTGATAGAAACAGCGTAATTTCATACATTGCATCTGTCAGAGTAGAAAATACTCAATTTGTTGTGCCGCCAGACCGAGCTAATAGGATTGGAAATCCGTCGAAACCAAGTAGTGATTTCGATTCAAGTCCAGAGTATGTACATGAAAAATATTTAAAAGAGTGAGACTTCTACCGTTGATATTCTGGTGGTTCTTTTCGTATTTAACCACCAATAATATATAAAACGGTGCGGATCCCAGGATATACATGGGGTAGCATTAACCGGCCCTTACTTTTTTTTACATAAGTTACAGACCCTTATACCAGAAATGGAAAGACCCGTCCCAATGAGAAAAGGTTAAAGGCTTTTTCTTTGCATAATATTGGATGCTTGTTCGCCGTGGAGAGACCTCACGCGAGCAATCAATGTGTGAACATTGTGGACAAATGACTGGTGAGCTATCTAATCGACGTGCATGTCGTACGCTTCTTCATGAGATGAGACGCGAAATGTCGAAGCTGCATACTGTCAGTCTTATCCCATCTCAATGGGAGAAACACGAACTGAAGTAGCTTCTCACTAGCTCTTCAACAAAGCGGACTGCATAGCGAGTGAAAAGGACAAGTATAAAGTACAAGGGAGTTGAGTGGAGCTGTCCAGGTTACCGGCAGGCAGCTGCTATGCAGAGGCTGAGACCATACTGAAACCGGGAAAAAAGACATCTATAGGAGAGACACCTGGGAATGGCTGTAGTAGAAATCACATCCCGTTTGGGGTAGGGTAGAAACATGATGATGATCACCTGGGGACAACAAGCTTCTTATATGTCAGAGGAATCGCTACGACAGAACTGGCGTCTCTTTCACAGACCTTGCATGTGTAAGTTCCATTGCTCTAAAAGTTCTATGCAGTATGCAGTATGCAGGCGACAGGGTCTGGAGCCCCCACGGCCCTGGAGATGCATTGTAGATATGGTTCTTAGAATGGAAGGTTTTATTATTCATCAACTTATAGGATCCAGCTAAGCCTCGAAATGGTATGCGTCATGCTTTCTTGTTGACAACTCACACTTTTTGGGATAGCCAGCGGTATCAGGCCCAAGTTGAGGCGATAGTGTAGATGCTGAGTTTGACCTTTTCAGTGGCTCCTCCTGTGGATATCAGGTGGGTGTGAATCGCGTCGCTGCTCGGGAAAATTTGAGCTGTGAGAGTAGTCTCGCCCTGGCCTCCGAAAACTTCAACGCTAGACCGATCGACGAAGATGGTCAGCTTTACTTTGCCATTGACAGCCGATGCAAGGGGTCCGCGGTATATGCTCGCGAAAGTATTGTCGAATGACACATCTCCAGACTTGGTGCGGTCAATGAAGACTTGCTTGTTGACGAAGTCGTAACCGATAAGGGTCTGCTCGGTGGAGTCGGCGGAGGCCCGAACAGCGATGGCAAAATCCGAAGCCGTCGAAGTAGCAGAGAAGCTTAAGTCGATCTTGATGGTCTCTTTATTGCTACCCACATAAACGGAGCCTTGCCTAACAGAATTGTAGGTGTGTGAATAGGCTGGGTGCTTGCTGACGATAGAAGACCATGCTTCCTGGGGCTGCTGAATGAGAGTTATCTTATCCTCGATAGTCTTGAGAGATAGATGTCGAGGAATAGACATAGCGGAGCGCCATGGGCTAGTGGGAATGTTCGGGCCATATTGCCAATTATTCATCCATGCGATGTGAGTGTAGGTGTTCGGGGAGAGGCCATTAAAGCCAGCTGAGGCATAGAAGTCTGGGCCCCAGTCCATCCAGTTGGCGGTCGCGTTTCCGGGATACACAGAATCAGCGTCGGGAGTGAAGGTGGTACCGTCGAAATCACCCAGGAAGTACTGGGTTCCAGAGCCGACCGTGCCGGGGGGCCCACCGGGGTTAAGTCCGCTCACGATGACCCATTTTGTGGACTTCCCACCATCAAGGGGTAACTTGAAAAGACCGGGACACTCCCAGATTCCGCCTTGGGCGTTGTAAGGACCAAACTCACTCGCCAGCGTCCAGTCCTTTAGGTTGTCGGAAGTGTAAATGACGAGCTTGTATATTGTGGCTAGAGAAGTGACGACGACCCACTTGTGAGACTCCTCGTGCCAGAAAACAAAGGGATCACGGAAATTTTGGTACTGGTCTTCGTATGGGGCTGGAGGGTTGTAGATGACCGGGTTGGCGGCATCGTACGTGGTCCAGGTTAGACCATCGTCAACACTGTAGGCGATGGACTGGGATTGCTGGTTCTCCCGGATGGTCTTTCCACTCGGCAGGGTCTGCGCAACAGGGTACTGTGGAAAGAGAGTGAGCTAGTTATCACCACCACGGTATCAATTCGCTCGTGGGTGAGCTTACGGCAGAAGTGTACATGGCGACCATAGGCGGCTTCCCGTCCTTCCCAAAGCCACTGGTATTGTTCACATCAATGACCGCACTTCCGCTGAAGTACATCTCCGTGACTTCGCCACCATATCCCCGAGCAAGAAGGGCGATAGGCTTCTCTTCCCAGTGGGTCAAATCGTTGCTGGTGGCATGGCCCCAGGACATGTTCCCCCACTGCATACCGCCGGGATTATACTGGTAGAACAGATGGTATACCCCATTGTGATACAAGAGACCATTGGGGTCATTCATCCAATGCTCCTGGGGCGAGAAATGGTATTGGCCACGGTAAGGCTGGTCGTAGTTGAAGGCGTTTGCTATGCCGGCAATGCCTGCTAAAAGGCCCGCCGCAAGGGCCTTGGTGAGATAAATCATTGTGAAGGAATAAGTATTTGCCGTGGAAGAATAATGTTTGTGACATGGCGGCACTACACAGTCTTATATATACAAGAGCTTGGTGCCTTGAGCCCTCAGGCAATGGCCCAAATATATCTGGAAATTCTACTAGCACATACTATCCTCCCTATCCATTCTCCATTGAGAGGATACGCTCCACAGACGGTACGCCCAACAGTATGTGAATTTAGCAATACCGATATTGTAGCATCAGGGAGTTTCTTCGGAGGACCTCAAACTCTCACCCCACAAATCGGCCAATGGAGGGATGATATGCATGAGACCAAATGAGCTAGTAATTGGGGCGTTCTTGGGACCTTTTAGAGCTACGTAGGTACGTGTCTCGAGGGAAGGTATAACCCTAGGCAAAGATCTGAATTTCACGTTGCCTCGGCACGCCATCGCACACTAATTACTCCACAGCAAGAACGGTTTGACCACTCAAAAGGGTCGAGGGATACCATGCGAATAAATTCGTATACCGGTGTGTCTCCCCATGGGGTCAAAACGTCTGGGCGTTTCTCAGCCCAGATCAAACTCTATTGCCATGAGGTGCCCTGGTCCTTTTTGCTGGACTGTAAATTCACCGAGCGTGGGGAAACTTCGGATTATTTTCGGGTGTGTCTATTCGGAGATGAGAAATATCCCGCGTTCGGCTAGGCCAAATGCTAACGCTACCCCGTGGGGAACCCGGTGGATCGGCGTTCCGGCTTCGGACTTCTCGGGATACTCGAAACCCTGAATTATCGAGAACAGTTTAAGGACATCGTGTAGATTTGACAAAAAGGGATCTTATTTTCAGGTACTGTTTGTCCGGCGGAAAATCTGCTTACGACTCCAACTGTATTCAGTTTATCTAGATTTCGCTCGGGTATCTTCTGCCAGACCGAAAGATCCTGTTAATAATCCTGTCTCGTGTTTGACCCACACAGCCCGCGGATGAGAGATGGTCGAGGCCAATGCGTTGTGCCCCTGTCTCCGATTCTACATCCGTAATGACCCCCGAAAGTATGCAAAACAAGGAGGTCGCTCTCGGAAGTGGCTGGTCCGACCTGCTAGCTCTCTAGGAAGACTCCCAACCAGCCAACTGAAACTGATTGGCTGTATAAGCAATTTGAAAGTGCGTGTCGGCGAAACCCCGCAGATATCAACTGTCTTGTACCGCTTGGACATTTTAGTTACTCGGCTTCAGTGCCCCAAATTCGTCCCCAAGACTTCCTTTGCTGCTCAGACCCCCAAAGCAACAGAATGTGGCAATCTATTCTACTTCCAGCCGTGTAATCGAACAATAATTGGTCTCTGGATTCACAAAGGTATAAGATGCAACATTTGGCCTCTCGTAGCACACTATACTGACCGAGATTTACGCTTTACACATTCCCGATTTACTCTACTCCATCAAAATCATGGGGGTTTGGCTAAAGAAGCCCGAGAATGTACCCGGAGCATCATGGCCAGCCATTGCTATCTCTAGCTTCGTCGCTTTCGGGGGTATCTTGTTTGGGTATGCTCATCATTTCCACAGGATGATATTTGGATGTACCTAACTTCCCCATCACAAGATATGATACAGGCACCATCAGTGGCATCCTTGCTATGCCGTACTGGCAAGATCTTTTTTCAACCGGCTATAGAGATGCCACCGGACATCTAAACATAACTTCTAGCCAGTCCTCTGCTATTGTCTCCATTCTATCGGCCGGAACATTCTTTGGTGCCCTCTGTGCGGCTCCCCTTGGAGACTCCGTCGGCCGTCGATGGGGCTTGATCGCCTCCAGCTGGGTATTCAATTTCGGCGTGATTTTGCAAACAGCTGCTACTTCCATTCCACTATTCCTTGCGGGAAGGTTCTTTGCTGGATATGGTGTTGGCTTGATTTCCGCGCTGAGTACATACCCCACACTTACAAAGCCCTGATCTTTCTCACTAATTAATGTATCAGTTCCACTATATCAGTCTGAAACGGCGCCAAAGTGGATTCGTGGATTCATTGTCGGTTCTTACCAGCTAGCCATCACCATAGGTCTGCTGTTGGCCTCGGTGGTCAACAAATCCACTCACAGTCGGAATGACACCGGTTCTTACCGCATCCCAATCGCCGTTCAATTTGCATGGGCTATTGTGCTGATAATTGGAATGCTTGTCCTACCTGAGACCCCCCGGTACCTTATCAAACGAGATAACCATGAGAGAGCCACTAAGAATCTTGCGAAGCTTCGACGTCTACCCGAAGACCACATCGCTGTCAGAGAAGAGATTGCCGAGATTCAAGCAAATCACGATTATGAAATGAGTCTTGGCCAGCCCAGCTATCTCGAATGCTTCCAAGGTGACTTGGGAAAGCGTCTGTTGACTGGTTGCGGTCTTCAAGCCCTACAGCAATTGACCGGTATCAATTTTATCTTTTATTACGGCACACAGTTCTTCAAAAACTCGGGATTCGAGAACGAGTTCACTATCAGCCTTATCACAAATTGTGTCAACGTCGTTTCTACTATTCCCGGCCTTTACGCTATTGATAAATGGGGTCGCAGACCCGTTCTCCTATTGGGTGCCGTCGGCATGTGTATCTCTCAGCTTCTGGTCGCTGTCCTGGGAACGACGACCACTGGCCAGGATGCTGCTGGCAACATTATTGTGCACAACGCAGAGGCGCAGAAAGCTGCGATAGCATTCATCTGCATCTTTATCTTCTTCTTCGCTGCATCCTGGGGACCTATTGCTTGGTAAGTCATCACTAGTTTTTTGGCCTTTTAAGGTATCTAATTTGAGAGTAGGGTTGTTACTGGCGAAATTTTCCCTTTGAAGATTCGTGCTAGGAGTCTTTCCATAACCACCGCCACTAATTGGCTGGTTAACTGGGCAATCGCTTATTCTACCCCCTACCTGGTGAATTATGGCTCGGGCAATGCCAATCTGCAGTCAAAAATCTTCTTTATCTGGTTTGGATGCTGCTTCCTTTGCCTTCTTTTCGTTTACTTCATGATCTATGAAACCAAGGGACTTTCATTGGAGGAGGTGGATGAGCTGTACTCTAAAGTCAGCAACGCGCGGGAGTCAGTTGGTTGGAAGCCAACTGTCACCTTCACGCAGATTGTGAACCAAAAGCGAGGCTCGGTCAGCCAGAGCCACCATGATGAGCACGTCGCGGAAGAGAAAGCTTAGGCCACGCGACCGCACCGTTGGAACTGTGTAATGAATCTTGATAGAACAAGCTATGCGGGTCTGAAATGATGGGGCATCTCTGTTGGGAGGGCTGATATGGAATTGAGGAGACTTCGGCGCTGTTTTGCTGTTCCGGATCTTTTGGAAGCCGAGCGCGAGACATGTCCTTGAGCTTCTTTATTCATAACAAGGATGGGATTACACCTAGGTATACTTTCGGTTTATATTAGGATTTAGCAGAAGCGATTTTCCTCCTTGGATGCATTTGCGGTTTCGGATGACAGGCTCTACTTCACAGTGAGCAATCTATGTATTCGAAGTTATCCATTATTCTTCAGCGGTACCCATCGAACTAAGTGCCCCCTCTGTAGTAAGGTGACTAGACGGTGATAATCGCAACAATCCTTAAGCCATATACTGTAAAGTAGAGGTTCAAGTATCGAATTAGACACCACCCATGCAAGTTCCATTCAAGCTTGGACGTTTCGCAGTTTTCGAGCAAACTAGCGAAATATCCGTTTATCTATCGGTTTGTTTGACTTCTTCTAGCTATTACAATATGGCTAGTCCTTATCGGCATTGATTTCCACTTACATTCCCATTCGGCCCGCAACCTCCCCACAAAGCCTGTCATTAATACGGGCCAGCAGCGCGATGTTGAGAATCCAAGACCATCGAAGAGCCCGTTTCTCATTTATGTTCAAGAAACGACTGCAATTAATTATGATGTTCCGACCGTCAACATCTATTAAAAGTTAATTACGGCTGCTCCAGTGTTAGGACACTACTGCAGCCGCCACTTATTTGAGGGCCGCAACTTGCAGATGGGCAACCATACTACACGATAGTCAGGTAATACGAGGAACTCTATCTTAAACACCACCCGCCCCTAAGAAGACAAGAAATATTCTACCCTATACAGATGGGTGAAAGACCGACCTGAGCAGTCCGGAGCACACAAAGTAGCCGTTTCTGGCTTCCTTTTTGCCAACCATGTATTACCTGGCCGGCACAATACTCATTGCACAATATACAAACATACCAAACAGTGGCGCGAATGCCGGAAATCCCGGATTGCCGAGTGAATTCTTGATTGAACCGCAAAGTCAAACGCCAATACAACCGATACAAAACATGCAAACATACAAACACCGGAGCTGAGGCTAGGAGTTCCGAGTCACCGCGCGCTTATTGGTTAAAAACCCTTGAGAAGGCAAACCATGTAAACATGCCAAACAGAAAAAGTTGAATTATTCATAGTTTATAGATGTGAGGATCATACTTCGGAGCACATGAGTTCAAAATATAAATATGCCTCGATTCCTAGGTGAGATCTACCAAGATACACTCTCTCGATAATCAAAGTATTTGCAACCAAAGGTAAATTTCCATCGCTCCTTGCCGTGTTAAACCTCCTGAGAGGCGTCTTTCCATGAACCCAGGTTCCGATCCATATTCTTGATTCCGATCAAACCATTTGTCTAAAATGAATTCATTTAATGGTGCATTTCACTGATTTTTGGTCTCAGAAACTCGGCGAAGAAAAGCGACTTCTATATCCTACCCTTTCAAGAAGACGGAATCACTAGATGTGAGTCAAAATTGAAGCCTTTCGTCTATTCTGTAAGGAAAAAATTAATGTGTTCTTCAAGTGACATCATGTCTCGCCCCCTTTTACAGAGGATGCAGCGATTTGTTGAGTTCATTAATTCGGGCGATGAAACCATAGGACAAGAGGTAGTTTCCGAATCAGCCGTGTTCCACGTTCCGTTTTCGGATACCCCACTAAAAGGATTGCCTGGATATATGCAAATTCTTGGCATGATGCGCTCCGCTTATCCAGATATTCAGTGGACACTTGACGACACAGTGATCGAGGACGATAGAGTTGTAGCGCAGTTCACTTTGCGCGGAACTCATGAAGGTGAATTCTTCGGTGTTCCGGCTTCCGGGAAGAAAATCGAGGCACGAGCTATGAACATCTATCGATTCACAGATGGAATGATTGTGGAGGAGACTGGCTTGCCTGATATTTTTGGGATAATGCTGCAAATTGGGGCTATCAACCCTTCGGTTGCTCATTAGAGTTCCCAGGCAGCTTTGAGAATCTCACTCTGAGATTCAACATTCATCGTGGATCTTGTACAATAAATAATGGGTACCTCATAGTAGGGTGAGAATATATGACGGAAGGCGATATATGACCAACATAAATCAAACCCTATTTCAGGCCCATCAGACGGAGTAGTACAAAGGGTAGATCCTTGGCGAAGAGGCGATAATGTACCTGGGACCCAATACACATAGCGAATTATGTTTAATGCTTCAGACATCTCAAAACACAAGGTCAAATACTCTGGAAGCCCGTCTCAGCTTGAATTAGATATCAGCTGTAGACAGACGCCGGTGATCAATGGAGTGATCGTGTCAGAAGTAGATATTTAGTTATCGAAATATCCAATAGTCAGGCCAGCGTGGCGAAAAGGCCCCCTAGCACTTTCTTCTTTTGCTCCGACCTGATTAATACACCATTCAAGACAGGAGCCAAAGCCTCGGTCGGGGTCTTCTGCATAGTAACTTCAATTACGTCTTATGACGCCTTTGAGCTCTGCAAAAGATCCTTCAATTGGGTTCAGCGAGTACGCAGGCAAATAAACCAATTTGACTCCCGCATCGGCACACATCTGCGAAATCCATTCGGAGTGGTGAAACGATGCATTGTCCATGATAAGAACAAACTTCGGCTCCGGCCATCTTCCACAATGACGAAGAAGCTCATTAATAAAATCTTCGAACATAGCTTGATCTGTCGAACCACAAAAGACACGAGTAAGCAAAATGCCATCTTGGGCATATGCAGGCAGAATTTAATAACGCTCGTCACGATAAAACTATGACACTTGTCGAGGTACTACACCAAAGTGGTAACTAGCCTATCCGTCGGAAACTAACCCGTTTATCACATCCAGACTTATCGACATAAACAAGATGGTATTATTCGAATTCCGACAGATTGTGGAGATAAATTTCGCGTAATTCAGCACTCTGTCTTGTGGTGTTTTTGGGCCAGTCTTGGGATATAAGGGCTCTCCTAATACTAGATGTGGTTACTAGCGACTGAAATTCATCGCATAGAAAGGTAGCCATTTCCTCTAGATACAGGCTTGGCTTTTCTAGCAGGTGGTCACAGAGTGCCTCTATCATCGGTGGTGTTATACTTCGTCTCCAACCGATACGAGTCGGGGGAGCATAAACGTGTCCAAACTGTCGCAAGTTTCTGCGTTCTTCTTTCCTCTTTGGGTTGTTGTCTCAAGCGAGTAGATTGTCTGTTTGTGGTTTGCACAAATCCTGCCATTCCACCAATGCTTTCCTTTCCTCTCTTTCTCCCCTCTGTACTTAGTATTTTCGTTGAATACACTCTTTTTTCATTAAAGAACTAGCTCGTAAGATAATACTAAGTACCATCCTTATTTCTAGAAGCTGTACGACTGTATAGATCATCATTGCGATTGATATTAGTCCCGCTTCGTCCCCACTTCCCGTTCCGTGGCGTCGTATAGCCAAGACCTGAACCGATCCCGAACCGAAATCCGAACCAATCAAAATGGTTCCACCGAAGAAGACCCCTACCAATCGCAGTAAGCACCCCGTCGTTAAGGTGCATGGTGAGCATGAAGATGATGCTCTCGACCCGAATATCCCGACTCCTGATCCCCCGAGACCAGTTAAAACTAATGATGACTACGATGAGGACGGAGAAGGACCCTCTATGCGTGACCGGTTACAGAAGACTCCGACTCGTGAACGTTTCCACGAACTTACTAACGAATATAATGTGAAGGGCTACATTGAATTGATTCAATTGAATGGTGCCTGAATGCTGTTTATCTAAAGCTTGAGGAAATGTAAATACAGGGGCAGTGATGTTGTATCCGCTTGAGGCGGTGAGCCAACGCTGCACGGGCAGAGCCCGGGCTCTAGTAGGGGCAGTGGCCCGATGCCTCCAGCGACCCTCCCGACCCTAAGGGTCGGTTGAGGTGCAAAGCCAGGTCTGCTGAGCTCTCACTGAGCACGCCGCCAATTAGTCATCCTGCACGTGACCGAACCAGAGCATGCTCGCTGAGTCTGAGCCCGTGCTGACATCTACTCACTGACCCTGAGCCTGAGCGCCCTCATAAAGCGGCGGCAGCCCAGATAGGAAAGGCCCCACCTGGCAGACATTATCCTGTCTATATAGGCGCATACTCGTTCTAAGACTTTTAGTCTCAAAAATCAAGATTTGCTAATCGGGGTACAAATTGTATATCTCGTACCATGCTTATAGCTCAATTAGGTTATGTCAAAAGGGAAGGATGATCATCACCGATAACAAATATTAAATCAAAAATTTACAGTCTCCCCTTAAGCACAGCTCCACCATCTGTCGCAATGACCGCTCCATTCAAATGACTCGAAGCTCTAGACCCGAGGAAGACAACCAAACCAGCAATATCCTCAGGTTTGCCAAGCCGACCATTCGGTGAGTACGCCTCAAGATCTTTCATACCACCTTTCGCCTCAATAAGCCCAGAAGCCATCTTCGAGGGATAGAACCCTGGTGCAATAGCATTGGTCAAGACATGACGTGGTCCAAGCTCGACAGCCAAGTTCTTCGCCAGGTGGATAGCAGCCGCCTTGGAAGCGGAGTAGGACGGTGTTGCATTATCGCCGACTGTGCCTATCCCAATACCTGCCACAGAGGCAGTGATAATCACGCGGGATGGATCTGCGATGGTTGCCTTTGCTGTGAGGAGAGGGGTGAATCTAGCTCGATGTCAGAATCGTGTCTCATCCCTTGTTTCGCCAAGCTAGTAACTTACTTCTGGATTGTGTAGAACACGCTCTTTACATTCAAATCCATAACCTTCGAGAACATCTTCTCTGGGTGGGTATCGAACTTCTCACCCCATGTTGCGCCGGCATTCGCGAAGAGGATATCAACACGGTCGGTTGTTTTACCCACTTCAGCGACAAGTCGGTCTAGCTCTTTCATATCTGAGCTGTCGGCCGGCACAGAGATTGCTTGTGCGCCAGGCCGTTTGTTGGGGATGGCATTGAGAGCTGCGACTGCTTCATCGCAGGCTGCCTTCTTGCGGGAGGTGATGTAGACTTTGGAGCAGCCGGCTTGGAGAAGACTGCAGAGGCATGAGAACTTGTACTGGGAATTACTTGACATAGTGCGAGAGATACATACCCTGAGGCAGCATGTAGTCCTAATCCCCGGGAACCACCTGTTACGACGGCAACCTTCCCCTCAAGAGAGAAGATGCTGGAGAAGTTGGAGAGTTTGACTTGTTCGTCGACGGACATTATGGATTTGATTGGGACTCAATTATGTTAAAAGAGTGAGTTGAGGAGAAAGATGTTAGGCTCCCCTAGCTATTTGTATTGGTGTAAGCCGAAATGGCCGAGGCTCATTGACTCTCCCCGCTTGCCCAGGCCCACAGTGAAAGGGGTTATGGCAGTATACTTTGTATGAATATTTTGTACATCTGAATACCCCGATATCACTAATTCGCTCTATTGATTCAAAATCTAAGTCTAATTCTCTGTGCATGATTTCTCTATGCCTGAAGGCCAAGCCACCAAGCCACCCCCAAAACACATAGTAAATGCGGTATTCTACAACCTTATATGGTAGTAACAACATCATTTGGTTTCATCGCCCGATAGCTATTGATAGGGCTTCTAACTACTACCTAGGTAGATAGTTATGTATATATCAATTTTAAGAAAATTGAAAACCTGTATAATGAAAATTACGTCGCTCAAAGGTAGAATTATATGTCAAATACCGGAGCCATATACCCCGGTCGGTTACAGTACTAAAAACCCCCGGATCGGATACAAGGTAATTTTACGTTGGATCTCCACAAACGTCGGTTCCATACAACTGATCAAAGTGCATTATTGACTAGTGATTTTGTCTATTTATACTCGCGCGTTTATGCTGTTTTATTGTTAGTCAGAGAGTTCCAATATACTCAGTTCATACCATACATTTTCATACAGTCAGGTTTCTGTCATCTTGTCTTGTGGTAGCCCTCAATTATTGCTAGCTATGGGTAAAGTGATAGTACCTTAGAAGTCATGGATCCTAGATGGTGCGCCTAGTTTCCCCTAGGTGGTTGACTACCTATTGCCCTAGCGATTTAATGTATTAATCTGCGGCTCCAAAAACGTTAACTGGAACGCACAGGAAGTCCCGATCTGGGACTACTAGTCACACCACTTCACTTTATGAAAGGTGATTCTGGTAATAAGGATATAGGCGATTCAAGACGAGACGTATAGGAAAGGCACAGAGATCCGAGGTGATATAAAAATTGATCAAAGCCCAGAGATGGGGCTCTGTTCTGTAAGAGCGAGAAAAATGATAACACCTGACGAACAGGCAATAGCCAATTTTGTTACAAACATAGCAAACTGAGAGGGTCTAATTGGTCGATACTCCGTAGGCAGCCAAAGGAGGTTGGCTTCGTTATAGGTTATCCAGGAATGATCATCATTCAAACCATACCCGTATTGTTCTGGGAAGTGAGAAGTGGACGTGACAGTAGATGTGAGTCCTATATCAAATGTACCAAATGATGTGTAGAGATGATTCAAATTGACTTTATCAAGATCATCTATTGTGTGCGCCCCCGTAATTAGCGCACTTTCGTTCACTGGGTGTTGCATTCCTCTTGCGTTGGCAGTCCCAAGAGTGATGCTTATCAGCGTAAAAGACGCACCTAGTTTCGTTAGAACAGGTGTTTCCTATATGACCATATTTCTGACAGTTATGGCATTGGCGTATACGCGCAGCACGGTCATATAAGACCGTGGTAAGCACTTCTGAATCCCAGAGAGTCCCAGTGTCGATTGCTTTGTTTGTAGTATGCGGTGAGGTAAATTTGACGATTAGGGACCCGGATTTCTTGCCTTCTGGGAGGACGAGCCATGATATCTAGGTGATTTCTGTATTGTCCCCCCAGTTAAACAGGTTCTCAGTAAGCAATTGCTTTGTAATACTCTGCTTCCGGCCCTACTCTCCGAGTCCAGCCGCTGAATTGATACCGAGAGACCGTACATTAACGTCGTGCATAACCACCCCCCAGCTCGGTAACCGCACTTCCGATCCCTTCCACAAATGCTTTACCCACGTAGTTCGATGGCATCTCATTATCTCCGCTTCCTTCGCAGTGCGAAGGCTGAGCGAGATATCCCCCGATTTCAGTTATCTGGCTGCAATAAATTTGGCCGACGCCACCGTCACCCCATACGTGGCTTTTGCTGCTCTCACACATGCTTTCTCCGCCAGCTTTGTGATCTCGGCAGGGATATATATACGCAATCGCTTGATACCGTCGGAATCACCCAGGTTGACGATGATCTGGCGATCCTGGATAAGATCAGATGGCGTTGCGGGGTTGGTTGACGCTAATCCATGGCTTGACAAAGAGTGCGTCGGCGGCGGCGCATTTTTGACGGCGTTCACGTATGATCTAACCCGGGTACTCGGTCCGGCAAACGCCGAGTGCACAACCCATTCATATCCACATACTAATATATCCATATCCACCAGCTACACCTAATCAGGGCTGTAATACGAACCCTTTCCTTCATTTCAAAAAAGTATATAATTAAAGCACCCATTGCGGCGGTTTACGCTCGTGATTGGACAGTCCCCGCATGTCTAAATTGGGCTTGCTCTGGTTATGATTTATAGATTAGTACTAATTTAGATTTAGTAACAGATTCTTCCTCTAAAGTCCGGGCCGGGCTGAATTCCCCCGAGAGGCGATAATACTTAGCACCTTGGTGATAAGCAATCTTTCTAAAGTCCACTCCGAGGCCTGCGATCAGGGCAAGGAGAGGCTTCGGGTCGAGAGGAAAGTATCTAAAAGTCACTTCACTTCCTCTGTTTGCTCCCAACACTTAGTTTCCAGTGGTGAGATAACTTTCTTCTCTTATTAAGCGATTTTCTAGAGTACGCTAAAGTTGATGGTAGACATTCTATATCATCTCTCTCGGGTTATAAGCGCTGTGACATTGAACCATGTACTTGATTTCCTCTGACATAACTTAGCTTTCCATTTCCGTTTTATTCCTTAAACCTCGCCGGTTTTTTCTCACCGCGTTAATTTGAGCATGCTCCTGGGCGCCCTGGTCTGCTCACTCGATACCCATGTTCTGATCGCCACCTAACTAAATAAAGTATCACGGAATAGACATCGAGATTTAATTCCCTAGCCAGAAGAAATCCAGAACACCAATCTAACTTCTACCGGAGAGGGGTTTCAATCCAAGTAAGATATTTTCGTGTGCAAACCATCACAGATGGCCGCAGCCGTTATTTGCGCCTCTGGGATATTGTGGCTCATATTATCATTAACCACAGCCTTCAAGCCTTTGCTATTTCCCTAGCAGGTATAAGCGATGAGACTTGGGTCAATAATATCGGATTTATTTAATGGGTACGGTTCTCGGGCGGCTCGATGATATCACACAAGACAAAACAAAATAATTCGGGTTCATATTGCCACTAGCAAAGCTGCAAATGATTATAGAGTATTTTTGACACGCTCCATCCCATTTTGCTCAATTTTCTCAACAGTTGATTGCTTAATCCTGACACTGACGCTTCCATACGTGATACCCCGTAACCCTAAGGCGGCCTCGGCACCTCCGCAGTAGATGGTGGCTCATTTGCACTATATTCTCTTAGCCATCCGCTATCATGTTTGGCCATATCTGTTTCTAGAAAAATCGTAGTAGCAGACTTACCAGTCCTGTGATAGAGCTTGGGTTCTCTCCAATACAGGTTCCTTGTCCTGAACAGCACCGAAATGTGCCCCCGAAATTGCAGAATTGTCCCTTCAAAGAGCACCCAGCTCTCGCTTCCAGATCTGGGCCGGCTTCGGCCATTGCGTAGGCAGCAATTGCAAGCAGGACAATGAAAAACTTCATGTTTGAGGAGGTAATTTGTGAATTTTGATTTGATATGTCGGAATTGGAGAGGTAATGTAGAAGGCAAACTCAAGTGTACTGTTAAGTGATTGTTCTATTACTCTGCTGGGCGTCGAGGTTTATATAGGGCCGATTATATGTTGATTATTTCTTTTAAATAGTTTGCAGGTCTTAAATGGTTGGGTGCCTAATAAAACTATGCCTTAGTGGTTCGCAATATAAGAACACATTCCGGGAATTGGATCAATCAAACTGCAGGTCTTCACCTAAACAGTAGAATAACTGGGTTAACCGGCCTTGACATTTTTAGAATGTGAGGGGTTATTCGTGAAAATTATTCCTGCATGATGGATATCATGTACGGAGGAGTTCAATCTCTAAGTATACATATCCTCTTCATTATTTACTCTTATAATTTTAGGACTATTACTACTTAATTGACCAATGTGCTTGATTTCATATCTTAGAATTCCTATTCCATATTAGTGCTCAGGTTTTGCCACTTTTGGCTGAGTATAACCGATAATATGCAGCGGTATAAACACCAGTTGCCAAAAGCCCCAATTTTAGTTAGTTAGTATATCATATGCGAGCTGACCATGTAAGCTGGCCACATCACCTAAAAGTGCCAATTAATTAACCCTTACTTCTTCTACCATCCACTATGCCACCAATTCGCTCCCGATCCTCTAGAAATTCAGCAGAGTAAGAGGGTAGGATTCTATTGGCTATTTAGGCTATAGAATAAAGAAATATCTTCAATTCGTGTTATAAATTTCGTGAAACGATACCCTTTAATATCGCGATACCCTTTAATATCGCGATACCCTTTAATATCGAGTCGATTCTCGAAAAGATATAATCATAAATATACGAAATATGAAGACCCAGAAACTATTTAAGAATGGTTCGATCTTATTTAAAAAAGCAATCCTTTAATTTGGAACCCATGTGTGATCCACTCGCATGTGAACTACGTTAGTTATTTTAATTCTTCTGTCGGTCTTAATTCAGGCCTCCAGGCCAAAGTCAGGCATTAAGGTATCAATATTTTCTAGAAATGGGGGTTTTGGCAGCTGGCGCCTATACCGCTGCGTAACTACCGATATATCACTGCCAAGAAGTATCTATACGTCATAATCTCATGAGATCTCGAACGAAGGAAGCAATACCAATGAGATCGGGAATAATTAGGTAGAGTATGCTTCCTGAGTGTGGTTAGTCGTGTTTGTTCACACCCCCACAATATATTATACCGCTTTCATATTTCAGCTTCTGCTAAATCCTTAGATTATATCTAGATGACATTACCGTGTTAGCTCGAATGCGATCCACATCCACTTGGGAAAGGGAACTACTCTATACAGAGCCTTCAAATTATCAAGATCTACGGTTCTGCAGGATAGTTAATCATCCCATTAGATCTAGTTATGAGATGATGTAACGTATTCCGAGCTGCGCACCCCAGAACACATAGTAAAAGCGATACATTATAACATGACATTTCAATAACTAACCATTTTATTTAATTTCACTATTCTCCGATAGTAATTGATAGGCATTTTTATTATGATGTATTAATTTTGAATAGATTCAGAACTTGCATCATTATGGTATCGAAAAATATATCGCTAAACTCCAGAAACATGAATATCTCAGTCACAAATTTATTAAATCCCCCTAAGCTCTGATAAATGGCTAGATATTATATAAAAAGCATTAAGCTTCAAGGAAAACCCCATAGAAATAACCGTTATTGAAATATTATGCTGTAATCAATCGCTTTTACTATGTGTTCTGGGGTGCGCAGCTCGGTGGTGAAATACCACGCGCTATACCCCGAGGCTATCACCACGTTATACATTCTACAGACTTTGATTCAGCTGGAGGGGATCCATTTTCGGCGTCATTTCGGTCGCCAGTGGAAACGAGGGGAACAACTGTGCAAGTCGAGCGTCAACATCAGAACTGGAGGATGACTAAAAGTGCTGGGTGGGTGCAGAATAGTGTGTTACAGGGTAGTGGGCAGTCAAGGGGCGACTGGACGTCCAAAATTACGGGTGGAAGGCAGCCGTTTCTGGCCTCAAAAGCGGTCATTTTCGGCGTCAATCCCACAGGTCCTCATATTCTAGTTGTAATCATAACACGAGAGATATTATCTAAAGTTCCCAGAGAAGCTATCATCTTAAAAGCACTAAGCTATTAGGAAAACTCCATATTATCGTTGTTGAGAGATTAAGTTATAGTTTATCGCATTTATTATGTATGTGTGTTGGGGTGAAATCCGTTATAGCGGCTTATGGATCGACCAGATTTGTGGGTCTGTAGCCGGCTCCCGATAAAATGGCCTAAAGCCTGGCGTAATCTAGTATTTAGCGACTGTCTCTCGGATAGCACCAGAGAGTGGAAAGGGTACTGCGAGTTCATGTGGGTCGAAGATGAGGTTTTCGACAACCCATACCTCTAGTCCTGTGGCTTTTTCCTTGAGAGATTCAGTCGGAATTTGGATCTAACCTCCGAATCGCTATAGCGGTCAGAGCCCACGGGTACCGGGGGTGACCAGTAATCTCCAAACAATCCATGCTACTACTATAACGTTATGATCTGATATTTGATTATCTGACTGGCGTTGATTCTCCGTCGTTTACTAGATCAAAGACAGTAGAGATTTTGTGTAGGTTCAGATTCAAAATGGCCAATCCTTTTAAGTTCGGGTTTCATGGTTATAAACTGCTGAGCATTCTTGAGTGCATACTTGTATTCAGTGAAATATAATTAATTTTATTCAAAGCGTGAGAATATAGAGAGCGTCAATTTTCCCCGGCTCGTTTCCCCGTCTTTCTCTCCGATAGTAAGATCATTGTATTAATATCATCTAGAGAGAGATTGGACTGCTCTATATAATTTCGAGAAAGGTCTAAAGAGGCAATGAATATGTCACATACAATGTATACCATACAACATTAGAGGTAAAGGAAAGAGAGCAGATTAGAGCAACTTTCACCAAAAATGTGCTCAATCCAACTCCACCTGTGGATATCTACCTTGGTGGCTCTAAGATCCGTGCTATAACGTCACTTAAGAGGGGCATCCAGCTGAGGGACCTTGGTGGTATATCTCTTGTCTACACTCCCGCTCTTCCTCTCACTATTCTCTACACGTTTACATCTACAATTCCACCATGTCTTCTCAAACTCACACTCTGCCTCCTCTCCCCTACGCATACGATGTAAGTCTTATCCGGTCATGAATCTTGAGAGTCTCCTTCCATGAAGCTAACAATGAACAGGCATTGGAGCCTATTATCTCTAAGCAGATAATGGAGCTGCACCATCAAAAGCACCACCAGACATACATCAACAATCTGAACGCGGCACTCTCCGCTCAAGCATCCGCAACTGCATCAAATGACGTCCCCACCTTGATTGCACTGCAGCAGAAGCTCCGCTTCAACGGTGGCGGCCATATTAACCACTCTTTGTTCTGGAAGAACCTGACTCCCCCCTGGCACACTTGGAAATGACATCGGCGGCGCACCCACTCTGCGCGACGCAATCATCTCCCGCTGGGGTTCGTATGAAGACTTCGTCAAGGCTTTTAACGCTGAGCTGCTCGGCCTTCAGGGTAGTGGCTGGGGATGGTTAGTGAGTAAGGGTGGTGCCAAGGGGCGACTTGAGATTGTTACGACTAAGGATCAGGATCCTGTCAATGGACCTGATGTGCCGGTCTTTGGTGTTGATATGTGGGAACATGCCTACTATCTCCAGGTGGGTTGAGTCTTATACTTATGTCCCTTTTTTTGTGTATTTGTCTGCTAATCTGCGTTGGGTATAGTACCTGAACAACAAGGTTGGCTATATCGAGGGAATTTGGAAGATTATCCACTGGGCAGAAGCGGAGAAGCGCTACACTGCTGGCGTAGAGAACCCGCTGAAGCTGTGAGGTCGGTGATGAGCTAAAGATTCCAGTCTCATATGACCCTGTACGCTACTAGGAGTCCTAGTATTTCCAACTCAAACGAAATGATTCATGTCTCCAATTATGTCTATGATGTATGTTTGTAGATAGTAAAATCTCGTCGCGCTAATTGTAACCCACCACTCCAATCCCCATAATCGAACCTCCTTGCTCTCTAACCGTCACCTGTCGGCCAATGACACCCTTCTCCGAGACGCCTAGGTCTAGCCTTTCGGGCAGCTCAAACTCGATCTCTCTCGAATTCGCCGTTTTGGAGCTCTTGTCCTGTTCCATATTCAGGTGGAATTGATGAAGCGGGGAGGTAGGTTGTGATGTAGTAGAGAGATCGCCATATTTCCTGACATGAACTGTAAGCCATTTGTTCATCCAAACAACTCGTAGGATTAAATCCACTCACTCGATGCGCATATCGACATTTTGACATCCCCTAAGTGCGTGGTATGTATCTGCATCTTCAGTTCGGAAGACTGCTCTCGTTTTACAGGTTGTTGCATCCGTTTCACGGAAGAAAAGAGAGTATGATGACATTGAGGCCGTCGACGATGACGATACAAATGAGGATACTGATTCTGGTGACGAGGAAAGTGATGCATCTGAAGCCCTCGAGCTTGGACGAGTCTCTCGAGGGAATATGACGGCAATGGTGCCTCCAAATGTTGGGCGGTTGGTGTCTCCACACATGGTGATCTATAAAAAGTGAAGATGTTGAAATGAGATGAGATGGAAGAGGGTTGATATACAAGTAACTATATTGACTGTAGGTAACAAAGACAAATACGAAAAGACAAGGCAGACCGTCTAAATAGGATTCCCAATAAACCCCCAAGGTGCTCAAGGTGAGAGTGATCGAGCACGAGTGAGCACATTAAGTGGATTTCCTCAAATCTGCTCATGTGGGGCCCCTTTGATGCCTTGCGGCCTTACGGCCTTACTGCCTCAGGGATCAAAAACTGCCCAAGGCACTTTTGTGATCTGTCACTATTTATAAATAGGCCCTAGTATATACTTCGTTTCACTATCAGCGCTTATCCCAGTGTCCAATGCGATCAAAATGGTGAGATGAGAGTCTGGGTAGGGCCGTATTGGGCAACCGTACCCCTCCTCTCCACTACAACATACACAACCCACCATCAACAAAATGGACCAGCCATCTCCTGCCGAGGACTACTATAACCTAGGTGACTACCGTCGCAATGTGACCACAACGAACGAAGATGCCCAACTTTGGTTTAGTCGAGGCTTGATCTGGGCCTACGCCTTCAATCACGAAGAATCTGCCCGATGCTTCGAAAAGGTCGTCGAATTCGACCCCACATGCGCCATGGGATACTGGGGCATTGCCCTCGCCCTGGGTCCCAACTATAACAAGCCATGGCAGATATTTGATGGAGAAGATCTCTCCGCCACCACGACTCGCGCCCATCGCGCGATTCTACAGGCGAAGAAACACGCTCCCGCCGTGACACTTTTGGAAAATGCTCTTATCGATGCACTGCAGCACCGATACCCCCAAGAACAGCCCGTAGAAGACTGCACAGAATGGGATAAGAAATACGCCGACGCAATGACATTAGTGTACAATGACCACCCGGATGACCTCGACGTGACCGCGCTGTACTGCGATGCGCTGATGAACTTGACTCCATGGGGTTTGTGGGACATAAAGACGGGCGAGGCTGCACCAGGGGCAAAAACATTCGAAACAAAAAAAGCGCTAGATAGAGTCTTGGAACGAGACGAAGCCCTCGATCATCCCGGCATCTTACATCTTTACATCCATCTGATGGAAATGTCCCCGACACCTGAAATTGCCCTGCCGATAGCGGAGTACCTGCGCGGCCTTGTGCCTGATGCTGGCCATTTGGAGCACATGCCCTCCCATATCGATGTCTTGTGTGGTGAGTACAAACGCGCGGTCGCGGCGAATACATCTGCAATCCGCGCAGACGATAAGTTCCTCGGCAACCAGCCCCTGGGCCACTTCTATAATTTGTACCGTGCACATGATTACCACTTCCGCATGTATGCTGCTATGCTGGGCGGCCGATCGAAGGTCGCACTTGAGTCTGGGGCCGAGCTCACGCGGATAATCACCGAGCCTCTTCTGCGCATCGAGTCTCCGCCGATGGCAGATTGGCTGGAAGGTTTTGTCGCTATGCAAATGCATGGATTTGTGCGCTTCGGTCGCTGGGAGGAAATCATTGCCACAGAGCTGCCGGAAGATGCAGAGCTGTACTGCGTCACCACTGCAATGATGCACTATGCAAAGGGCGTCGCGTTTGCTGCTACCAGCTGTGTGCCGGAAGCAGAAGAACAGCGAGAGCATTTCCTACGAACAATGAAGCTCGTCCCTGCTTCGCGCACGATCTTCAATAACCGTTGTGTTGACATTCTTGCCGTTGGTGAGGCGATGCTCGATGGCGAGATTGCGTATCGCCGTGGCGAATACAATGCTGCGTTTTCGTATCTCCGGGACGCCGTGCAAAGGGATGATGCATTGCCGTATGATGAGCCTTGGGGCTGGATGCAGCCGGCTAGACACGCACTGGGGGCATTATTGCTGGAACAGGGTCGCGTTGAGGAGGCTGCGGCCGTATATTCTGCGGACCTTGGAGTTGACACATCTCTGCCTCGTGCTTTGAGGCATCCGGGCAATGTATGGGCTTCGCATGGGTATCATGAGTGTTTGGTCAAGATGGGCCGAAAATACGAGGCACGTGCCATGTTGCCGCAACTGAAGATTAATTTAGCCTGGGCGGATGTGCCTATTAAATCGTCGTGTTTCTGTCGGCAGATAACTGAGTGATATCTCTTTCCTATTTGGAGTTATATCTTTGTCTTTTTGAATATTGGTTGAGATGCATTTGTTTGAGGTAGCCGGAATCCACTGTGATTCGTGAGATTGGCGATATCACTGCCGTCTACATCAAACATCTAAATAATTGGCTAGTATGAGGCGCCTGGGTCAGAAACGTGACATCGCAGTTAGAATTGCTGGCTGCCATGGATGCTTCTATTGAGCCATATTGTACCTGTGCAAAATGTGCGGACATTGGAGGATGATGCTTAGAGGTCATTATGGGGTGCCAACTCATAGTCGGCCATACTATAGAGCTCGTATCAGAGTATTCAAATCCGCAGGTTGTCCCTTGTCGACCGGCTTGGACACCGTTGTCAACTGATGTCTCACACTGTTTACGATATTAAATATTATATGGAGCCTTAAAAGTGTTCAAATAACCATGAAAAATTATTGGGAGCTATTTCATAACGTCCTTGCCATCAGACATCCTACCTGGAGGTTCTGTGAAACCGCCAGTAGGGACTAGCTGTGATTAGCTCTACGCTGGACCAGTCTGGCCCTTCGCTTCATGGAGCTTGACATTGTGAATCAAATTTGCTTAATATCAAACCTCATCTGTAGGTTTCCGACAATCGTCCATGTGTAAATGGCGTCGATGCGATGCGTGCCTCTTGCCCAGGCCCCTAACACCAGACGAGCCACCCCCCTTCCTAGCTTTGTACCCAAGAGCTCCTGATACTCTCTAGTACCGTATGTCCAGCACTGTGGCTCGTGGTCATTAAACCAATCCAAATCATGACGAGGGTATAGATGGGTTTCCACGTAGGGCCAGGTGTACAGGTTCTGAACGTTGAGAAAATAAACATACTGGAGCGTATCGATGTGGTTATTGAGCTGGTACTGCGCCAGAGCCACTTGAGCCCAGTATGGCCCAAATCGTCTTGTAATGTTCTCAACGAAGATAGCACCGGGCCCGGTGCGGTGCTGATAAACAGTCCAACCCTCATGGTCATAATTCCAGTGTCCATATCGCCTCAGGTAAACATAACGCCAATCATTCCCCGTCGAGAGCCCGATTGACTCGATCCTGCCCGCTTCCTCCGGTGCTGATCTATTATCGTCTAGATACACTTCGAAGTTGTGATCCTGGAGCGGGTGGTTGATTAAATCTTCCCAGGTGACTCTCGATCGTCGGATTGGACATATTGTTGCGCTTCGACCGGCTATCCACGCTTGGTATTGAGCTCCGATGGCTCGGTAATTGGTGATAGTATCATCCGAAACATATTGGTCCCAGGAGATGTCCGAAGAGGGGAACGGTGGAGGTTGAGAAGAACTCCCATCAGTACGTCGTCTGAATTCTATCGACATGGCGTCCGAGAGTTGCCATCTTCGCGTTCGAGATACACGGGGTGGAGGTGACGCCTGTTGAGATGTTTTGCTATCGGCGCTGCGCCATCGAGTGGATTGGTGAGAATGTGTTTCATCTCTGGTGCTGTGTGTTCGCCTACCACGAGATACTGGGGATGATTGGTAGCCTCCTGGAGCTTCGCCGGGTCCGTCGAGAGAGTAGTGGCGCAGGTCAAAGCTATGGATGCTAGTGTTGGTAACATGTCTCTGACATCTCAGGTGTGAAATCAAGGATTGTTGTGGAGCTATCGGGTTAGCTGTGGTGTTGACATTGTCACTTTCCGATCTGCCTTACCTTGTCTGATCCCGTCTTGGCCAGTCTCGTGTTGGCTGGACTCACCATCACGATGGGAGCGATGCGGGCCTATACGCACTGACAAAAGATGTTGCCGTATCATCTTTAAATCAATTGGAAGGAATTGTCACTTGGGTTGTGCCTTATGATTTGTTGGTGCAAGAGTGTAAGTTTGAAGTGAGCCCTCGACAAGTGATTGACAAAACTGGCGTGGATGCCCTCTATGACATTTTACTTGTTATAAAGAGAACCTCAGACATTGCCTACCTACTGGCTGCCACGCACTTTAAACTAGCAAATGTTCCTCGTGAGTATTTTGAAACTCGCTATATGTCGCCTGAGCGTGGAAATCCCTAGATATCATAGCCTATGAGAGCAATAGGAGTTTTGAATATTCTATAACTTCCTACTCCTCAAACAGCCGTCAATATTCAATCAGGAGCAGACTTCATCCTATCCTTCTTTTGGGCCTGACAAATAAAGGCCACGACAAACTGAATCAAACGAATATATGCAGTAATTTGCAATGTTCTGTATCTCAATTTTACATAGTGTATCTTTCACCTCGAGGTTCGAGGGTTTGAATAACTTCAACAAAGTCGTAGACTTCAAGTTGAGCTAATTTAACGCTCAAAGTTTAATGAAGAATCATTGCGCTACTTGATTCCTTCCTCGATGAGTTCGTTGGTTAGAAAAATGCGACTAAACACTCAGACAAATAGAAGATTGGAGCGAAAGGAAATGGGTAAGACTTTCGCTTTAGCCACTAGTAGGAACTATCAAACGTAAAAACAAACGTATTTATAGAAATAATTCACCTCAAGGCTCGATATGCCACTCCCTTCCTACCCGAGAACGCCAAGCGATGCCAAGACAAACACTTTTGACAGTGAATTACTGGCTGAATGGGTAGAAAAGAGGCTCAGTTTGGCGCCAGAGTGTGGATTGGACCTTGTTTAATTGGCCTGTTCATCGAGTCTACTGGTCCGAACGGAATTTGTGGGGTCGTCTTGTATAGGCCCTTGGCGTTGCCACCGCATCCTGAGGGCTGTGTTAGCATATAAAAGGCAATGATTAGCATGACATATGAACGGTTTTTTTCTAGTTGCATACAAGATATATAAGCGAATCATGGGGATTTCCGCATCGTCTCTTTTTTTTTATCTCGCTATAATCGCCATACCATTTGATATAGTATACCACTCATAACCATGTCTACAGCCTTGAACCATCAACCTTCCCCTTCTTTCTGTATCGAAGCAATACCGAGAAAAGAGAGAAAATGGCTCTCGCTTCTGTCTCTGCGGTTTGGCGCGGTACTATCTACCATGATAGCGATAATCTGCTTTGCCTGGGCCATGGTTCAGCATCGTGAAGGAGTCGTTTCAAGCGATGGACTAGGAGAAGCATGGTCTAGCATGAACCTGGGAACAGTGAGTCTAATAATCCTCATTATGATGTTACTCTCAGGTGTCACAAGGAACGAGTGCTGATGATATTCCTGTCTTGATCAGGCCTCATACGGATTCGTTTGGTCCACTCTCTTCCTCCTCGTCGTCTTTTGCAACTGCGTAGTCCACCCTGGTGTAATAGTCACATTCGACTGCATTGCTTGCATTGCTCAGTTTGTCACAGTCTGCTTTGATTTGCACGAGCTTGCCTATTGGAACCTTGGTGGTTATGGTTACTCCAGTACCCATGATGTCGGCCCGTTGTATGGGGCCGAGTGTTTGGGGTGTTCTATGATGCTTCTTGGAATGTGAGTTTGATATTCCTCCTTTTCTTTAGGCTTTTGTACCTGACAAATGATAATCATTCAGCCTCTTCAACCTCATCCTTTGTGTGCGTGCCTCCATAGCCTGCCATGAGCTGCGGAAGGCTGGAAAGCAGCTAGATTCCAAACCCCCTTTGGACGCATGATGGCCACTGGTGGTTGTTGCTATATGTGCTATGATTTGAAGCAGCTGTACGCCCTATTGACGGTCTGCTACCTGGTGAAGTTTAATGTTTAATGTTCAATTCGTGCTTGAACAATCTTCCTTTCTTTAATGTCTAATACTACTATATATGAACGTTTCACTTTCGGGTTTAGCTTTACTCCATGGTCAAGAAACCTCAATTATTGCTATCAAGTACAGTATGGTCACCAGAACATCTTCATTTCAGGCTCCCCAATCTCGACTATCACGTCAGCAACTTGATATTGGCGGTTGTAGCAGTCAGACTTGTCCGCGCAAGAGACTCCTCATTTGCATCAATAGCTTCAGCAACAAATCTAGCAGAGGAAAACAGCTTAAAAGTTGGCTTCCAAGTAAACACCGTCTCAAACGAATCCCTATCCACTTGACCAACCAGCGTCTTCTTCTGTCCGTTGACATAATAGAATCTCCAAGCCGAAGTCTCCGTGTCCCCATTCCAAGACACATAAAGGTCAACAAGACCAGAGTCTGTTTCCAGCGCAACCAGCGCTGGACTTTCCTTCGGCGTGCCAGTCCAGTGCGCCAAAAAGCCACGGTAGCTGACTGATCCCGTCTGGATAAAAGCATGGTATAGAATCTCATTATCAGCACCAAATTCCGTGAAAGCACCCTCCGATCCCCAGTTAACGAAGATTCGGTCGTTAGAAAGAAGCTGCGCATTTCCCTGAGACTGGGCCTGGAGATCATACGGTGCCGTTGCTTCGCGGATAACCGTCGCCGTGCTATCTGTGTGGTTTACTTGGACAAGCAATGCCCGGGATACCTCGTTGTATGTGATAGTTCCGTCGCCAGAATTGTCGAAGAACGAGATTACCTCAATCCCGGGCTGGCTGAGTTGCGGTTGCCAGTGAGCATCGTGTTGGAATCCGAAGGTCCAGTTGCCAGTTTGTGAGAAGCTGGGGTGCTTGCCGCCGAGCCGCCAGATAATTGAACCGTCCGTGCCGTTGATCTTGAATATCGTGCTCGTATGTCGAGATGAGAGCAGATAGTCTCCTTCTTCGTTTTTATCTAGGCTGTTGATGTGGAAGTAATCCCATGCTTCGGCGGAGGACAGTCCGCTATTGGCCTTCGTGGAACCTAGTGTCACTAGGCTTTCTAGTTGGAGGTTAAGTATGGTCTCTGTCGGGTCAAAGCAAATGATCTTACCAGACGGGTCAACGTGTTCCAAAGCATTCCACTCAAAGATCAACTCCCCCGTGGCAATATTATTTTCTATCAAATAATCGGAATCAGCAAAGTCATCATCCATTTTTCACAACCAACAAACCTTGAAAAATCCCATTCCCCAACCACTTTTGCGAAGAATTTCCACCATAAGCCGACAGATTCGCCGGAGTCGTATAGAAGACCTCAATCAAGGCCGTCTCTCCCTGGATTACATTGAATTCATGAATCGACGCAACACGGTGGTTCCCGGCAGTTGAGGTGGCAACGTGCTGATAACTTTGATCTAGCAGGACATGCTGACCAAACCCTTCACCGTGGGAACTATCCATATTACCCTGAAATGCTTGGAGAACAGGTTTACCCTGGTATGTGGTAGGATGGAAATTACCTACGAAACCGGCGTAGTACCCTGTGCCTGCCCACACCAAGTCGCCGTCTTTGCGGTAGATGTACGGACCGGGCCGCCCGAGGGTTCCACCCATCGAGTAAGGGGCGATAAAGACGTATTCAGGGCCATCGGAGCTTGTGGCGGGGATGGTGATGTTTAAGTGAGGTGGTGAAAGGTCGGGTCGGGAGCGGTAGTAGCTGTCGGTGGTTGGTTGGGGTAAGGACGTTGTTGCTAAGGCTGCTAGGAGGGTTTGCTTTAGGAAAGCCATTTTGGTGATAGCTTTGTTCAGGTTGTCAGTTTTTTACTAACTATTGTATTCCAGAATATTTCATACCCTTCTTATACACAGCGAACAATGAAGCTCTTCGGCATCTACTAGCAAGTTAGCGTTTTCGCGATACACCTCACGGATAGCATCATTATGTCTGTACTAGATTTACGGCCTATCCTAGGGGGCTTATCTATGTTTCATTGGATTTCATTCTGTAGCGACTCATTGTGTCACCGAATCTGCAAATGGCGCAATTTGATGTAGCCGAGCTAAAACCATTTGCCGGACTTCTTTGGTTTTTCCCATAAGAGACATAATGTTTTACCGCTCGAGAATAAATGAGCAATTGGCCAATGTCGCGTTCTCCTCTTTAGGTCCGCGAGTCAGCCACATGGCGTGCGTTCAGCTTTTAATTAGTATAGGCTATCCGGCTTCATCCGTAAATGTCGGGTGCCATTATGTTTAAAACGGCCAATGGAGTTGACAGTGTAGCACAGCGCACTAGTCTGATGCGGCATGTTTTCTTGCGACACCCTAAGTTTAAGGCCTTAGTTTGCAAACTGAGGGATTAGTATTCCTAGGCATGTTGCACATTATATAATAATGATTTTCAAGGCTACAAGATGGACTTTTCTTTCCATCAAATCCAATGACGAAAGATAGTATAGGCTTGACGCATGCACTATATAGTGTAGTGATAACTCAACTATCCTATCCAACAACCTAGGTATGCGCCACACGCACGGGATGGGCCTCAGTGTTGAACACAAACTGGTTCTTTCGGCCCTTCTGGACTTGCCATGGGGCATCTATACCAAATCCCGGCATTAGCAATGCTTTATGGAAAAGAATGATGGCAACTTACCCTCTGCATGTACAAGGTACGCATATTTCAGAACTTCAGCAAAGAGGAAGCTCTCCTCATTGTCGTACTTAGAGCCACCGCCAGCTGCATTCACGTTGCTTACACCAGCAAAGCCAGACCCAGTGCGGCAGGTAGAGTTGATTGCCTTGAAACCGTTCCACACCCAGTCACGGTACTATGTATGAGTCAGTATGGTTTGAAACATTAGCAGAAAAAAAGGAACGACTCACAATTTCATTACCCGTGACGCGGTACGCGTAGTAGAAACTCTCGATCACTTCAGGGCGCAAAACATATGATCCGCTATTGATGTAGAATCCGGCCTTCTCGTAGAAATCCTTTTGGCCGGATGGCACTTTCTTCGGATCCCAGCCCCAGGAGTCTGGTCCAATGCCCGTCAGGGTCTGATTGTAAGTAGCCTCGCAGCCATGCACAAGCTCCAAGCCAAAATCGATAAAGTCTTGCCGGTCCAGCACGGTGCCGCCCAGGATAAAACTGCCGCCGTCGAAGCAGGTCAGATGCTGTGAGCTAAGATCTTGTTGGCCGTTATAGTATGAGGCCAGCCAAGTTATTTCCGGGCGAGGGGCGGGATGCGATTGAAGATGTTTAATTGTCGACTCAGCAGCGAGGACCCAGCGGTCCTTGTATGACTTGAAGCGCTTGGGGTCGTACACATACATCTTAATCAGGTACTCGTAGAACGAGTCATCACCGCCGTTCCACGAGACAGCACCGTCGGTGAAATGGCCATTGGAGATGTTGATGTTGCTTCCTACCAGGCCAGGAAATGGTTCTCCGCTTGATGGGCGAGGATTCAGAAGGTACGACTGGGCCTTCTGGCTTAGCTTAGCATACTCGTCATCACCAGTCAAATCGGACAATCGGGTCCACTCCAGCACCAATGTTCCGGTTACTGCAAGACCATTGGTGCTCGAGCCATCATTTCCCTTGGAAGCGATGTCAAGATTATTATAGGGAACACCGGACGGTGTATCAAAGGCAAACTTCAGGATATCTCCGAGCTTTTTGGACTGAACAAGCAGGGTATCGACTTGAGTTGAATTGACGGCAAGATGCGCCGCAGAGTCCTTGAGCAAATCATAGCCGGACAACATGCCACCAAGGTATCGGATAGTAGTCTCAAACAGGCTGACCTCGTCCTTGGTCTTTGAGAAATCAATAGTTTCAATGTGGTCCAGGATCTTTTGAACGGCCTCTTGGTTACCCATGATAATGGCGGTTGAGAGAGCGTCGACGGCGGAGGCTCCCCATCCATTCCTATCGCGTGTCAATTCACAGCAAGAACTGTCTAATCGGACATGCTCACCTGGAGTCACCATAGCCATTGCTCACAGGATGCAATTCGTCATGAGGGAAAGCGTATTGAACATATCCATTCCATGCATGTTGGAAGGCTTCCTTGACAGCATCGGCTTTGGCCTGTTTGTCCGAGTTGCGGCGCAAGACCACCTCTGATTCATAGTAAGGATAGGCGGCAGTAGACCCAACAAGGCCCAACACTGCCAAAGGAAGTGACAGAGAGGAGATGCGCATGATTACGCGATGGAGGGTTGGGTATAGATATACGGGTTTACGTAGGCAGGATCGGTGCAATCGTAGGAATAAATTCAATTGCGAAACGAGGGACCACCTGAACTGCAACGCAGCAGGTCAATGCAATTGAATATGGGAGTGCCGAATGATATGAGGTTGCAAAAAGAAGGTGAAAGGGGAAGGCATGCGAGCGGACACGCGACCGCGACTTATTTAATATTTTTTCCCCATGTCGCTTGCATTTCTAAAATCACCGAGCTAATAGATTCCATTCCTGGGAAAAAGAAAAGGTCTCAGACAAGATTCAGGGGTTCTTGATCTGCAAGGGCACCACTAATTATTGACGCGCATCGGAGAATGCAAGCATCTTGGTTTTCACATAATTGAGATCTTTCAATGTTGAAGATACCTATTTGATATTCTAGACCTTGGACTCTTACACTTTCGCCAGACCCTACAATATACAGGTGATCGAGCCAGACGACCCCTTGATGTGACAGAAAAACAGTCGAATGCTCTGTGTTCCAGGATATCCTTGACTAGCACAGTCTTGATAAAAAGTGCTGTCACGCTAAGTGCTTTGACATGCAACATACCCCTCAATGTGATGGGTTTTGTCACCAGACTGGAGTGTCTGACCACATGAAATTCTCCTGGTTTTGAGAGTGATGGACTTGGCCCTGTTGGAATGTGTAGTCCGTGCTTGTGAATTTGAACTTCAACTTGTCTCGGAAACATAACCTCGCTGTCTTGTCAACTAGGGTCTGTCCTCAATACAGAAAGTGTTGATATGGCATTACCATATAGTAATCTTAGATTAATGATCACGGTTTAAAAAAATCCATATGTATAGAAGTCTAACTCTTTAACACTTATAGAATACTTAATATTTCTTCCTAAACCTACTATCAAATACGAAGGACTTATTTCACACTATATATGCACTACTATATCTTCCCTATTTTTTTCTAGGAGTGAGAGGTTTCCTATTATACTTATGCTATATTTATGTACCTTTTGTATAGATGTATAAAAGATACCATAACTTCTATAAGGTAATTTCTATATTGTGGGACCCATAAATGGGAAAATACTTAGTAGGCATATCCGATTTGACCTCGAGGGAACCTCCGATTTACCCGTGATACAATCCCAAAGTAATACAGCAGAAACAAGTAGCAGTAGCGCTGCGTTTGTCTAAGGCACAGTTGCGATTCCTATTTTGGGACTATCAAGACTCACAGGCAATGACACCATCTGAATTTACTATGATGATATTTATGCAGTCATTTCATACGGTCCGCTTCGGTGATTTATCCTCGAGACAACATCGGAGTTTGTATCTCCTTCAGGCGCCGTGTATACTGAAGATATCGAGTCGGAATCTGAGTCCGAGGGGTCCCCAACGGTATCTTGAGTACATTCCGAAGGCTCTTCGGGCCTCGAAGTCGGAAACTCACTTTCACGTCGAGGAGGAATTGTTCTAGGAACGCGACTCTCTTGACTATGATCATGTGACTGCACTGGCGTATTTCTAGCGGCAGAGCCTCCAGCCCTAGAGGAGCGAGACGGTATCCCCGAAGGTCTCTGGGGAATTTGAGAGGGAAAGACAGGGGTTTGCCGAGGAATAAAGGTGTCCGACACCGGTGGCTCTTCTCTGGCTGGAGGCTGGCTAAGAATCCTCCTAGCAGGATCCGGCTCGAGTTGACGTATAGGAGATACCGCACGAGAGTCATTGCGAACGGAAGCAATTCGCGCGTTTACTAGCGGTGGCATTTGCTCACTGGGTCGCTTACCAATATGCCACAAGGGGTCGATGGACTGTGGAGGTTCAGTCCGATGGACACGCTCAGGAGTTGTTGAACGACTGCTAGGTAGACCCTGCTCTAGAGTTGAAGGTAGCTCTTGAGGCAAAATGCTTTCGCGGTCTCGTGAATTGCGAGGCTGTGAATATTGAGCCGGATAATTCCCCTGATTCACATTCTGGAGCATACTTGGGGTATAACTTGGAGGCATCCGACCAGAGTTCGCCAAAGCCTGATTGAGAAGTTCTCTCACCCGAGCCTTGCAGTCCTCCGAGATAATGGCATCTGGCGAGAACACAACTGTCTCCGGCATGCGCATGACATCTGAAACATCCATGTCGGATATACTAGTGCGAGCTAAGAGCGCCTGAAGAATATCCAGATGGCCATGATATGCCGCGTAGCGGAAAGGCTGCCAGCCGCCCTCGTCCCTTTTGGATGCCGATGCGCCGCGCTCTAGCAGCAGCAAGACCACGGGTAGATGGCCTGCCATAGCAGCCAAGCATAGAGGAGAGTCACTGCGTGACGTAGCTTGGTCCTTCTGGTAGAGAGGAGATCCTCGATCCAACAGCTTTCGCACTGCAGCCACATGTCCGCAGCGACATGCTACACTTAGCGGCCGATCTCCAGCGCTGTCCCGGGCATCTAAAGAAGCTCCTTTGTCACAAAGAAGATCCACAAGGCGTATTGAGCTCCGCGCTGCTGCGATATGCAAAGGTCTCTGCTGGTTTTGATATTCTGATGCTTCGATGTCAGCGCCTTCTAAGAGTAAC